GCTTCAATTAGAAAAATACTGGACTCTTCCCACCTCTGATATTTTTTTTTTTTTAAAAAAAAAAAAAAAAACCTTGGCTGCTTTGCGAGCAGCTCTGATTATTATAACTGGAAGAGCGGAGACGCAAGAGCAGCAATACTCGTAGTAATACAGAGAGTCTTCATAGTCTTCCAGTATATGGTTACCTCGTAGATATATACTTACTATTTCATATTCCATACTGAATCCTCTGTACGGATGAACAACATGCCTTGCCCAAGTTTTCAACCCATTGGATTCAGCCATATCCATGGCGACACCAACGAAGTTTTAATCCCATCAATACAATTCCTATATATGATTTATACAGTGAACCGAATTTTACATTTATTTTTTACCACTATAGCATCAAGGGATGTCATGTTACATTTTCCCTTCATTTCCTCCTTTTTGAAATATTTCTAGTGAAGTGATAATGACGCGCAGCCATAACCAAAATATTGCATGAATGTCCTCTGGCATCCATCATGGTTATCTATGCAGCACACGGTGTAATAAAAGCTACCCTATAATAAGAACTAAATTTAGAAAGAATTTAGGGTACATATCTTTTAATGACATGGAAAATAAAAGCTACAAGATTATAAATTCGGTATTCGTCGTCACACTTCTTCGTAACTTATTCCTACGTGCACTTTAACCTGCAATAGTTTCTGAAAAAAAGGACTATTAATATTGAATTTGTAGAGCAGAAAATGTGCCTAGGTCAGGTACCTAAAGTATCCCATCAAACTGCAGACATGAGTCCTAAAGTACATCACTAAAGTATCCACGACATACATATTTCGTCCAATAAGGCTTTTTTATGATTGCATAAAATAGCTATTCTTGTCTTATACACTTGTATTTCACAGGAGTTCCGGAGTTTTTGGGATGTTTTGCAATCCATGCTAAACTTGTTTAGTTTTAGTTAGTTAACGAATAGATGTTAGATATTCCTTTAACAAGAATGATATACTGCATGCGCTTAACCATAAAGCGCTTAGGTAGATCTAACAAGAAGTGGATGAGTACATTTACTTAGATAGAGATGATTGCCAAAAAAAAAAACAAGGCGCTAATGACGACTATACAATACGACAACTGATGAGTACTTTTTAATATAAGTAATATGAATTTAGATTTTGAACAGTTTTAAGGTCTGATAGAAGGCTTTATGAGAATATATGCTCAAGGAGAACTACTTACAAACACTAACAACCTAAGGTAACATCGGCAAATTCATCTTTGCATACCAACCTAAGTAGCTAGGTAAATTAATGAATGTGCCTTATAAGAGAAGGCCAAACCCCTAACACACTTTATTACTTAATAATTATAAGGGTTAACTAAATCATGTTTGAGAAAGAATCTCCCCTGTAAAAAATAAATCCGATCATAGATCTTGAAAATCATCCTGTAGTTCCACCTTGACATATTGATGAATGACATGCTTAAACGAATGAAGAATTTGGCTACACGTAGGTAGGTAACACCAAATGTACATGTACCCATAAATCCATTAAAACGAGTGTTATAAGTTCCTCTCTAGGTATGGTCCCCCCTTCACCCCAATTCTCAATCAGTATTGATTAGTTTCATTAGAGTCGGTGTTTTGCTGGGTGTAATTAACGATGTTCTCATTGGCGCCATCAAGCTCAATAGAGCCCATCTGGCTTGGAGCATTGGAGCTCTGTAAAGGAAAATTATCATTATAAGCGACCGGGCCACTATAGAAATTTTGGCCATAATTGTCAGAATATTGGAATTGTGCGGGCGTATCAAATATAAGCTGATTTGAGCCGTACTGTTCGGTAACTGAGTGTGGTTTCACAGCATACGTCCCCATTGTTACTCCGAGGCTGGGATCGGTAGGTAGAAACCTAGGAAGCTCGAGACGACCCAACATGTGATCGACTCTCGGAGATTGGAGGTTATGGCCATTACCTCGTAGCTGATCCATACCAGCATCCGGATAGAGTACATCAAACACCTGTTTATGTTCCGTCCAACGATGTGTGTTGGATGATTTTTTCACATAGTCACGAACGTGTCGATTGCGATGACCAATAGTAGTAAAGACGTTTCCGCAAGCAGAACAAGAATGTGTGGAATTCTAATCACATTTTCAGTGGCATCAGCCAGAAATAAACTCCTTGCGAACTTACGGTAGTAGATTCAAGTCTAGAAAGACGTTCGTTAATGCGGGCTAGGAAATCTTCAATGTTCCTGAACCATTCTCCACGGGGGCGATCGAATTCCATAATGACTTCTTATTAATTGTATGGTCTTAGGGTTCTAACCCTTGAATATGTCACCCCCAGCGGAGCTGCGTTGAGTAACTTAGATGATATAAATGAGATATCGTGAATGTTATGTCGTAAGTACTATATCGGTTGAGCTTTGAAGTTTACATTACATTCCTAGGTATGCATATATACACTCGAAGGCAGTAACCTGTGCTAATACAGCCGTGTACATGGATATTGAAGAGGAAAATGTGTATCCATGCCATTGGATTGCCAAAACAAGGCGCAGCCGCATACATATCAGGTAAATGGGTGCCCTTTTGAGCACCAAATATGAATGCTGTCCAAATTCCAAAGCTCGGGACATAAGCTGGGAAGCATATGAACTTCCTAATAAGGAGATCTTCGTATACGGGCCAGAGCGGATGGGACACGAACCTACCACGATACCTCGTGGTACCTAAATTTATATGTGACTGTTGGGAAGTTTCTTAAGTACTAATCTTTCTTTGGCCCGCCGGTCAGGATATTGGATATGGAGATCAACTCTTAGGCTCCTATCTTTCAAGATACCATTAGGATACTGGGGCCAGTTTCGCAGTCCATCCACCCCGCCGACAATGTAATTGGATTAACAGACTGGTCAACAGTTAAGGGTGCCTGGGCAAAGTAAGCCACAGTAAAAATAGAACCTCCCCGCGGAGATGCTGTAACGTGAAATGATTACCAGATGGAATGCGAGGGAAAGGAGTTCTACTAAGAATTTGGTTTGCTACTGAAATATTAATTCATCAAATCGTTGATGAGAACACGGCGCATATAGGGAGTGAGTTATGAAATACGTACTAAAGTTCTTTTTGAGATATCACTTCCCCGGCACACCCTCTCGGGAAGCTAGACTGGGAGGCTTGCCTCTGCAGGAAATAGAAGCCACATCCTACTTGATGCCAGCCGCAAGTGGATAAAAAATCGGCGTCTAAGTTTTAAAAAGGGAGCAAGATGGGTAGCTAAAGCTTTCATCGCTTCGGCACTCCCAGTAGTAGAATAGTTTAGTCCTTTCACGTTTTTGTAAGAGGAAGAGGGATAGTAGCCTTATTACTAAATTACTAGGCTATACACTATCTTTACTCAGTACTCCGGTCATCTCACGTACTATTAATGCGCCGCGGCCATATATGCAAAGGAATGAAAGCCGATAGGTAAATGCTTGTCACCACCGCCCCCTTTTTCTTGCATCTGTTCGGGGGGTTACCAATTTCATCAATCTCATCATCTTGTAAAATCGACTTTAGAGGCAAATTCACGCTGAATAATCCAGAATTAGTAGATTATATTTCCCTTGAATACTTAATGTGTATCATCCTAATGTCATTGAACAAGGTCAGATTTAAGACCAACACTTAGACATTGTAGTACCTAAGTGTACTTCTTCTAGTTCGTGCAGAGTTAATCATGTCAATCTCACCAGTGAGATATACTATAATCCCTACAATTAAATACTGTAAATGTCATGGTTAGTAAAACTAAGCTGGTACCTTGTATAAACTTGTGGATCAAGTTGTGAGATTGTTAATTATATATAAATTATAACAAACTCTAAAGAAATGATAATTATAAGTTATGAACTACTAATTCCGGAGAGCTATCTCATAGTCATAAACTATCTTCAAGAATTTTCCGCAGACGTTACTTGTTAGTGCTTTCGAATGATTAGTTCTTCAAAACATGACACGCATGGAGAGAGACCGAGAGAGATATATATCCAAGTCTCTTTAAAAAGTAAAATATACAGACCACAAAATTAATATGTGTCTGCCTTCGTTAAGCATGGGGATTGCGATAATTATTGTATCAACACACAAATCACTGATATTGCGCTAGTTGTTAGGATTCCGGATGAGACATCCAGAACAAAGGATACTTTGAATGCAGGTACTTATATCTGTAGAGCTCCTTATAGAATAATTTTCGCCCCTGCGTTTTACTCAACCTCTACCGCCGGAGAGGAAGTGCCCGAAGTTGATGTTAGAATATTCTCATTTTCCTTTGCCCTTGTGCCAACGTAATTAAGGTAACAAACAACTTAAATACATATCAAGTTAGCTACCTAGTCCACCTAAATAATGTCTACTTGGTATAATAACCTTATGGCTATTGTTATTGATAATTATGATGTATACGCATTCTCATTTGAGTATTTAACTCTTACAAGGATGTTTCTTGACTTTATATATGCATGGTTTACACAAATTCCAGATAAGTAGTGTTTGGATTTCTTTTATTAACCCGAATTTTTTTTAAATGTATGCTATTTCATTTGATATCATTATTGATATGAGGCTTCATTCAGTAACTACGTGTTTTATCAAATGGTGAATTAATTGTCAATTCCATTATTATCACAAGCAATTGACACGATGTTTTTAAGTATATTTACCCGTTGAGTTTGAATCATGGATATAATTGAATGGCCAATAAATTATGCGATTTGAAAACCACTTATGAGTCCTCGATCTATGTATTGCGTTCCTTATGTACATCTAGTTATGGTCTAACTAAAAGTCTGGTTAAAATCATATTAGAATTGGGAGCAGGCCAAGCTAGTAGCGGGGTTTTTGGCGTAATGCTTAAGACCGAGAAAAAGTTGGTGGGGTTCAAAAGTTCCGAGCTTCAAATCTTATCTAGATTTCTTAACTTAAACAACCGAAAAGCCTTGCCATAACTCGTCGCAAAATGGCTGCTAAAGCACCATCGGATGAGCTCCAAAAGCTCAGTGGTTAGTATTAAACTAATAATATCATAGCTTAAAAATAATCCTCTAACGTTAAGTAGTGAGCGAGGGAGCCACCAACGGGAAGGCTGCCGCGGGATCCAACGGGACCAAGGACGGCGATGCTGCAGAGCATTCTGGTGAAGATTCCGAAGATGACGCCGATGATCAAACCGCCGAACCTGCGCCCGAAGCCGCTAAGAAGAAGAAGAATAAAAAGAAGAAGCCAAAGAAGAAGAAGAAGGCTCCTACCGCCCAGACAGACCCCCCGAGCGTCTTGATGTCCCAATTGTTCCCGAACAACACCTATCCTAAGGGTGAAGAGGTCGAATATAAAGATGAGAACCTCTATCGTACTACCAACGAAGAGAAAAGGCACTTGGACAACATGAACACCGACTTCCTGGTCGACTATCGTCATGCTGCCGAAACCCACCGTCAAGTTCGCCAGTGGGCTCAGAAGAACATCAAGCCTGGCCAAACCTTGACCGAGATCGCCGAGGGGATTGAGGACAGCATTAGGCGCTTAGTTGGCCACGATGGGCTATCAGAAGGTGACGCTAAGGTTGCCGGAGTTGGTTTCCCGACGGGCTTGAACTTGGATCATATTGCTGCTCACTTCACCCCCAATGCTGGGAACAAGACTGTTCTGCAGCAAAGTAATGTCATGAAAGTAGACATTGGAGTCCATGTTAACGGGAAGATCGTCGACAGCGCTTTTACAATGTCGTTTGACCCAATGTATGACAACCTGTTGGCAGCCGTAAAGGATGCGACCAATACAGGTATTAAGGAGGCGGGTATTGACGTCCGTCTTGGTGAACTTGGTGGATACATCCAAGAGGCCATGGAGAGCTACGAATGCGAGATCAACGGCACTACATACCCGATTAAATCGATCCGTAACCTCACTGGTCATACTATCTTGCCGTATAGCATCCACGGGACCAAGAGTGTTCCCATTGTTAAAACGAAAGACAACACGAAGATGGAAGAAGGCGACGTCTTCGCTATCGAGACCTTCGGTAGTACCGGAAACGGTTATGTCCACGATGAGGGAGAGGTCTCCCACTATGCTCTACGTAGCGATGCCCCTAAGGTCGACCTACGTTTATCCTCGGCCAAGTCTCTTCTAAATGTTATCAAGAAGAACTTTGGTACTATTCCATTTGCACGAAGATACCTAGACAGACTTGGCCAGGAGAAATACTTGCTGGGGGTAAGCGCTCTAATAATCTATACATATTTGAATAATGTTGACCTCGAATCAGCTTAACAATCTCGTCCAATCTGGTATTGTAGAGGACTACCCTCCTCTACTGGATAAGAAAGGGTCATATACAGCCCAATTCGAGCACGTGAGTTTTTTATTATTATTATAATTATGACGTAGATGTTAGTCGTACTGATTTGAGGTTACAGACTATCTTGCTCCGACCTACCGTAAAGGAGGTCATTAGTCGTGGAGACGATTACTAGATGGGATTATGAGGTGGATGGCAACAACGGGTTAGTAACCTGTATTACAATGGCGACTTGTTCTTTGACAGGCTAGTGCCATTATGCCACTATTCCAATATGAATAAATTTCTGACCTTTGAGCTATTGTTCCTTGTCTGAAGGATATATATGACTTGTAAAAGAGCCAAGTGATTCTTTACAGAGTGAACAATGTAAGTTGAGGTCGAAGTCACAGATATCAACTTGAAGCTCACCTCACCCCGAGTTCCTGTATCGGGTAATTGAGATTTTACTTTACATGGACTAGGTACCTACCTGTAAGTGGCGGTGGAGACAATGACGTTGGACCCTATCACCAAAAAATATATAGTAGGTATTTTGAAGGCGATCCTATCGATAAACCGATAGCCCTAATAGTTATTAGGGCTTAACCGACTGTAAATTACCTGATAAGTATTAAAGACATCACTAACTTTCCAGGTTAAGAACAAGTGATATCACTGATGGATTAAATAGATGATCATTAGGGGTCTGGGTTAGGGTTGAAGTCATAGAAATCATCATAGGAGACTGATGTGTAAGGGGGTAAGAGGTCGTGGATCCAGCCCCAGCAGATCGTCTCTGTCATATGCAAAAATTGACGAAGCATTAACAAAGTCTGGATGCTTCGCTGACTCCGCACCTGCTCCAGGTTTTTGGGCACTTGGCCTAAGCTTATAATCCACTTTGGATCCATTAAGGAACTTATCAGCCAATTAAAATTTTGAAATTTGTTAAAAGCTTTGACGCCGTCTCCGAACTATTATCTGACCTGGCAAAGCTAATCCTAATTAGGATGTTCTAGCGAGAAGAATTGTGTAAGGGAATATACAATACACTAGGATGTTCAATGTTATTTGGTGGAGATGTTACTTAAAAAAAGGAAGTATCGGAACACTCGAAATAATATGGTAAAATACATGTCTCGTATTTTTTGGGAAGACTTTTTCATCCAAAATTACCTATTCAGGCAAAGATTAAGCTAGAATCTTCTAACGGGGTTGTATTTCACCATATAAATAAAGTAGCATAATACTTATTTAACTGTTTCAAGCAACATCTCCACTAAATAACATTGAACATCCTGAGAGGTTATAAGGGGACATACCGAACATTGCCGGGAAGGCAAAAAAGGAATCCGCGATAAGATTCCTTGTCGCCAATGCCGATCGGGCAGTCGGGACCTTTGGATTGAAATTTTCTCAAAAGCCTCTGCATTTCCTATCATTTTATTCGCATCTTACATGTACTGAACAACTTAAAAATACTTAACTTAAAACAAAATCCCTCGACACCCTTAGCATTCATTCAAAAAATTTCTAAGAGTTTGGCCATTCTGCCATATCACCATCATTTATCGTGTCACGAGCGATTTTTAAATTGTTTGTATCTGTTTCGTCACAGTACCTTATTAGCACGCGAGACATTTTATTCGGTGCTTTTTTGAAACCGCTGCGATCCTACGGAATTTGTTATCTCGGTCCGCACTCTCCGACCGACATCGCATACTTCTTCTGTTAAAACTCAACGGTTGAACGTCCGGACGGACTTTAAAAAAACATTTACATCCGTATCGACAAGTCTTTTCCTTGAGGAAGGGTTCTTTTATCCCCCTAACCATCAATCCGGCTCGTATTGGGATCGTCCGTCAGAAATGAAGGTCTTTTCCAACACCCACACCTTCAACTACTCCTGGGAAGAAGTATCTACCGCCAACTGGCGGAAATACTGCCCTTGGAACGACAAGTCAACTCATGTCATAGCCGTCGATACACTCGCCCGAGAAGTCGATCCAGCCACCGGCATATTACGAACAGAGCGTCTTATTACCTGTAAGCAATCAGCACCGGAATGGCTGAAATCGATCATCGGCTGCATGGAGACGAGTCAGGTATTCGAGACATCCTATGTTGACCCCGCCGCAAAGACTGTCACTATGGTATCGCAGAACATCACTTGGGCAAATATGGTCAACGTTCAAGAGACGGTGGTTTATCGCCCGCTAGATGCCCATAGGACACAATTTGAGCAGGACGCCCGAATAACGGCCCTGTGCGGTGGTTGGCAGAGGATCAAGACTAGTATCGAAGACAGCCTAGTTACCCGATTTCGAGAAAACGCGACAAAGGGTAAAGAGGGTTTCGAGTGCGTCCTTGCCATGAGCCGACGTGTCTTCGCTGAGGAGCGGGAAAAGGAGAGGCTACAAGTTGAAGGCAAGATGATGGCGTAGGTCTAGGAATATGGGTACCTACCATTTCATTCCATCAAATCACGACCACGACGTCCACCATAAGTCACCCGACGAGTGGGATAGACAACGACATACCATATCACAACATGAGCATTTCCGGAGTATTGAAGAGAAAGAAAAATTAGGGGTGGTGAACTTGACTTGAATTTTTGGTTTTCGAAAAAGCACGGCGTTCCGGCATACCCAACAACCAAACTGTGTTGCATAGAAAAAGGGGCTATTTAGATCGTCTATGTTCTGGTATAGGCTGTAGGCAATTTGCCTCGCCGCGACGACCGAACGAACGGGAGAACAGATGTTAGACTTAGATATATATAGAATACTCTGCTTAGAGCAAGGGATAAAGATAATAATACTCTTCTCCCATTTATTTTGATTTTTTTTTTAGTTGTACTATCAACTTGTGAACTTCAGTATATTTTGTATAGTTAAACTTTTATGTAGCGGGGTATCAGCCTTTTAGTCCCTTCTTCATCCATAGTTACACTTTCTCATTACATTTCTTTTCGTAATATCGCAATAGCTTCTTAGTGTCCTCGTCAAGTCCAGATGGTCCCTCTTCGTCAATACCTTCACTCCCATTCCTACCTAGAATAGTTCGCGCAAATTTTGCGCCCTCGGAGTACCGCCGGAAGAAGTAGTAGCTCTCAACTGCGTGTAGTAGGGCTTGAGCCTCGGGCTTGGGGATCCGGCCTGGTCCTAGGGGTAGTTGGATGGTTTTCCATATCTGGGAATATGTTAACTTATTGGACTTGGGCTTTTATTATTTCTATATTCTTCTTTTTTACAATATTTCTATATGTAATGAATAATGTGCACATGAGTAGATGTTGAAGTGTTATACGTACTTCTCCGTTTTCGACTTTAACTCGGTATTCCCTCCGCACAGCCTGAAACTCCTCCTCCGACTGGGCTGTCCGGTCTACAGGCGTGCTTGATTCTCCTTTCTTCGGCGGCCGAGTTCCTTCAGCGGGTTCTGAGTCATTGCTTCCGTCCTCGGAATCGGAGAGTTGGATACCGAAGAGGCCGGAATCGAGATCCGGATCCATTGCGGGATGATTTAGCTACGAAATTCTCAATGCTACAATTTCTTAAAACGGGGATGAAGAGCCCGATTTTGGAACCGGGGTTCGTTGCCTTGACGGAGGAAATCTCTTTAGTGTAACGAGATATTGGACGAAGTTTGCTTCGGCTTTGACATCAGCGCGCGTCTACTTCTTCCGCTAGTGGGGCATAAAAGCTTCCGCGCCCCGGGTGAGGGGGGATGAGCCAATGGGGTTATAAGAATTGACTTGGACTGGGAACTTGACATCTCCAAATGCGAGATCTGGTGCTTCGTTGACACAGCATATCTCTATGTATTACAAAGATCTATAATACTTGCTTAAACTGCTTCGTTTGATTTGAATTCAAGCGTTATTTTTTATTCTTTTTTTGCTGGTCATTATATTTAGTTAAAGCTTAGGTACTGGAGAGAAATGGAGGATCAGGTAGCTCGCCTCGTGGACAAAGCGTGGGAGAAATTCCAGCAGCTCCCGGCAGACCGTCGACTCTGTAAGTCGCATAAAATATGACGTTGATATACTATCTATAAATCTAACCTATTATTCCTTAAGTAATCGCGATAGCTGGCATTCCTGGCTCAGGTAAGTCACCCTTCCTATACTACAGAATACACACTAACCAACCCCAGGCAAAACAACCCTCTCCCAAATCGTCACCACAGCCCTCAACGCCCGGCACGCAAGCCTGCACCCAGAAGTCCCCGAGGCTGTACCGCCCGCTGTCTTCGTGCCCATGGACGGGTACCATCTGACACGTGCGCAACTATCCGCTATGCCGGACCCGGCTCTTGCCCACGCGCGGCGCGGCGCCGAGTTCACGTTTGACGGGCCCGCGTTCCTGACCCTGGTCAAGGCGCTGCGTACTGTGCCGCCGCCGCCTTTGCAACCGGTATATGCGCCGAGTTTTGACCATGCGGTTAAGGATCCGAAACCGGATGATATTGCGATTTTGCCGGCGCATAGGATTGTGGTTTTTGAGGGGAATTATGTGTGTTTGGATAAGGAGCCAGTATGTGTTTTACTTCGAGAAATCTCTTATCCATTTGTCTCAGGGGTGAAGAGTTACTTTCAGCATATTCTGGTACTCACATCTCGGAAAGGTAATTGCTAATCCGTACTGCTCTAGTGGCGCGAGGCTGCGCAGCTGATGGATGAGAGGTGGTTTGTGGATGTAGACTTTGAAACGGCAAGGAGGAGGCTGGTGAAGAGACATGTCCAGGCCGGGATTGCGAAGGACGAGGAGGAAGCTGGGAAACGTGCTGATGAGAATGACCTTGTGAATGGGGCGCAGATTGTAAAGGAGAGGGTTGATGTGCATGAGATTATAAAGAGTAAGGAGGATGACAAGTGGGTTCATAAATGAGCAGTATATCAGGCGACATATGATATATATATGAGTTAGATATAAATCTTAAGACTTGCACATATTCGATGAAAGCAGCTTGAAAAGTGGTGTTTCTTGACAGAATGAAGCGTAGTTCAGGGGTAGATCGGTTATTTGCATATACCACCCCTATCTGACTAGATGATATATGCGACTAACCTAGCACAAACCTTATCTTATCAGATCCATAAAAATTTCGTAAAAGTTACATCCTACAACTTTTCAACGTCGAATGAAGGCGAATACCGGTGTGCCTCTCCAACATACTACAGAAATAAACCCAATTCGGAAGCCTCAGAACTACAATGGCGACCGAAGTTATGACCGAGGCCGAGCAACATGCTTCGCCAGAGACCAATGATTCTAGGAAGCGCAAGTCGCAAATCGACGAGATTGAGGTAGACTTGACGCTACCAGAGCCGCCATCCAAAAAAGCGAAACGACTTCTCAAGAAAGGCAAACCACTTCCCGAAAAGCCCAAGAGCGACGACGAAGCTGAATCAGATGATGGGTTATCTATACCCAAGGGCGCATCTAAAGGCGGGAAGGGAGATAAGAAATCTCAACGCTCTGAATACGGCATATGGATAGGAAACTTGCCTTTTACCGTGACGAGAGTGGAATTGTTCAAATGGCTGGTGGAAAGCTCAGGCGGCGTGATAAAAGAAGAGAATATTACAAGAGTCAACATGCCTACGAGTAAATACAATGGGGATAGGAGATACGGCAATGCTGAAGATACGCCAAAGACTCAAAACAAGGGTTTCGCATACGTGGACTTCAACGTGGAAACCGCATCTGTTGCCGCCATGGCGCTTACAGAGACAGAACTAAGCGGTCGAAAAGTCTTGATCAAAAACTCCAATTCGTACGAGGGACGACCCAAAAAGGAAGCTGAGAATGGAACTGCCGCCGCCACCGGCGCTACAACAAATAGCAACCAGACAGTAGAAAAGGCCCCCACCAGCCGCAAAATCTACGTCGGCAACCTCTCCTTCCAAACCACCGACGACGACCTACGCGCGCACTTCGACAAGTGCGGCGACATCGAATGGGTCAAGGTGGCAACATTCGAGGACAGCGGGAAGTGCAAGGGGTTCGGATGGGTCAAGTTCAAAGAGCCAGAAGCAGCAGGGTGGGCGGTAAAGGGGTTCATCAAGATCAAAGAAGAAATCGAGACGGAGGAAGATTTCCGTGATGCGGATGAAAAAGCGGACGGAGACGGAGACGGAGACGGAGTGGCGCGAGAGGAGAAGAAATTCAAGATGCGCAAGTGGTGGGTTAATCGCCTTCGGGGACGCGAGCTGAAGATTGAGTTGGCGGAGGATGACCAGGCGAGGTATAAGAAGAGGTTTGGTAAGGATAGGGATCCTCAAGGGGCGGGCAAGAAGGAATGGGGGAGGGAGAGGCCGCTGGGTGAGAGAAGAGAGCCTAGGCCGGCGCGGAGGACGGATGGGGATGTGAATGCGGATGGGAAGAGCGAGAAGCCTGCGAAGCCCAAGTATGGAGATGCGGGCGTGGCGACGTATCTTACTGGTGCTGTTGTTAAGCCCCAGGGTAAGAAGATCACGTTTGATTAGATTGTTTGGAGTTAATAGATATTTTGTCTTATGTATGGATCCGTAAAAGGCCGGGAGTGGCTTAAGTCTTCTATGTGATGGTAGTACTCGGGCCATATTATTTCATTACTGCATGTACCTAAGTCCCGAAATGAGGAGTTATCGCCTTTTCTTTTTGTATTATTACGATTTCTAAAACGCACTTTTGTCTTCCATCTAGCTAATATGACCTTTTGTAATCGAGATATCTAAGACCATAGGATCAGCATATGATCTATACATACCTCATTGACCGATAACCTAATACCCCACTCTATCAGATTCTATTATTTCATTTTTTATTCTTTTACTCTCAATATCTCTCCATAATCCACTCGCGCCGCCTCTCAGCCGTCATAGGCTCGAGCAGTGCCAGCTCAGCCTCCTTAATATGGATATACCGCTGTATAAACTCAGGATTAAGGCCGAGACTATCGTCTGAATTGAGCGCCTGTAGAGCTTCCCGCAAGTCTGCTGGAAACATCTTCTCAATACCCAAGTTAACCCTTTCTTCCATGGTAAAGTGGGCGGGATCCCCCGCGCAATCCTTCCAAATTAGCGGTGCCTTTCTGCGGACACCATCCATACCTGCAGTCAGAAGCGCCGCAACAGCGAAGTACGGGTTTGCTAAGCCATCGAGGACCTTAATTTCCCAGTGGCTGCCCTCGACCTTACGAAGCGGCAACTCCTTGTTTTGCGTGCCCCAAGTAATCCATCGACCACCGGCCCAAGCACTATCTACCATACGCTCGTAGCTTGTCAAGTTGCTGTTCGTAAATGCGATAATAGCACGGAAATGTTCCAGGATGCCAGCGTAGAATGGCTCATAAACCTTCGGCTGATCACCTCCGGGAGAGGAGATGGACATGTGCATGTGCGAGGCTGATCCACATTTTGTACGGAACGGCTTAGGGTGAAGTGTCACTCGGAACCCGTGGCGCGCCGAGACAGATTCGAGGATCTGGCGCGCATGGAGCATGCTGTCGCAGGCTTCTAGCGGTGGCAATGGTGACAATACAAGCTCAAATTGGCCTGGTGCGTTCTCGGGATGGAATTGGTCGATTTCGATACCTGCCACATCCAGATTATCCAGGATCTCGTCAATAGCTGTGGCAAAACTACCCTCACGACCCCAATCAGCGAATGCTCTCGCTACCGACCAACTGTGGCCATCATTTTGTAATGTTCTGAATTTTTCCAATAAAACTTCATCTGGATTAATACGTCCATGACGAGGAACTCGACCTCGAAACCGAGGAGGAAGTTTAATCCTTGATTTGCCGCATCCTTGACCACATTACGCAAATAGTTCTCGGGCACAATACCGTCTCCGAGCCATCTAGTTCCGTGAAGTCTGCGTAGCAGCTGACATGACCATCGACAGGGCCGGACTTCAGACTCGACCAGTCTGGATGGGCTGTGTACATGCCGGTCGCTGATGCTTGGGGAATCAACACATCAATCTGCGTCATTCCAAAACAGGCTTTGGGGAGGGACAGGGTCAGTGGTTTATCACTAGACAGCGTCTTGAACACTTGTTTGATTGGGATAAGTCGGCATTTATTGCTGGAGGTGTAGTCGTGCCAGCAGATGCGTAAATGTTTGGCATTCATGCTCTGAAGCTTGCGGATAATTGTCTGGTTATTCCAGTTGGTATTGGCAGTTGAGACGGTTGTTAACTGCGCAGGAGTAAGGAGAGTAGATTCCGTCTCAAGTCTGTAGAGCTGCTTGGAATTGAAAAACAAGATGTCTTGAACGATCTGTACAGCTTGTTTTTCATCAAGTTGTCGAGTCTGGACTAAGTCTCCTAGTACCTGAACCGCGTCAGTAAGGTAGTAGAGATAATTCACAAAGATACTTACCGTCTTTAGAACTGAGCGGAGCTGAGTCGTCGCGATCAAGTACATTTCCGGGAACCCGTGCCCGTCCGTGCTGCAGAGGATTTTAGACCACGGACATACTTCCAGCATTTCTTTCAGGACGCTTTCCTGGCCCTCACGGCTGATACAGGGGAACACCTCGCCAATATCAGCATAGACGTTCGGATACATAGCTGCTAGGTACGCCGTCTCTTTTGTCCAAGGATATCCTGCGTGGAGAAGTACGATCTGGAGTGTAGGATACTCTTTGATGAAAGCTTGTAAATGAGACGGTGATGACTTGGTTAGTGTAATGTCGTTATCGCCGAGACCTGTGTGGAATTGGATTGGCTTCCCATAGTCCCGAGCGATGCCAGCGGCAACATGAACGATCAGGCCGTTCAGGGACGAATCCACTATTCTCTTCCTCAGTGAGAACCCAGAAATGGGTTTCCCAGACATCACTCCCGCACATATAATGTCCCCAAGAGCGTGTTCCGCATGTGACGTTTCTATACCTTTAAGGGAAAAAGGTCCAGTCCAGTTCGATAGCAGACGATGGACTTGAAAGCGACAACATCGGGATCCTTAGCAAGCTGCGTAATTTCATTTATCATTAGGCGTTCGAATTCTGCTATATCGCCGTTCATAGCAGAAGAATTCTCATCGTGCTCGATGAAGTACTTGGCTATGATATCCGCTGCTATAGTCTCAATCCTAACGATGCGCTTGCATCCACTGTTGGTAAATTGGCCATGCCACGAATAGGTCTCGGCTTGCCCCTGCACATCTAGTCCGTCATCGATCAGAATAGTCTCGATGCCGTCGAGGCAGCGCTTGATCCAAGCATCGCGCGATTCGAGTCGTTTCCGCTCAACAGCAGCTTCTACAGCTTCCCATGTCTGCTCGCAGCCAAGAACACTCGATAGGTGTTTCACGGCCGAAGATGAGCGAGGCTTTTTTAGAATCTTGGAGAGCGGTCCCGTTTGCTTCGGTGGCAATGGATAGTAAAGAGTGTTTGTTTATGTTTTGGGTGGTGAGTAGTGGATGAGCGTGGTTATCAATGAGAGGCGTAGTGTCAATAGCGGCATTGAGCAGCTTCAAATGATTGTAGGCAAAGGCCATCTTGATGGTTTTATTTGATGACCTATCCTCTCAGTGTTGGAATGGTTGAATGTGTTATTAATGTACGATGTTATCGAGAAATTTAAGGAGAAACCAAACGAAATGATTTAGGGTTGAACGTCTCGAAATTATAGATGAGATTGCGGTGAGTGTACGACGCTCGCTTATGCCGGGTACCGTGAGGGAGGTACAAATTGTTCTTTTCGAGACAGATAGGTATGTACGTCCTACCATGTATGCCTCTTTCCTCCAGGGGTAGGACCCGTGTAGGAGTGCGGATATAAGACATATTCTTAATTTAAGATACATAAGCTAGTAAAAAGATAAGACGTTTCAACGAATAACTGGCAACCTCGAGGAAAGAGTGTTGATTATACCTAAAAAGGCTATCGATTGGCTTACATCATATATGTTGTGTTACATGACTAGGAATCCCTAGAGCTGTTTTATGTACCGGACCTAATGGATTCACTTCCGTAGACGCGTGTACATGAAGTATATCAGGTAGGTACATACCTCCTAAGGTAGTTGTACAGGTAATTATATACGTCATTTATGAGGCTACCTACCTAACTTCCATATATGCTATATTATATCTTAATCTATCCCATCCCCAATCTGCCCAAGTGTTGTGTCTAGGTACGAGGGCATATGAGTGCTCTCCCTCACAATATCTCGTAAATCTTCATCTTACACGCCTTTAATATGTTGGCTGGTAATAATATACAATATTTAAGAGCCCCTTTTCACTTCCGTATGCATCTAACCCCTTTAAATCCGCAGGACAGCTCAAATCTATGGCACGACGCTGTACTAAAGATTTCTAGGAATCTAGGCTCTCCTATTATCCTATTCTAACCATCCTTTGCCACTACTCCTTAAACACGTAGTGTAAACATCGATCCTCACGCGGCGGACCCAATTCTCCCAACCTGGGTACCGAGCGTGTGGTAAGACGAGGACTCGATCCCCCGACGTTAGGGCCTTGATCCAAGAGCCACGCTCGGCATCTGCCTCCGTGAGATCTCCAAGGTTCCACGATAGCGTATGTGTATGCCACTGTATATTCGCGCCGCGGTTGTGCGCGAGGTAGATCTCCCTATTCGTAGTACCTTGGTCCTGCGGGCTGGCTAAGTCTTGCGAAAATGTGTTCCCGCGCCGGTGGACGTCGGCTGTAAACCAGGTCCAGCTCTCCCCTCTACTTGGGTCGGAACAGTATCCTTGGTCGTGGCTTGTGATTTCGAATACGATGCGTCGAACAGGTCGGGATGACAGGCTGTTGATGGCTTTGCTGGTGATGTATGGTGTTAAGGGGTCGCCCCATCTCCTTACCTCCCCGCCCCTTTCGATACTAACTCGGATGCTAGTAGACTTGACCCAGTACTCTGCTAAATCAAGAATGCGGGATATGAGATAAGCTGAGACGTGGGTGTATTCAGATGCCCCTATTTGTCGCCTAAGCTTCCTTTGTAGACACAACGCTGCCGTTATGATGTCTTCCTCTTCTTTCGGCCACGTCTCGGGGTCTCCTACTAAGTTGGAGGAGCCAGCAGGCTCGTGTATTAAAGCACTTCCCCAAGGCTGCTGCCGTATCCAAGCAATATCTTCATCGTCGAGGCCGCTAATCTCTGTTATTGGACGTTGGGCCATAATACGTACAGCTTCTGCAAAGCGGTTCTTAATAGCAATGTCGAGCGGGGTAGAGCCTTTGAGGTCTTTGACGTTGATACTCGCGTTGGCCTTCAAGAGACTTGAACATATATCAATTAAGTTTCCGTGTGCGGCTAGGTGTAATGCGGTTTGGCCTTGGTCATTTTGACAATCGATGTTGAATCCTTTCTGTCTTGACAGAGCTACCACGGCGTCGATATTGCCGCTTGCTGCCGCATAGTGAACAGGTCGGTTTCCCCCAGACCCCGGAGAGCCATAGAGATACAGATGTTTGAGTCTTTGCAGCAGGAACTCTGTGTTTTCAGGTCTACTCCCACCAGCAGCATAATGCAATACGCTATCAGCACCGGGATTTTGGAGAAGGCTATCGTCCATTTTACTTAGCAACAGGTCGATCACAGAGGAACTTGAGACTCGAGCAGCAAGGTACAGACCCGATATTAGTTGAGATGGATAGAAATCAGGGAATTTGTGCTCATCGTGCTTCTGGAGGATAGTATCGACAGCTTGGATATTATTCCGTCGGATAGCTGCCTCGAACGGTGTATCTCCTTTTGTATCGCGCCATTTTAGGAGGAGGCCGGCGTATGGACTTCCAAAAGTGTCTCGAGTATTCGGAGAATGCCTGAGTTCGCACCTCCATCAGAACTTTTGAACGCCAGAGAGGAATCTGATACAGCAAAATGTAACACTGTTCTCCTATGGAAGTCGCCAGTGATGATTGCTTCATTCCTTCTACCAACTTCTTGAATCTTGTTATGATGCTCCATGATGCATTCAAACACGCTAAAGTCTGCCATACGCACTGCTTCTATGAGTGCCGTGCTGAAGTAAACATCTCGTGAGAGTAACAGTCTACCATGCGGATCTTTCTGCATTATCGCCTCTATCAGTATCGTTTTATCAGATCCCTTCACAGCATGGGCCCACCATATGGCTTCCTCTAATAGTGTCGTGTGCCATTCTTGTGCAGACCTTTTATAAATATCGATTCCGTGATCTAAGAGGGCTTGAAGAGTGCCGAGAGAAGCGTACGCGACGGAAACCATTTGTGTTGGCCAACCGACGCCATGCCCAGCAGATGCGTTCGCATCTAGTTCGATATCTGGGCTTTCTAAAAGTACCTTTATCGATTCGACTGAATTGTTAAGGCATGCCCAATGGAGTGAGTTTCCAAAACGTGTTCTATCGTCATCCGCTGCTCCGGACGTGTTCTTTAACAGCCATTCGATTGTTACTCCAAACAGATGGCTATCAGATTCTTTCCTAATCACGTTGAAGAATGCCGCCAAATCCATCGTCGTACCTTTAACAGGCATTTCATCCCCAAGATTAGGATCGTTGAAAATTACGGAGATTCTACCTCCTATATTCTTGAGTATCGACATGGTTGCTCGTTCAACATGTTCCGGACGTTTAAGAAAGCTCAGTAACAACTCGGTGATATCCTCTAAGTAGTCGGACTCTTCCGGGTCCGAGAGATTTGACTCCTGGATATAGTGGTATCCAAAATGCATGGCCGCGTATGCAAAGAATGGCGCTTCATCTCCTATGGACCAGATTTGGGCCAAGGGACCGTTCATTGAAAGTGTCAGATCATTAAGTCCAAGGAAAGAGATACAAGTCAAAGCTATCTCCCCGTGGCTATGGGCAAAGTTATGTGCATCCTTCAGCGAGTTGAAGTACTCCTGCGTGGTGTAATGAACGAATCTTACGGTTTTACTTTCGCCTTCCACAACTACGAGGCCAGCACAATAGTTAGTGATATCACTCTCTTCGCTAATTGCATCTTCGTCGAGTTCTGTATCATCCGGGGTAATAGACAAGGCGCACAGGAGCTCTGCCAGTCTAAGCGGACGTCTTGCGAAACAGACCCATTGAATAACTTTCAGAGCAAATTTCTCTATATTTACGCCTTGATCTTGGATTCGTTCCATGGCTTGGTCGTACGTATCCTTGATGACGTTTTCACCTTCTGGGATGCGGGCCAACTCCCTTTTCAGGTCTTTAAGAGTGATCGCTCTACTCAAAGAATCTAAATGCATTCTACATAGGAGAAACCTACACCGTGTAGTCAGTATTTGATCATCGAGTGAGGGATGATGGAAAGTATTAGATTATAACCTACATTCCATTCGCCCTCTCGATAACCAGGCGTCGAATATCCCCCTCTAGCTCCGGTTTCCGTTGTATATAACCAGACATTTTCTTCGATTCTCGTATTCGTGCGTTTATATAAGTACTCATATCTTCGTTGGTGGGTATAAAGCGAAAGGCCCGTACATCAGTGAATCCTGCGTTGTCAAAATGTGTGGTCCTGGAAGTAACTAATATGTTAACCAACGGTTGCAAGCTGCGCAGACTATCAATGAAGCCATTTCGTTCGTTCTCGTCTGCGCATTCGTCAAGGGCATCAACGACTATGTATATCTGCCCTGGTGTACCATTTGTTAATTCGTCTCGGATCATGTTTATTATCTGAGTCCTAGATGGCTTAAAGTCGAAGCGGGCTACTATTTCTCCAAATAGTTGCTCGACCTCTGTGGCGGAGGGACCTCGCTGTCGGAAAAGCTGTGCCCAAATGTTACCAAGCATCATCGACGCTTTCTGATCTTGGCGTTGACGATAGTCGCAGTAGAGAAATGCAAGACGGCCATCCCCACTCTCCCGCACCCTGTCCCGGAGATATTCTATGGCTGTTGAGGCAATAACTGTCTTTCCGGCTCCCGGTGCCCCTGAACACCACATGGCCCCCCCGACAGATTGCATCCAGTCCTGGAACTCTACTGACTCGAGAAACCATTGGCCAGTCCCGTCCTGCCTCTGCTGAACGACGTTTCCATGCTTCTCGGAGAAGCTAACAGGAGCATAGTGCTCTACGATGCGATCAATTTTACCATTAATCATCTCCTCTTCCGCATGGTTATTGAGTGCTTTGACACCATCATCAATTGCCTTGGTCGTCTGCTTGATGTCCAGCGTAAGCCAAGAGTTAAGAAAGCCATTCATACGAGACGCCTTCTCAACCGTCTTCTGTATATCCTTTTCCATATGAGCGAATCGTATTTTTTGCATGAAACCCTTGGAGCTCATTTTCTCAAACTGCCGTGATAAGTCGATCATGCAATCTTGTAACTCTCGAATAAGGTCATCGGGTCCTAGGGGGCGGCTACGTGCCGTGGAAGCATCTGCATCGACCTGCCGCTTCACCTCGTAAAGCAGCTGTAACATCATACTTGATGTGCGACCAAGCTCGTCAATCATTTTTGAAGCGCCAATTACTGTGACGCAGTAGTGGAAGACTTTGGCTGTAATCTCTATTAACTGCGCGATGGACGCGACTGAACCTACGACCTCCATGATTAGACTGGTCTGGTCTGTGGCCGAAGATATCAGTACAGGGTCCCAAGATCTTCACTATTTAATAAAGATTGGTGTATTGGGCTACAATTCAACTAAGAGGTAGCCTGCCGTAGTAGTTAATCAAATTCGTATAGATGAGCGCCATACAGCAACCGAAATTCAAACAAACCAAGTTAGAAGATGGGAAGGTAGGATTATGTCTAGGTTTATGGCAAAAATTAGGCGTGATGATAAGAAACATCAGATACCAGGAAACGTGAGGATAGCTTCAAGAGGCGTGGGCTGATGCTTTTATGTTTACTGAGGGGGTCAGACTTATACGACAGTTGGGGGCCTATGCAACCCTACCGAAGCTAGATCCCAATGCGCAAGCAAGTAGTGCGATCACATATTTCAGGCATTCAGCTGAAATCCGTAGGTTGGATTTTTCGACTAGTAGAATTGTGCTTCCTGCGCCAAGGATCCTTCGGGTTTGATAAACATGACTACCTACCTATAATACACGGGGTTATAAGACTTACATAACCGCCTAACTACCTATATAACCTCGTAGTCTTAAAATAACCAAGCCATTATTTCTATTGAATCTTTCTAACAGTTACCGCATGAGTATGTGTGATTTGAACTTGAAATACTAGAATGTGAAACTCTTAAATAGTTGCATATATTGTTTGATTGGAGTTCCAACAGGTTGGTTCTAGGCTGACTATCATGAACTTTTCTGGCCCCCAAGTAGCATTGCAGCTATCCTTCCATGCCTTGGATATTGTTCCCTACATGCGCTTAAATAGTTCATATTTAAGATGTATAAGAATAAGTAGCTATTATCTTATTAGTTTCTTAGCTATCTTCTCCTTACATCACATTATATAAAGATCTATGTCAAATTCTTCGCATATCTCAATTGGAACAATGTGTGAATGAAGTAGATGCACTGTATTATTCGAGGTTTAGAAAGATGGAACTGCTATAAGTCTATTGGGCGGGCCACTATTTGGCTCTAAAAAAAGTGTCCTATACAGTGTGATAAGACGAGGCGCCATAAATACAGTTGTTAAGCTATTTTTCAAATTTTCTCCGAGCACCTTGAATTAACGTAGTATTTAACACTTAAATATCCACACCATATATATGAAATCTTTGTTCTCTTAAGTACCTTGAGTTGAACTGGCTCCACATATGGAACATATATTATAGTAATAAATTAATATACACGTTAGCAAGTAAATCTTTTCATAACTAACTCGTAGTTAAACAAATGTCTTTATCATTTTCCACTCGCCAAACCACCCCAATCATGTTTCATAAGTAATACATGTATGTCGAAAACCGTGGTTAAGAGACTTGCTAAAGGTAGTGAAATGTATATTAAAGGAAAGGTACAAATAAGTCGGGTCTTCCCTTTGGATTGCAGAAAAGTTCTTTTAATCAATGAGATTGTACATGATTCGTATAATACTTCAATTCTGACACTTTCTATCAACTATATCTCTATAATACACGAAAATAGAGTGAGTCTGATCTCTTACATAAGGGATTTCATGTGGTCTTTATGTAGAGATTTAATAAAGATTCTCTTTATTAATGGACACTTTAATGTGCTTACTAAAAATAGACTTTTGCTATGTGGTACGCACGTGGGCTACGCGCTTGCATCCCAAGCTTTTACATACCAGCCACCGAATGAGCTGTGCCTCTAAGGTACTGAAACGACCGTTATTAAGCCTCAAGCCTAGTGAAACCCCGAAAGGGACGGGTAGGTACCACTCGAGAGACGACGGTAAAGGATTTCAATAGTAAAAATTCTATTGTAAGTAGTTGCGCTTAAAAGTTATTATCGGAAACGAAGTTTTTTGTCCTAACCTTATTGTCTCACACATATGCCGATTTGCCGATTGTATTCGTACATATTAACCTCTCATAATTAGGGATCATCATGCTGATCTGTACCGTGTTCGTCACAATGTGTGCGTAACATTGTTGTTGGTCAACCGAAATTGTAATAAGGGGCTGGATGAGCTTCCCCTCCAAGATGATTATTTTTCAGTTCTATCGAATTTATGACCTTAGATGTTTCTGGACCCGCTGAATATAGTAAAAAATAGTTTACTACCTTGAATATGGAGACAGTAGTTTCGCGTGGGGTTTCTAGATTCTAGATTTACACTATTAGGTCGTGTTTTGCCAAGACGGCTACCGATCGATGAAAGGATTTTGAATAGAAAAGCTTGTATTTTCTTGGAAGCAGGGGCACTAGACTCTTTCTAACCCAAGGGACGAATCATAGCAGCAAACAATAGAGGAATTAGCAAGGGTGGTCATGCGGGTATTCCTTGGCTGTGGGTCCCAAAGTCGTCATCAGCCAAATACGTACCCTCCAATGCCCTTACCTCGTGAGTCTCCCCCAGACAAATTTACACCCCACAGTGCTAAACATGCTTTTGATGCGGAGTGAGGGCTAATATACAGTTGGTTGAGTTACCAAGTTGATATGGAAAGTACATTGTGACACGCAATATGATTACAGTATTTATACGGTGAATACATCACCCTCCCGGGGGTGCATATGGTGTAGGTACACACATGTGTACATTACACCAAGAAACCCGCTACCTGTAGACAATCAATTCGGATTTCATTCTCTACATCTCCATTCTTGTCCGAAACTCTAACTCCAGTCACTATCTCTCCAAATCTGTCCTCGTACAGAGAAGAAGACGGTATTCATCGTAGCAATTACAAAGTCACCTTGATCTATAACCTCGTGCGATACAATAGATTGGTATTGAAGAAAACGCGGTCTTAGCCGCGACCATCGTCTTTCTCTTTTTCTAATTCCGTCACTCGTTATCTTCTCGCGGATGTCAAATCTTCCAACTACCAGCATCATGTCGCCTTTCATTTCGCACGCGATCCAGTCGCGCTGTTATTAAAAGAAATATCGTATCCGCGCAAACTTACCAGATAGATTCGGATGGTATGTCTATTACTTTGCCTTTCGTGATGTGTTTCAAATGGTATAATCTCGTAAGCTGCTATTCTAATACCTCCTGCTGCAGACGACATTATGTCAACATCTAAGGCTCTCGCTCAAAATGTCATGACTTATTACCACGGAAATGAATCCGGACAAACACCCGGCATCCTCCCGGGCCCTCCACCGGCGGGTGATACTACTGGTGGGAAGGCGGTGCCCTTTGGGGAGCAATGATCGATTATGGCATTACACTGGCGACACCACTTACAACGACGTAGTTACCCAAGCCATGCTTTGGCAGGTTGGTCCGAATAAAGACTATATGCCCCCCAACGTTACCGCCTCGCTTGGCAATGATGATCAGGGATTCTGGGGCATGTCTGCCATGCTAGCGGCTGAGCTCAATTTCCCCGACCCTCCTTCAGACCAACCTCAGTGGCTATATCTAGCCCAAGCAGTTTTTAATACTCAAGCCGACCCCAGTCGCCATGATGATACCTGTGGTGGTGGTTTGCGATGGCAAATTCCATTCGCGAATAATGGATATGACTACAAGAACAGTAAGATACACGAATACTTCAACTCTATACATACAAAACTAATACCGATCTAGGCATTGCCAATGGCTGCTTCTTCAATCTTGGCGCCCGCTTGGCACGTTATCTGAATAACGAAACATACGCAGATTGGGCAGAGAAAACTTGGGACTGGGTTCAGAGTGTTGGCTTGATGGACAGCGACTACAGGATATACGATGGCGCCCACGTCGAGACCAATTGTACCGATATCAACAAGGCCCAATTCTCATACAATAACGCCGTCTACCTACTAGGGGCGGCGCATATGTACAACTACGTACGAACTACCCGTAATCTCCCCATAATACCGATACTAACATGTCTCTAGACTGGTGGAGACTCAAAATGGGAACAGCGACTTAGTGGACTCTTAGATGCAACGATTCGCGACTTCTTCAAAAACAATGTTGCCTATGAGATCGCGTGCGAAGATCACATGACCTGCACAACAGATATGTTGAGCTTCAAGGGTTACTTACACCGATGGATGACAACTATGACACAGATCGCCCCGTTCACGGCCGAGAAAGTCCTACCGGTTTTAAAGGACTCAGCCCAGGCTGCTGTAAAGCAGTGTACTGGGCCGCCAGCCGGGAAGACCTGCGGGTTCGGGTGGGCAAGTGGCATATTCGATAATAGTGTCGGTGCTGGCCAGACAATGAATGTTCTAGGAGCTGTATCGTCTCTCTTGGTTGGGAAGGCTAAAGCGCCAGTGACGATGGAATCCGGTGGTACGAGCGAAGGTGATCCAAATGCTGGAGCGGGAAGCGACTCATTTATCCACTCGCCAGCGCCAATAACAACAGGAGACAGAGCAGGTGCTGGTATTCTAACCGCCCTAGTTCTAGCTTCTGCGGTTGGGACGTTTGGGTGGATGAGCATTGGAGTATGATGGGCATTACCTACTATCGCTATCGCGAACGAACACGAGGCGAGCTCGCCACTAATATCATTTTGAGGATCGGCAGATGGCCATAGCGGCACTTTGAGGATCCCATTCAAGTAGGGCATATATGGCGGCGTCTAGGATGGAAAGACAGATACGTAGCACGACCACAAGGGTATGAGGCGTTTGCAGCGGTTATTAGTTGAGCGTTCTCCTGTGGGATAGGAATTGGTTTTTGACTTTATTACTTAATTTTGGGCCATGAATCACCTTCGGCCAAGGTGGTTTAGGTATAATGCTAAAGAGGCTCGTCTCAGGGGTAGCTTGGACATGTGTAATCATGCCCAGAATGAAATGGACGTTTATTTAGGTAATGAAGCTGAATTCATAAGATTGTTCCGAGATCTTAAGAGAGGACTTCAAAAAAAAAGGGAAATATGTCACTGATTTAGGTAGTTGTATAACGAATTATAACCATCAAATATGTACCGAGATACTTGTTGAGCTGAGATCACGTGGAGCTTGGCAACCAGGTACACATGCAAACAATTTGTAAATGCATGATACGAAGTACGAAGTACGAATAATCGCAAAGATAATAATTTACCCCCACTAGACCATTTCAGGACTGATAAGAAAAGATAAGAAATTCGAACCCCTCCGCGCGACCATTTTTTTCAAGTATTAGTCGAACAAATCCTTACCTCAGCGTCGCATGTCAAACCAAGACCATACCAGAATTCGTCCACAGGTCATTTCTCGAGTATAATATCAAGTAATCAAGATGTCTGCAGAGATTGAGCAGGCTGAGGCTCCTCATAATGCCTACGACACTATACTGGTGCTGGACTTCGGGTCCCAGTTCACGCATCTTATCACTCGACGACTTCGAGAATTGAACGTCTACAGTGAGATGCTCCCGTAAGTGGTTTTTGTTTTTGTTTTTGTTTTTTAAAAACGCAACTAAAAATTAGAAAATATTCAAATCTTATAAGACTGATAATATCCCAAATAGGTGCACTACAAAGCTCTCAGAATTAAGCTGGAAGCCTAAGGGAATTATTCTATCCGGTGGACCATTTTCAGTTTATGACAATGATGCGCCTCATGTTGACTCAGCCTTTATCGATCTCGGAGTCCCCATCCTAGGTATATGCTACGGTCTCCAAGAAATTGCTTGGAACTCGAGCAAAGACAATGTCGTTGCCGGAACCAAGAGAGAATACGGACAAGCGGTACAACTTCCATCGACCTTTCAATTGTTAAATTTAGCGTTTTAATACTCATGGTCAATTAGGATCTCATACCACAGCATCACAACAGTCAAGTGGACCGATTATATGAAGGCTTGTATGGGGATGCGGGCATGAGAGTGTGAGTGTATTAACCTTTGGCGTTTAATAGACGTCTATCAAATAGATAGAGGGTCCTACTAACAAATAGCAGCTGGATGAGCCATGGTGACAAATTGAGTCAACTCCCGGATGGATTCGTCACCATTGCTACCACTAAAAACTCTCCGTACGCTAGTATCGCACATGAGAGCAAGCCGATCTTTGGTATACAGTTTCATCCTGAAGTTACACATACCCCTCGCGGTACTGAGCTTCTCAAGAACTTTGCAGTCGGCATTTGCGGTGTTAACCAAAACTGGACGATGACAGACTTCCTCGACAAGGAGGTTGCTCGAATCCGTAAACTCGTGGGTAACGGACAGGTGATCGGCGCCGTTTCAGGTGGTGTGGACTCGACAGTTGCTGCAAAGTTAAGTAAGTTAATGTCATACTATTTATTATCTTTTATAAATGAGAAGATTTCGGCGTGCCACCTTCTTGCCCATTCTATTAGGATTAAGATTACTAATAATACCCCTCTAGTGAAATTGGCAATTGGCGATAGGTTTCACGCTGTACTCGTGGACAATGGTGTGATGCGTCTCAATGAATGCAAATTGGTGAAAGAAGCACTTGGCGAGCATATTGGAATCAACTTGACGGTTATAGATGCCTCTCAAATATTCCTTTCCAAATTGAAGGGTGTATTAGATCCGGAGCAAAAGCGAAAGATCATCGGCAACACTTTCATCGACATTTTCGAAGAGGAAGCAATTAAGATTGAGAAGGCCGCGGAGAACACGCCAAACGCCGGAAAAGTCGAATGGTTCCTCCAAGGCACTCTATACCCCGTAAGAGAACACTTATAAAACGTGCTGAATAGCCAGCAAATTTATTCTCTAATAATTTTCCCTATACAGGATGTCATTGAATCGATCTCCTTCAAGGGTCCTTCAGCGACTATCAAGGTACGTCCTACCAATCATTTGAATTAATTAGGAGTTCAAAATTGACTGTAAATTAGACGCATCACAATGTTGGTGGTCTACCGCAACGAATGATGGACGGCCAAGGTCTCAAGCTTATTGAGGTAAGATATTATTTTGCTAAAACAAAATACTTGCTAATAAGTTACAGCCTTTTAGAGAGTTATTTAAAGAGTAAGTGTCCTAATGCAGTTCCAATTGCATAAATGTTGCAAATGGGTTTGGTGAGGTATTAACATCAGAAAAACAGTGAAGTTAGAGCCCTAGGTCGGGAGTTAGGTGTCAACGAAGAACTCGTCATGAGACATGTAAGTCACTCTAGAATCTAGTTCACCCGAACAACTGCTTACCTATTTTAGCCGTTCCCTGGCCCTGGTATTGCTATCCGAATTCTCGGCGAGGTCACCCCGGAGCGGGTCGAGATTGCAAGGAAAGCAGACGACGTAAGTTTAGATAAATACGATCTGTTCACATGTGGGGCTTATAGGTGCTGACACTACTCAAGATCTTCATCAGTATGATTAAGGAGGCAGGTATCTACAACGAAATCAGCCAAGCCTATGCTGGCCTTGACACAAACAAGGCTGTAGGAGTTATGGTGAGAAATCCAAAGATCTATTTCTCTCTTATTCCATTGCTAACTTTCTAAAAGGGTGATAAGCGCTACGAAGGATACCTCTGCTTGCTGCGTGCAGTTACGACCAAGGATTTCATGAGTGCCGAGGCTTATAAGTTCGATATGGACTTCCTCATGAATGTATCCACACGGATTGTTAACGAAGTCGACGGCATAAGCTGTGTATTCTACAACACGACGAGCAAGCCGCCAGCTACGATCGAGTTATCATAAGGGGAAATATTAGTCGAGATCTACTTTATTTTTTTTGTAGGCAAATTTATTAGACGCGATGCTCTCTATACCTCCTCTTATATCACGGTTATTCTGGGTTGAGTTTCATGTGTTAATTAGAGGCTCGCGGGATTATACTGTCCCTATGTGATAGAACACTCACTACCGAGACTTCAAAAGTTGGGAGTGTCCATTTTCTTTATAATCAAGAGCAATCTTCGGCCATTTTCCTGGGTTATTCAACCAATAGTTATTACGGACTAGTGGGTCGTATTACTATTATGGTCGTGTAGAACTAGCTTCCTAATCTCAGTCGTCTAATACCAGAATATCTTGGCAATACCCGTGTTTACTTGCAGGTCAAAAACAACTTTGCCGCTCCGCAAGGGATTTTAAGCTAACCATGGGAGCCTACATTTATACACACTAAAAGCATCCTTTGTTCTGGATGTCTCATCTAAAATCCTAATAATAAGTAATCTTAAGGATGAAGTGTATTATCGCCGATTCTATACTTAGTAATTGGAAGTTTAATGATCTTCTAGGCATTCTAGCTCGTCGGGCTTAGTAGTAGTCGGTGTGCTAAATATGATTATTCATAATTGAGGCGTAGTAGTTCGTTTCGCACCTGGGGATCTTCTGGTCTGCCAAGATTGCTGCGGCGTAGTTGACGCTATATTGAGGCTCAATTTGATATGTCAGCATAAGTGATATCATGATCAAGGGTAGTCTATCCGATTTTCGCATCGACAATTCATGTTCTTAGAAGCATTATGATTTTTATTTTCTATAGGTATTGGCTACTGAGGATTGGTGTTTTCAGTGGTAGATGCTAGAGACGCCATATTCTAGCCACAATAGACAATGACGTCTTTGTCCCGGGATGCTTGGTTTGAGAATACAGATAGTACTAACTCCGTTTAACTCCGTTATATAATTAACGTAGCTTATGAATAGAAGATAGCAGGAAAACTCCATCAAGGATAATCAATACCATTGTAAATATCAAGTGGTTTAATTCAACCAAAAGGGTTCCCTCATTTAAAAATACCTAACGTAGTTGAAATATACTCTATTGAAATATACTAATATATTCATAGTCAGCACTGAAGAAAAAGTAGATAATTTCATTCGCTGGAAATGCGTCTTGCATGAGGCTCGTAGGATTCTCGTGCATGATGGTGGTAAATCGACTGATATAATTATTTTGTATAACCACCTGTTGATATCGCGACTCAAGCTAAGTGGATAGCCTGGATAGCCACAGAATTACACCAACACAATCGGGAATAGACAAGAGAATTTGTAATCGGAAATATATTGACCCTGTTACTAATAAAGTCGGACATAACATTATCTCCTAAAATAGCCATAGACTACGTAAATACCAAACTAAATTTGATTGGTCACAACTACGCATGTCATACATTGCAGAGAATATCGCGATAGCTTTGTCATAAGGAGGGGTGGAGGGGTTCGAGACGTCACATAACTATATTAAATGTGGAAAGCTTCTCAACATATCGCGTACTTAAGAACAGAATAGAATAGAATATTTAAGAACAGCCGACGCAGACTATATCACACCATTAAAACCACTCGATATCACTCAACACCACTCGACATAACTCAACCTCTAATACACCAAACTCTACACTAACATTAGAATACCAATCGCATAAAACAAAATGGCTGCAACTCAGAAAGCTCTTATTATCCAGGAGGGAAATGTCGGAAAGGTCGTAACCGACGCATCTATTCCCAAAGTGCGCCCCGGCTACGTCAAGGTTAAGACAGTAGCTGTTGCTCTAAACCCTACCGACTGGAAGCACATTGATGGTGTTGGAATTGCCGGCAGCCTAGTTGGTTGCGACTATTCAGGTATTGTTGAGGAATTAGGACCCGACGTCACAAACTTCAAAGTCGGCGACAAGATCGCAGGCTTCGTCTCCGGCGCCAATGCGAGCAACGCAGAAGATGGTGCTTTCGCCGAACACATCGTAGCGAAAGCAGCTCTTGCCATCAAGGTCCCAGACACCATCACCATGGAACAGGCGTCGACGCTAGGTGTGGGCATCAGCACAGTCGGCCAAGCCCTCTACCAATCGCTAGGCCTTCCTTTACCCACCGAGCCGGCTAAGAAGCCCTTCCCGGTCCTTATCTACGGAGGTAGCACTGCAACTGGAACGCTAGCAGTCCAATTCGCCAAATTATCCGGTCTGCAGGTCATCACGACATCCTCGCCCCACAACTTCGATCTCCTAAAGAGCCTAGGCGCAGACGCGACCTTCGACTACAAGTCCCCGACCGTCGGTGCGGATATCCGCGCCTTCACCAACGACAGCCTAGAATACGTATTCGACTGCATCGCAGAGGGTTCCGCACCCGAGATCTCAGCGCAGGCGCTTAGTTCCAAGGGCGGCAAGTACAGCTCTCTACTAACCGTCGAGAACTTCCCCCGCGACGACGTCACCAAGCTCCAGACCCTGGCGTACACGGCGACCGGAGAGACGTTCGTCAAGCTGGGACACACGTTCACGGCGAACCCCGCAGACCTCGAGTTCGGCACCAAGTTCTGGAAGCTGGCGGGCGAGCTGATAGCCCAAGGCAAGGTTAAGCCGCACCCGGCGGATATTCGCGAGGGCGGCTTGGACCGTATCCTCGAGGGTCTGGATGATCTGCGACAGGGACGGGTTACTGGAAAGAAGATCGTTTATAAGATCTGAAGGTGGATCAGTTAGGTACCTAGGTGGAAGGGGAAAAATGGAGCTGTTGGGATGACGCTGGGGAGCCAATTATAGTGCATACCGGGTGTGGTGGGCTACGTACCTTAAGTGCCCGCTTTAGAGACTGACAAGCGGTGGATTTTTATGATTATTGTGATATTTGATCATTGTCCTAGCTTTAGATTCAGTATTAGACTCCATTAACCTACCTAAGTTAACCTATTTACGTTCCAACGGTTGTAGCTATGTGTGCCTAGCTATGAAATATCATCAACTGATTGTTTTCACTGTTAATATATCGAAGTGATTTAGAAACATGAACGGTGGTATTTAAAGATCGTACTTTGAAGCTTCGAAGCTCGAAAAATATAATTTTACAGTATAATTTTACAGTATAATTTTACAGTATAATTTTACAATGCCTAAGGTGTATTATTACCTTAGGATTAGGTTAGGTTAGTTAGGATATTGTGTTAAATGCGAGTAAAGATTTTTCCTATTCGGGACGTATGCCTTACTACCATATGCAAAAATTTCCTGCCTTATAAGAAGTAGTAAAAGAAAGAAATAAATGATAAAGGAGGTAGAATCCTATTAAAGTATAAATGACTCAGGGGTAGATTCAGGAGTAAGTCTACTGTTCAATCTACCTTGATATTCACTAAGGATATAATACCTGATAAATACCATTTATAGTGCGGTGTAAACCTTAGGCATTTGTGTCACCCGGAGGGTAACCTCGGGTTTGAGCTGTTAAATGATTGAATAGAGGCTATCTTTTACATATATCTCCATTCATTGTTCAGTGTCCATATCCTCGAATCTTAGCCAATGCAATATTTATCATACCTTCTACTTCTTGTGTGTATGTATATTAACTACATCCGATATATCAAGCATTCAGCTTCCCTGTGTCTTCTAGTGAGATTTCCTCACTTGAAATTGAAGGCAAGTTCTATATAGTAGCCGTAAATCTAAGGAATATTAGAACACCAAATACATAACCTACTTATCCACCCATGACTACAAACTCACAGCCCTCGTTCTTCGCAGTTGCAATGGAGCACTTTAGACATGCCGTAAGTTGGAAAATGAACTCCGTATGGTGAACATCCTCGAATGACATATTATATGACTTGATCATCCCAAATGTAAGGAGCTGTTCAAGTTTATTCCCATGCAAAGCTATCAGCTGTGTGGCATTCTGATTTCTGCTGCCTAGGGCTCCGAATCCAACAATTGCTAAATTTTGATCATTTTGTACCTGGAATTCCGATGTAGGTTCATGCAGGCAACTCGCACCCTGTGCTTTCACTAAACCTTCGATACAACTATTGATACCTATGTATACCGCAGAAGCCTTTTCGTATCCAACTTTGAAGGACAGTGAAATTGCTTTTTCGTCAAAGTACACGTCCATGAATATGTTACTTTCTGAGGGGGCATGGTGTGGCATGAGAGATAGTCCTGGTGCGAGTAGAGTTGAAACAGGAACTCTTGAAAACCGCGCAGGTATACCGGGTTCGTTTTTCTCTAATATTATGGACCTAAAGGCACCTGCCACAGATGCACGACCAGGTAGTATAGTTAAGAAGCGACCCTGGTTATCGAAACAGTCATAGCTCAGTATACAGGTGTAGCAAACTGTAAAGTCTCTACCTGAATATCCCAGAGCGTGTACCGTAGTTAATATACTTTCTGGGTTCTTTTCCACTAAAAAGAGTATACTCCACAAGTCGTCTTCAGTTGTTTCAGGGCAGTGGTATGAATATCTTTTTGTGTTACCAAAATCCAGAAGAATGTCTGGGTAAATGTAGAGTTGGCTAGCATCAAATTGGCACCGTGCTCTATGTAATAGGGAGTAAGCAGTTAGTTTATAGGTTAAACACTTATTAAGCAATCATTTAGAAAAGCGTCTGAAATCCTGTCCATAAATACAACCATTTCTAATATAAGAAAATTTTCAGAGGGAAAGAGGGGGTCGAGAAAGCAAATTTGTCATGGGTGCTAACTTACAGACATCTTGCAGAAAACGCAAACCCATAAACTAAGCGGATAACATAGTCACATAATTCGGAACATTTATGCGGCACCTGCGGATTTGTTTCGATACCTCTATTGCCATCACAAAGACTAAGCAGCCTATTCGTAAAGTTTGGTGCCTCTTCTATGACTGGTTGATTCTCAACGGAATCAAAAACAGAATCCTCAAATCCGAAGGCATTAAGAGTTTCTTTGAGTGCTTCGGCTGTTTTGAAAATTTTGCGAAACTGCAAATATTTATGCCGAGAATAATATACTTCTAGCTCCGATTTCAATATCTCCAAGCATAGCCGACATATCTCCCGATGAATGTCTTGCTGGAGTGAAATGTCAATCCTCGGTTCGCGAGAAATTAATGACGCAAAAACCATATCGATCGGAAGGTAGTTATAAAGTATCGACTCCTGGTTTTCGGGATTTGGTGACTCGATTATTGTGACCCTCTGGCCTATGATGGTCTGAAAGTGGGAGTCATTGGCTTGATACTCTCCCAATTCAAAAATAGCAGTCCCATTACTTCCTGCACTTTCCCATATGATAGCGTTATTGAGACGTAACTCGACTGCCATCCCAAGTATGTGACTTGCGAATGCTGAAAACCAAGCGCCCCTCATGCTTGAAATAGTAGAGTTAGCGAAGTAAAAGAATCACCCCTCCTATCAGCAGGGTATAAAGGCGTACCGTATAGGTATATAACTACTCTCTTTCCTTCCTGAGGTCAGCATCAATTGACTTATAGCGCCCGCGACACTTGACGCATCCCCAGCTCTTTCAATATATTCAAGAAATTTAGGATCTCTAGGCTGGTTCAGGTTTATAGCACGGGTTGCAGTTGTTGTAATATGTGCGACAACTCTTGAAAAGCCCGAGTCGAGAAGAAGGGGGGCGAGATAGCCAATCATATGTTTCAGCACGTCGACATTAGGCAACTTGTCAGCTTCACAGCCCCGTAGTGAGAGGAGGTTTGAAAAGCACTCGGCAGCTTGGTAGTAGGTAGACCCATAAGCAATAGCGTTAATCAGGACTAGAGCATTCACACCTGCTTTAGTCTGTGCCATAGCAACTGCAAGCTCTGGTTGACCCCACCCAATGCTTAAGACTTTTGATAAAACGGATTGGATACCACGTTTGGACTTGACAAGTGCCGGAATAGTGTTTCCTAAAGAATTGCGAACCTCGAAGCTTTTGCCGAGAGTGATAGCAGCAACTACCGAGTAGAAATCCACCCCGCCGTCGCTCAGAGCTTTGAGGGCTTTGCCCGTGAGTAGGTGGAGTAGAGAGCCGGTATTGGCGACATCTGCTTGGAAAGCAAAACCAACAGAGCTTTCTGATGACATTTTCAATTTCAAATCAGCTATGATGTCTTACTAGTATTTCGGAGGAGCTGACGCAGGCGTTGCTATGAGTTATTTAAAGAAGAAGAAGGGGAAGAAGAGGAAGAAGAGCAGAACTGGGATGATTCAGCTATGAGGCTATGTTACCGCTCCATTCTAAGAGACAATACTACCCAACTTACATATGTCATAAATGACGAACCAATCCCCGCCGAGCAAATCAGAAATATTGATGATAAGTGGTTTATACATAGGCGCCTCAAGCCATGTCCGAGCTCTACAGGACGCATAAATAAGGAAACCCTAATCTTTGAAAACCGGTTGGATATTTCAAGAGAAGAGGACCATTTCCGTCTAACTTTATAGATAGTATAAGGGAAATGCATATAATGAAGCATAATACTATGCTATTAGTTGCTAATGTTTGTATTAAAATATACCTCTTTTTACCTAACCTACCTACATACCTATGTACCTCCTTATACGTCGCCAAATACCCTAGGTTAGGTAAGTGGATTAATCCCCACGGCGCCAAGCCAACTAAAGTACGAAGCTGAAAGACATTATCTTCCACCATTCATTCCTTTCTAGAAAATAAAAGTAAATAGAAAATTAATCGAAAGAAGTAGCAAATATATCCTAAAGATTAAGATGCCTTTATTCGCCGACCCAGCTATCTTCCCATCATTCAATGAACTGCCATCTTCATCAACTCCCCCCGCGCCAACTGCAGACTGGTTCCTATTGGCACAGATCAAGGAGGACATGACGATCACGAAGCCGACGGTGATCGTCCGGGACCGGACCGGAGTAGAGTTCGCCGTCACCTTTGAAGACGGCGACCATCGTGGTCTCGGACAAGGCGGCGTGCGCTTCCGGAAGGGTCACACGTTAGTTGTCCCGCGCGCGACACGCACGGACCGTGGTGAGGGGAAAAAAGCTATCGTCCGCGTGCCGCCGGGGGAAGGAGCTGGTGTTCGAATCTTACCTGCTGGCTTGGATCAGGTATTTGAAATAGGGGCGATTTTAGACGGGATTGAGGGGGCCGGGCGGGGGAAGAGGTGTGCGGCGTGCGGCAAGGAAGAGGCGGAGGGAGAGGGTGAACATCCGCTAATGCGATGTACGGGATGTGGCGTTGTTGCATACTGCAGCAAAGCATGTCAAGTCCAAGGCTGGAGCGAATTAGGACACAAGGCGAATTGCAAGGTGATTCGGTCAATTAAGGAGATATGGTCGTGATATCATGTGCGGTATCATTCGCGTTGGCACTCCCCGCCAGGTGCAACCGGAAGGTTAGTGACTCAGGCTGCAACCGAAAGCCTCATATATCCGAGCAACAGATGGACCTTCAACGAAAAATACCCGCTCTGTGCAGCTGATGGTTTAATGGTAAAGACTGTCTTTCCAATTACCGGAAGCATAGACCATGGAGAGGTATTTGCCATGTTGTAACTTGACCTTTGCCACCTCATATTTGTGAGAACACACCACAGTTTGATGGATGGCGGGGCGGTTCAACAATGGCTATTTTTTTTTTATTTTTTTTTTTTGGTTTTTTTTTTTCTTGCCCGAGGATATTGTCTGTTTTATTTTAAATTTTCAATTGTTAGGAATGAAAAGTCTTAGGCAGCACTGGGATGATAATCTAAGAGGACAAAACCAGCATTTTACTTGGGCTATTTTGTAAGTTATCATTACTGGAATGTTATGCTACTAGTTGAAGTTCTAACGTATAGATCTAAACAAATTGAAATAGAGATATCCGGCCATATGGAATAAAATAAATGTTCAAGTTGTTAGCTTGAGCTAAACAGAACATCTCGGGGGTAAGCGAAGGGTGCGACGTTTTAGCTAGTGTTCACGATCGCCTCATCGAGATTAATCCCGAATAGTATACATAATATCCGTTCTCATCGTATACTTGATCCCATCCAAGACATCATCTCCCGCATGATACAGCCTCCGGTGCTGAAAGATTAGGATCCGACCAGCTTTAGGATTCACGTCGAGTTTCCGCTTTTGATTAGACGATAGGAAGGACGTCGCGCCGCCGACTAGATCAGCCGCGTCACCAACCTCCTGCTTCGAGTCGTTCAGGTATAAGTGCAAGGTATAATGCGTAAGCACCGATTTCCCATCTTCTCCAGTCTCGCCGTAAGGGGAGTCGCAATGCGGCCTGAAAAACTGGCCCTGGCCGTACTTTAAAAAGCGCATGCGCTTGTTGAGGCGCTGGAAATCCCACACCGTTCCCTTTGGCTGCTCCGACGTGAGGAGCGCGTCTTTGATCTCTGGGACTTGCTCTAGACGTGCCCAAAGACGATCGACGATGTCCTGCTGGTCCCAGATAATGCGGTCGCTGTTGCGATAATCCAATACCTCGGCCTCGTATCCATCACCAACATTGACGAGCGCAGGTGCCCAGGAAGACCCGTTTATCTTGTTTTTGTTCTTAGGGGGTACACTAGCTTCGGCCAGCTCAATGAGCTTGGCACACTCGGACGGGCTGATAACATGGTCTAGCACCACGGCGTACAGGCCCTTGTACTCTGTCAGCACGGTATCAGCGAAGTCTATCTTTTTGAAAGCGATAGGCTGTGCATCGTGCGGCTCCGAATTTAGGAAGTCTTCCGGGATGGGGATGTCGTTGGACTCGTAGGATGTTTTGACGGGTAGCTTATACATCTTGAGCCGTGTTTGTGATGATACGGAATACGCGTAAATGATTGGCTGAAATGTGTTTACAGAAACTTGAAACTTGTAACTTGATGATATCACCAATACCAAGCGGCTATGCTACCAAGACAGATCTTAAGATATCGAAATACAAGAAAGAAGAGTAAAGAACTTCCTAAGAAGTAGAATAGAATAATTCAACTCTTATTCAATAACTAAAAGGATGCCTAATTTTCTAACAGCTAAGCAAAAGCTATGACCCAATGTATTTCGTATTGGGGGCGGAAACTGAAAACACCCTAACCTACAGCTTTGGGATCAACGGTCTAGACTTCTAAGCAGACGATCATTTCTCTCTTGTATAACAGGTAAACAAAGGACAGTTCTCATAGATACCTAGGTAAACAGTTTGAGGCTCCGGATGGTGGCATGTTAAGGATATATTCAACAGCCGACTCAATCCTTGCCGTGAGAACTAGCAGGGATTCTAGTGGAATTTAGTCCAGGCAGACAGCATAAAATAAAATACCCTGTAGCACAACGAGTTGTGCTAATTGGAAAGCTTGCCGGCGAGGCTTTCCAATTAAATACGTTGAAAACCAAAGCCGATGGCTTCGGTTTTTAAGAGAGGTACGTACCTGATTTTAGACTAAACTATATTTGTACACTTCGGGTAAACTTCAGCCAATAGGGTAAATGCAAAGTCGTAAGGTTTTACTAGCGTGAAAATCCGATCCCTCTACAACTCTATATAGACAGACTAAATTTAACTTAGGAAAGCAAGCTTTCCAATAACAGATATCCATTTTGATGCACCATCTAAAGATGTTAAATAGGTAATTACTATAGCGAGATAGACATTATCATGACTAAGACTATTCAAAACATCGGAGAGGTGTAAAGCAATGATAGGTCCGTAGGTATAGAAAACCCCATATTGTCACAGCCAATTATATCCAATGGCATTAGTCGACCTGTGGATGGCGAAAGACTAGAAAAGGGGGTTTTAGAGCTATTACGGTGGACTATTAATCCAACTATGCCAAAATCAAGAAAATGGGTGGGAGCTATCCAAAAAGGGTATTTTAGTAAGCAACGTTAGGTGCACAGTATCTTGAAATACCTGAAATATAAGATTTTCTATTATTTTATTTTTTTATTATGTAGTTATCATATATATATATACGTACATACAATACGACTTATACACCAAAATAACTTTACGAATATCTTGTTTTAAAAATTATAATTGGTATTATTTTATAGCTTTAATTAATACGAAAATAATAATCTAAGTTGCATGTTTGTAAAATACGTATTGGATAGTTTGTTCGTTGTTGAAATATTTATCTATAGCATTTTCAAGGTGGTTTTAAAGGGTATCACGTGTTAGCTTTTTAACCTTATTTAATATTGATATTAGTATGAATTGTTAGTTTAGGTAAAGATATATATAAATGTAATTTAGATTAAAATTTTCGCATTAATTAAGGTTATAAAACGATATTAATTATAACTTTTAAAATAAGATATTCGTAAAGTTATTGCGATATATAAGTTGTATTTTGTATATTTACGTATTTGTAGGTATATATTTAAGGTTAAAATAAAGGTTGAATTTTATTGGTTATTATTTTTAGTTTATGGGGAAAGGGAAAGTAGCCTGCAATGTATTTAATAATGTTTATAATTATATGGTGTTTTCAATATTTTTACGAATTTAGGGTTAAGTTATATGAAATTGGGATTGAAATTTTTATTTTTTTAATAAAAATATCAATACTAATTTTAGGTAATTCGAACGTATATTAGTAAATTTATCCCTATATAAAAGGTATGTATTACCTTATAAATTGTGTATATAGTAGGAATAACCGAACTTATACTGTAATATTAATGTTACTATTACCTTATTTGATATAGTGCGATTGACTTTTTTGATTTTGGCACAGTTGGACTAATAGTCCACCGTAGCTATATTTGAACCCCATTCGTTCGCCCGAAAAAGCCGATCGCTATAGACTCTACCGAACTACCGGCGCGTCATGGTAATGCTAACTTGACCCCGCGTCATTCGTCTCTAATTTATAGGAGCGAGTGTCTGCCGTGATAGTTGACATAGAAGTATCAAGCAAGTTTATATAAATAAGTCAAGGCAATTGAGAAAAAATCTCAAGGTGTAATTATAACTAGCGAGGGAATAATCTCGTTAGATAAAGACTTACCCGGTATACGCAAAGCTCGAATCCACAAAAATGGCTGCCCCTCCCCCACATGGAATATACGTCCCCGTACCGACCTTCTTCGTGAGCAAGAAGGCGGCCAACTACGACCCCGTTGCGGCGCCGGTCGACGTTGATACGCAGGTTGCGCACTCCTTGTATCTGGCGAGAGCTGGTATTAGGGGATTGGTGATTCTGGGCAGCACGGGAGAAGCGATACATCTCACGAACAAGGAGCGCTTCGAGGTCCTGTCCGGTGTCAGGCAAGCGTTTGAAAAAGAGGGCTTTAAGGACTACCCCATCATCGCCGGCACTGCCACACAGAATGTCGAGGAGACGGTTGAGCAGTTGAAGGGCGCTAAGGAAGCCGGTGCGCAATACGGTTTAACTCTGGTACCGGGATACTTCGCTGGAGCTAGCACGCAAGAGGGTATCATCAAGTGGTTTACTGCAGTGGCTGACCGAAGCCCCATACCCGTCTTAATGTGAGTTTTCTTTCCTCGGCTATAATTGACCAGTATTGGAGAATGTGGATACTAATAGAGGGGGTTCCGGTAAATAGATACCACTACCCGGGCGTCTCGAACAACGTCAAGGTCGTCCCGGCTACGTTCGAAACTCTGTCTAAGCACCCCAACATCGTTGGCTGCAAGCTCTCGCACGGCGACGTATCATATCACACGCAAATCGCATCCAACCCCTCCATTGACCACTCTAAGTTCGCCACTTTCACGGGGCTAGGCCAGCAATTGCTCCCAGTCGTGACTATCGGCGCTGCCGGTGCCATCGACTTCCCCTCCCCCTTCCCCCCCAAAAGCGTGGTGCGTCTATACGACCTGTCGGTGAAGAACCAGCCCACAGACGACGAGATCCGCCAGCGCCGCCTTCTGCAGTTTAAGATCAGTGCTGTGGAGGAGCTGATTGCAAAGTTTGGTACCGTTGGCATCAAAGAAGCTATCAGCAGGCTGCGCAAGCTGGGTGATCCCGACGGCACGCGATTGCCCCTGTTTGGCGGTATCCCTGGTGGCGATACTGAGTGGGCTAAGTGGCAGACATTGATCGATGCGTTGGAGGAGGAAGAGCTGAAGTTGTAAGTCTTGGTGTAAAAAGGTCCGTTGGATAATGGCTTGTTGGCACTATGTAATGACGAAAAGTGGACAATTGGGTCCATAGGCTAGACCGTTGAAATACATAGCCATTCAAAATGTAAATACTATACTTTACCCACATATCAATAAGAGAAGAATGATGATATGTATCTAAGTGTAAATATGTGAAATGTCGGTTTAATTATGATGCCGTTTGGCGTGTTATTACGCTTTCGGGGATTAAATGGGCAAATTCGGATCCGAGGTGTTGCTGCCGTCCATCCATTGAACTCGTTATTCGTTATGCAGGCGCTAATCTGACGAGGAAGGTACCGATTAGTAACACTTCCATCATTAGCTACATAAACTCTCTCATGAAATAAATAGTATTAATAATGGAGACACTCTTCCTTTACTAATTTACCTTTCAATCGCCTTTACCGCTGCTGCTGGACTCAATCCCATTTGATAGTACTTCAAGAAATGGCCGAGACAAGCAACCCGGCTCCGGGCGCCGTGCCGAGTGTCTCGCGCGTTACGTTAACGGTCTCGGGCCTACAAGTCGATGTCTACGGGTTGACGGAACTACCCGCAACCGCGGCTAAGGTATCATGTCTATGGCTGCATCACGGACGACTACGAAAAAAAGAGGATATGATCCCTTTCGCAAACCAGTTTCTCTCCGCTTATCACGAGAAGTCAGAGCCTACGCGCGGTTTAATCGCTGTCGCGCTTGACCAAAGAAATCACGGTTCGCGACTCGTTGACAGGCGAGCGAATGAGTCCTGGGTGGACGGAAATGAGACTCAGTACGTAATACCAGGAGTCAAACTATTTCTATAGTATCATTGGATTTTATCACTTGGGAATGTATATAATGCTTCAGATCAGGGTTTGCTAACTCGCATCTACGTAGCGCCCAAGACATGTTCGGCCTCGTTACGGGTACCGTCATGGATACAATAAATCTGATGGACCTAATTGAGAGCCACCTATTTAGTACTGATAAACATGTACTAAGTGACGGCGGGAGAAGACGTATTGACCACAATATCGTTCTTGGTATCAGCTTAGGAGGCCATAGTGCGTGGCAGCTCTTGTTCGCAGACCCTCGAGTTACAGCGGGGGTTGTAGTGATTGGATGCCCCGATTATATGGGTAAGTGCAGACCCCCAACCCCAGTCGAATAAAAAGGGAGAAGGATATTCGTTAGAAGGTGAAGTAAGTATCGTGGCGTTAATATGTACTGACGATTAAAAGTTCTCTTGAAAGACCGTGCGCGACTATCACAGTTGCAGACATTTAACGAGTCAAAATACGGTGCTTCTTTCATCGGCAGCAAGGACTTTCCAGATGCTCTGGTAAATGCCTGCAAGAAATATGACCCCAAGGGTATCTTGTTTGGAACTGATGAGATCGTGCTGCCTACCACAGCGGAAGAACAGCAGAGGCTGCGTCCTCTACTCGAGTCTAGAGTTTCGGGCAAGAGATTCCAGATTCTTTCCGGAGGGGCGGATAAACTCGTACCATACAGCATGGGCGAACCATTCATCCGATTCTTCAAGACTGCGACCAATAGCTGGTATACAGACGGTAGAGTTTATGTAGAGGACAATGTTTATCCGACTGCAGGGCACGAGTTCAGCGCTGAAATGAGAAAGGATGCCGTACGGTTTATTCTTGATAGCGTAGCTTTAGCTAATAATTAGGGGAACCACCCTTCTATGGATGTAGGCCGATTTTGCAACTTAAGCGCTTAGATGTCGAGACCATGGGTGGGTGACTCCTTCAAGGAAGATGCTCCTCTCCCTCCCTAGCCGAAGTTGACTGTACGCCACTGCGAATCCGATCGTCTTCATTAAGGAAGAGTGTCTGAGGTATGTTCCATGGGTTTCTTTTCCTACGCTTACCAGATAGAAGCTCGCCTTTTCCATGGGGATCCTCTTTCCACTGGGTAATCGCTTCAACGATACCTTTCATAGCAGCCTCATTTGTTCCGTCGACCATGGCAGGCGGATCCACGCCGACGAAATTGGTTCGGTCTAGGGGAAATCCAATAGCACCGCAATGGCAGTCGACCAGACGCTGACGTTTAAATGCGTGGCTAACTATTGTAATCGTCGCTGGCCATTTCCCGTAGTTAGACCAAAACATGGTGAGCGAAAATAAGACGTTGCAATAAGAATCCAATGCTCGCTCTTCGCTGTGTAGCCGGTCTACAATTTCATCTTCGGTGAGGATCCCGAAGAAATCATTAGCGATAGCAAGATTTGCATAACTGCGAGCTTCAGATAGGCGTGTTTCTTTTCTCGTGGGCCCGCTAAAGAAGTACGGAGTCAGCATTAGATCGAACTGGATAATCTAAATATAGCTATCCCATGGTCTCAAAAACTGATAATTTGATATGCACTTTTTATCGCCTGAGTCTTACGCGAGGGGTCGTATTCCTCAATTATATATGAGTGGTTTAAAATAAACTCACCCGGAAACATTAAGATGGCATTCTGGCTCTCTTTCAAGACCTGTAGCCCAGTCTTGATATGCTCAATGAAAGTTGGTGTTTCGCCTTTTTGAAACCCGGCGATGAGCCATTCATTTTCGGCATGACCTCGTGCGGGACCACCAAGCCAGATTCCATGGCAGCATACGATGATTAAATGTTCGGGCGGTTTTGGGGACATCGTGTGGCTTATGATAATTGTACATTCGTTATTCGAGCTGAAGTAGAGAAAAGTCGCGTCTGGATTTGGTGTCTTGGATGGGTGATTGGCTGGCTATGTGCATACATGATATTGCAATTATAAGATCTCACCCAAACTCACCGTAAAACGTATCGTGGAGATCAGTTAAGAATCACCATCGAACACTCAATCGACTAATTAGTGTAGGTATACATCAAAAATGGCCAATGTATTGAACCGTCCCTTAGACAGGGCTGGTTTTCCTTTTTTATTTTTTTTTATTTACGAGCCGGTAAATAGTCTGAGAGCTGGGAAGAGTTGATCGTCCCTGTTTTTAGTTGTGACTTCACCACGCGCCTAACGAATTGTAGTTTACAACGTCTCTGATGAGATCATTGTAAGTTTCGCATAGGTATTATCCTAGACCCTAATATTATAGTCACTTCTGCAGTTCAGTAGACCTGAGCTGTTTGAATATTTCAGATACTAGATAGAGACTTCCTGCAATAACCAGCGGTCCTTCTTTTGCGGTCTGGCTTGCCCATTCGAGAGCCAAGCGTATATTTGTAGATGCATTGAACTGTGACGAAATCGCAACGCCACATTTGCTTGCGGTGTCAAGCAGATCCGTCGAACTTGTCGGCTGGACCCAAGGCATTTGGTCAACAGGGCCGAACTCGACTGCTGCTATAGAATCACCATCGCGTAGTATCAGTTTCAGCATTTCCGATACGTCTTTTCCTCGAGTAGCCGCAAGTACCCAAGTGACTGGCTTGTTTTGGGACCGTAGGTGCTTTTGAACAAAGCCGGCGAGTGCTTCCGCGGATTGAGGGTTATGAGCCCCATCAAGTAAAATATTACCCTTTCTATTTGTAACCTTTTCAATGCTCACCCACTGTAACCTGCCTGGCCATACTACATTCCGGGCAGCAGAAACGAGACTATCAATAGAGATAGCATGCTGCGGAAATGCCAACCTGAAGGCTTCATATACACATGCTAGATTTTGTTGTTGATGTGGTTCCAGGGTATCTCGTAATTTATTCACAAGCTCGTTGGACTCGGCATCTGCAAAAATAATGCTGCTACCTGTCTCCTCGGCATGTTTCTGTAGAGCATCTAGAACAGACTTTGAGTTGCTGCCATCAACAACACAAGGGACATCTTTCCTCATGATGCCTGCCTTTTGACGAGCAATCTCCTCAATAGTATTGCCCAGAAATGATTGGTGGTCGAGACCTATTTTGGAGATCACGGTGACACACTTGTGTTTTAATACGTTCGTAGCATCAAGGGTTCCGCCCAACCCTACTTCGATTATGCCAAACTCAACCTTTTCGGATTCGAATATCTCAAAGGCCGTGGCTGTGAGAAGCTCGAACTCGCTAGCATCGATCTTCTGCTCCGTGTTTCTCCTCTTGACTAAATCCTCAAAGTATCTGAACTTGCTCTCAGACACGATGCTATCATTAATGGTGATACAATCCCGAGGGTCTATGAGATGAGGCGAGGTAAATCTACCACATGAGATTTGGTTGGCGCGCAACATGGCAGTTAAGTATGCGCATATTGAACCCTTGCCGTTGGTTCCAGCAACATGAATGGCTTTCCATGTCTGTGGCGTCGACTTGAGCAGAGCACTAATTCGTGCTAGCCCAAGGCTCACCATGATGATGAGTGTTGACGAAGCAGAGGTTGGCTTGGCATGTAATTAGATCAAGAGTAAAACCCTGGGTGAAGTAAATAGCCTAACATCTCTATAAGATCTATAATATCTGTTGTAGAGTAAAAACACATGAAGAGATGAGTCATATGCCGAAGTATTGTATATATGGTGAGAGTGATGACTGAGAAGTTAAGGGCGCAACAGAATGGGCAAATCTCAGCCTGTGGATTTTGATACTTTTGTCATTGTAGATACATGCTTGGCGTGTTAATTGGTATCGATAGCAGGGGTCAAATAGTACGTATCTGCATAGATGCCTGCTAGACTGGACTATGTACATATGTACATATAAGCTTGAAGTTGATGGAGTTAGTGAAATACTTAAATTATAGTATAAATATATAGTGTTTAGCCTGTACTCATATAAAACGGTTTATCATCCCCCGGCACGAAGATAGGCTTAGATTGCTCGCATGAACTAACGCGCTAACATACTAAAGCACTGTCCACTTAAAGGATCGGAGAGCAACCGTCACATCTCCCGTCTCTTGACAACCAAAGACAACCTGGGCGTTCTTTCAACTTTCCCAGTCGTCTTTTTGTTTTCACTCCACAAGACCGTCAACCCGTCAACCCGTCAACCCGTCAACCCGTCAACCCGTCGACCCCACGAGGCAAGTGAAAGTTAACCTTGCACGCCCCCCGTTGCAATCGACGTTTCCCAACATTGTGCATCGTCGCGCATCATTCATATTCTATCAATTTCCCGTCTCTGATTTCCGATCAACTTCCCGATCAACTTTCTACAAACATTTGAAAACTTTTTTTTAAATTAGTACTTTGTACTTGTGACTATAACTTTGTCGCTATAACTCGTGCTGACGACGCGACAGTCTTTTCACCTTTATATTTCCGCCCTTCTATACCCTTTTACATTTACTACATTCCTTTAACTACCTACTCATCAACCTCATCCACCACTCAGGTTTATTCTATCTTGACTCGCCTGTCAACTTAGTTATATTTTGCCACACGCGCATCAACTAATACCAAAAATGGGTCTACCGTAAGTCTATTGTCGCAACGCGTTTACATATATTTGTATTATCACAAACAACACCTATGACGATTTTATGACCTATTATATTATAGCTCTACCTCTATTTTCTTTATTAATATATCTATATACATAAACCACCTAACATAGCATTTGTTCCTAACTCTTTTTCACTATTAGACTATGGGTTGAGCCTGACGAGTCTGGCTCTCGCGCCAAAACAGCGCCGAAATCATCTACTGATCCCGCAACTGGCCGATCTCCAATTCGCCGCTCAACTTCACCGCGTCGCGCTAGCAGTTCTAGAAATACTGACCGACGCCGTCAACTACGCGAGATTCGAGCTCAGCGTCTTAATATGCTCATGGCGCAGCAAGCCAATAATGCCGAAGACGAATTAAACCTCAATGGCCCAGCTGCTATCCCCGAGAGCGGTTCCAACCCCTTTCGCGTTGTAACCGCACCACAGGCACTACGCGCTCCGGATTCTGAGGTTCCTATCGACCTAGCTGCTTTCTTCCGCCCTGTTCGCCCTGGTCGCCTTGTCTACGCACCTCACCTTACTCGGGAAGATCATACCCAAGCTTTAGATGGTTCTGATGATGACGATGATGACGAAGATGAACTCCCTACCCTTGAGGAAGAGGGCGCCCCCAATTCTACTCGGGTTGGAAATACTCAACCTACTCGAACCCTTCGCTCTAACAGAGGTGACAATGGTACATCGCCAGCCGATTCAGATGACTGGGAGCCCTTTCCACCTAGGGATGATTATTATCGAAGCCGTTCTCGACGAATTTCGCCTACAACAAGAATAAATCGGTTTGTAGATCGCTTTGGACACCTCCGCGAAGAAGATCGAGAGTTTGAACCGACCCAGGACCGAGCATCTGGCAATCTCAATTCTCCTGGTTCAAGCATGGATCAGCACATTCATACGGCATTGCGAGAGATGAACGACCGCCGACGCCGATCTGGTGTCGATCGACGTCGAGCACATCGAGTTAGGTATGTCGATGGATTGGGCGATCGAGACCGCAGTCTAAGCCCAGAGGGGGATGGGGTTTGGTCTATCCTACAGTCAACTTTAACCGTCGATCCTCACCCACCTAGTGTTGGTTCCTCGTTTGCTTCTACTACAGCTTCGACTATAGCGTCTCTAAATCCTACTGTTCCTTCATCTCGTACCTCGATTACTAGTCCGACCGAAGAGACCGAACCTCCTTGTGACCCTGTCGGCGAGCCGGAAGCCACTACCGAAGGTAGTAGTGCTGATATTCAAGGAACGGATCGTTCTAGACGGCCGACACCTCATGGTAGACGATCATATGCAGCAGTTGTTGCGGACACATTATCTGGCACAGGGCTTTCATCTGACGATCCCGAATGGCTTTTGGTATGCATCGAATTGTCAGCGGGCTTGCATCTAGACAGGATATCCCTGACGAATGGTGGGAACAGGCTGGCCTCAGCCGTTCGATGTCGTTGGGATGGCCCCTTTAAATTTTGAAGAGGATGAATGGATATTAGGGGTTTCCTAGAACGATGTACGATCCCGGTTAGTGAAAGGGGCAAGTGAAGTTAGGATTTTAAGAGTTTGCATTATGGTTTATTTTGACCTGAACTTTGGCGTTGCAGGAAAAGAAAAGGATATGCGTTATGGCGTGAGGATATCGGAGGACTATGCTTAAGCGGAGTAAGCCTGAAGTTATATGGTTGGCGTTGTATTATACTTGTATGAAGGTGTTATGTGTCCATCGAGACCAAGGAAGCAAGGGGAATGAAGAAGCTAGGTTGTAACCAAGCTTGTTACGATATGAGAGTAAGGGTTCGATTGTGGCAGCTAATACGTAGCCCAAGAACTATGAGAGCCGTTTTATCTTTTACTACCTATCTATACTGTATGTTTGATTAGTGAATTCAATTCTTTTCTCCATGTGCTGTATATTTATACAGATCTTTGGTATATGCCTATGTGTGTGTCATGTTCCCTGTTTGGTATTACACATTTTTCTTATCAACAAGTCCTACTTATATATCATACACGTGGTTAGTGGCCGAGTCGACGTCACCTATTCCATTATATATGTACTGGGTAGGTAGGTACCTAGGTATGGTTTTTTTTTGTCTCATGGCAACTTGCAGTAGCCGCTTATTCTAATTCCCTGCCGAACCAGTAAAGTGGCTCTTCTAGCTGTGCCTGAATGCACCTTATCCCGGAAGGCACAATAATTCAATTTATTAGCACCAAACCAATACTAAATCAGTACTAGACCAGTACCGAACTATGCTATAAAGTGCTTAGCCAATTAAGCTGAATCCTCTTGAAACATTCCAGGAACAGCGAAGGAAAGTAACCTGAGCTATCTTGGGCGCCTAAATTCTTTCCCGCACAAATACCACAAATACAACACATGCGCTTCTCTTTCTCCCCCACATTGGGAATCCAAATTTTGGGGAATTTCATAGCAACAAAGCTTCTCAGCCCTAGTTAACCCCCGACCTCGACCTGGTCTAGTCCAACCTGACCTGACTTGACCCGACCGCCTTCTCCCTTTTGAGTAAATATTAGTTCGACTACTACCGAGTCCGATACTTGCCCAACCATCGACTGGTCCGTGCTCCGAGAGTATATATCGTCCTAACGTTGGTGGGAGAACAGCTGGAATGTGAAAAGTAACTTGGGTCTGCACCGCTGACGACGTGTGCCACCTCTTAACACATTTCTCTCTCTATATATCTTGACGGACAGTTCTTTTTTACGTCAACTAGAGGGGAATAACGTGTAGACCGCTTGGTCATGGCGCCTAGCTCCGGACACGCCCCTCACCCCTCCAATGGTTCCTCCTCGAGCGACCGACGTTACAGTCCTGCAAACGGGAAGGCCGCCGTAATAGCAAGCAGGCATGATAGGACCCCCAATACCCCGAGAAAGGAGGCCAGCAGACGCGAGGCAGCTTTACAAGATCCGGGGTTGAGAGACTACGTACGTGCATTATCTATACCTGAAGAGTATGGTTGTACATACTTTATATTAGGCTGACTGGGTTTGCTATAGCGGCTAGGAGAATGTCTAGGCAAGGGAGCATTCGGTTCCGTATACAAGGCAATCCATTGGGGTACTGGTGAAGCTGTTGCTGTTAAGCAAATCAAATTGGTCAATTTGCCAAAGAGCGAGCTCCGAATGATTGAGGTATGCCGGCATCATAGCAATATTCACTTAATAGGGGGCTAAGCTGAACTGATGTGATGTAGGCTGAAATCGACCTTTTGAAAAACTTAAACGTAAGTAACCCTATTATCGAATGGTGAGATCATGCCTCTGCTCTGTACTCTAACAATTGCTAGCATGACAATATTGTCAAGTATATTGGGTTTGTCAAATCCGTGGACTGTCTCAATATTATATTAGAGTAGGTTACCCCCTTAGATCTAGTACGGCGTTTCGGATGCTGACCAATATCAGATATTGCGAGAATGGGTCTTTGCATTCAATATGCAAGGCGTATGGGAAATTCCCGGAGAATCTGGTTGGGGTTTATATGACCCAGGTTCTCCAAGGTCTTCAATATCTACACGATCAAGGTGTGATACATAGGGATATCAAGGGAGCTAACATCCTGACAACGAAGGATGGTAAGGTAAAGCTCGCAGATTTCGGAGTGTCTACCAGCACAGTCGCCGGCCCCGATAAAGAGGCTCAAGTAGTGGGAACGCCATACTGGATGGCCCCTGAGATAATTGAGCTATCCGGTGCCACGCCGGCCTCTGATATCTGGAGTTTGGGTTGCACCGTTATTGAGCTATTGTCTGGTAAACCTCCGTATCACCATCTACAAGCTATGCCTGCTCTGTTTGCCATTGTTAACGATGACCATCCGCCACTCCCTGAGGGCGTATCTTCGGTCTGTAGTCCTGCCACAGTGTTGGGCTTGTGTTCCTAAGAGTTGAGACTGACTGTGGATTAGGCTGCGCGTGATTTTCTGATCCAATGCTTCCAGAAAGATCCCAATTTACGTGTTTCCGCAAGGAAATTACTGAAGCACAATTGGATTGTAGGTTGTCGACGGAGTGATGCGCCTGTAGCCAAAGCCCCAGGAAATTTCAGCCAAGCCGTCGAAGAAGTCAAGCAGTGGAATAAAGCCCTCACCTCTTCCGAAACCAATCTTAGAGTTTCAGCAGGGTCCGATTCGGCATTCCCTTTCCACCACGGTCTTCAAACTTCACGATTTTCATCCCAAGAACAACCTAGATCCAATGTGCCTACTCCAGCAAAGGCACCCTTTGTATTAAAGCCAAGACCCACTGCCGAGGACTTCCGTTCTCCTGAACTTGCAGGTACGTATTTGTGCATAGTTCAGTAAATCTATTAGACCTACCACATGGCAGCTTACACTTTCTTCAGATGATGATAACTGGGATGACGATTTTGCAACTGCAATTTCGCCCAGTGCCCTAAAACTCCCTCATGTTAAACCTCAGGACCACTTCGGCGGTATGCTTTCGGCTGACCGTCTGAAAGCTTTCGCGTCTATTGATAATTCGCGCGATTTTTCGACTACCTGGGAGAATGATTTTGATGGGGATCTTCTAACAACGATACATAAGCTACAATCAGTTCAAGAAGAAGATCCGCAGGAGAGGACAATTCGTCCCAATTGGAAGTTCCCAGAAAAGTTTGAGAAGTTAGCAGAACAAAAACCGCAGCCATCGAAATCATCCCCTCGCAAGCGAACAGGAAGTGGTCATCAGAGGCAAAAGTCTCAATCCAAAAGTCAGCTCGGTAACAAATTCGAACTACCCTCCCGACCCGATTTATTATATAGAGAACAGACGACAGAGGACTATTCGGATATCTTTGACGACAACGAAAGTGTCTTTAACCAACGATTGGGTCTATCTAAGAAGGTACGTATATTTAACCATATCCACTGCATTCTACCCCATCGCTCACCAAGCTTGCAGCCTGATGCTCCCCAATTATTTCACCCCTCAGATCTCACCAGTTTGCCGCGGTCTATGCAGTCGCCCGTGGCGAGTAGCATAAGGAGACCAGCTTCAGCACGACCTTCGGCTCTTCCCGACCGACCGTTTCAAAGATCTAAATCATCTATTGAAATCCAAAAGTTTGCGGAGGACGAAGAAGATGAGGACTTCTCTGATATATTTGGCCTTGCTGAAAACTTGACGGAGAAGGAGGAAAGTGACCGAGGTTCCGAGGACGGGAATCTTATGGTGTTGTCCCGACTTTCTAACAACTCTTGGTTAGGTGATGACGAGGACGAGGACGATCCATTCGCGTCTATGGATCCAGACTGGGATGAGATGGACTTGGAAGCCAATATTGCGCGTGACCGCCACGCTAGACTTGCAGAGAAGATTGAAGAACTTGTCCGCTCTCTCAAAACGACTGAGGGCGAGGACAAGTTACTCGAACTTTCAGAGGATCTGGTTAGTACCTAGCACTACCCATTCCTTTGATTTATAGCTACAATACTAACACTTAACTCTAGCTGGGATTACTTTGGGAAAATACTGAAGTTAAAACCCTAATTATCAGTGCCCATGGATTACTACCAATTCTTGAGATTCTTGACCTAGGTACCATGAAGAGCAGACAGCAATTGATCCTACAACTATTGCAAGTTGTCAATACGGTGTGTACACCCAGGATTTACGTGCAACGTTTCATTTAACTAACTATTTGCTAGATTATTCTGGATGACGTAGAACTGCAGGAGAACCTATGTTTTGTTGGCGGGATCCCGATCATCACTAAGTTTGCAGCTCGGCAATACTCGAACGAAATTCGGCTAGAAGCTGCGGCTTTTGTAAGACAGATGTATCAAACATCCACCCTTACACTGCAGATGTTTGTTAGCGCTGGTGGTCTCAACGTCCTTGTCGAATTCTTAGATGAGGATTATGATAGCGCAAGAGACTTGGTGCTTATTGGTGTGAACGGTGTTTGGAATGTCTTCGAGCTTCAAGTTGGTAACCGTCGACCTTGCTACATATACGTTTCTATTAACACTCTTTCTAGGGTCCTACTCCGAAGAACGACTTTTGCCGAATATTCTCGAGAAGCAAAATCCTCGATCCGCTAGCCCTTGTACTTCACCGCGTTCTTGACGAAGACGTCGAGAACGAATTGACAGAGCTAATTGAAGGACGTATCGTCAACATATTCTACTTGTTCTCCCAAGCCGAAAACTTCGTCAAAGAGATGGTGGCTGACCGGCAAGTCTTGAAGAGTAAGCGCCTCCGAGTTAGTACTGGTAGTCTAAGCTGACAGGCAACTAGGTGTCCTGAAGGACCTTCGACGCATGACACCTGCACATCAAATTACGATGCTTAAGTTCATTAAGAACTTATCTATGCTCTCAACAACCCTTGATGCTCTTCATTCTGCGGACGCCATTGACTTTCTCATTGAGCTGCTTAGTGGTAGTATGAAAAGAGGACATCCCCATTTCCGCGAGATCTCTAATCAAGTGCTCAATACGATGTTCAATCTCTGTCGCTTAAGCAAGGACCGTCAAGAATACGCTGCTGTAAATGGCATAATCCCCTTATTATTAAAAATTATGAAAACAGATCGGCCTCCAAAAGAATTTGCGTTACCGATCCTATGCGACATGGCCCATTCGGGAAGCAAGGGGCGGCGATTCTTATGGCAAAATAAAGGCCTCGACTTCTATGTCTCGCTCATATCAGATCAGTACTGGCAGGTCACGGCATTAGACGCTATTTATGTTTGGTAGGCAATTGTCAGATCTTAGCGAATGTTGTAGGAGTGCTAACGAATTCAAAGGTTGCAAGAGGAGACGGCAAAAGTTGAGGGCCATCTCTTGAATTGCCAATTTCCGGAGGCAATCCTATCCTGCTTCAATACCCAGAAGACGAATGCTTTTGATCCCAACCTTTTGGAACCCCTATTGAAGCTCCTCCGGTTATCACCATCTTTAGCCGCGTCCTTAGCTAAATCGGAGATGTACGCCGGAATTGAACAGAAACTCGCAGAAGAAGGCCGTCGTACGCCTAAATCTTCTTCGTCTCGTTCGGAATATACTAGAAGCACGAGAAACCGATTACTTTACGAATCTGAAAGATAAGCAACTCCGACACTTACTCGACTCAATCAAAATCCTGGCCGAGAAGGACTCTGCCGTGCTTGTGCGAAACCTAGCATCCGATCTTGTAGTTTCCCACATAGATCCCAATTCGGATCAACTCGTCCCCCCCTTATCTGCTTCAACGACATCAACCGGATCAAATCGTGTACGGTCTGGGAGACGTATATATACGCCCCCATCCCTACATTCCGCTTCCTCAACACCCCTTACACCAACACATGCGTCTCGCCAGTCCCAATCCAATGCATTTATTGAAGTAGCATCGAGTCCTAAGCGCTCAGGCGTATCACTAGCTCAAGAACGAGATCCTGTTGCATACCGTCCTAGGAGCAAAGACGGCATCTCGGGTATTCCTATCAGTTCTCCTCGTAGACTGAGCGATATCCAAGCTGGTGGTGGTTCATCCGGTGGCAAGAGCAGATTACCAAGAAACTCTGGCCTATACGCGCCACGGCCTAGTCTTAGCGCTCTTGGAATAGGTTCCCGGAGTGAAGGAATAATATCAAATAAAGAAAATGTTGGAAGCACTACAGATGAGCTTTCTAGATCTGCAAGGAGGACTTCGCCTCCGGAATCTAATGGCATGCGCAATGGAAGCGTCTCCTCACTTCTTCATCTGTATCTGGGTCAGGGAGGCCAAAGAGAAGCCGGGCGCCGAGTGAGGGGAAGCAGAAATAGAGCGCATAGTATCGCCTCATCAATTGATGACTTAGATACTAAAGTACATAAATGATTTATATGGGTGAATACCAGCCCGTCGGAGTCCAACGAAGAGCCGTATACGAGGTTTATGGAAATGATGAAAATATCGCATTTGTTTCTTCTGCTTTTATAGAAGGAAAGAAAGAAGCCTTTGCATCTCGGGGAGCATTTTAAGGGGTTCTGCTTCTACGGTTTTTTCTTCTTCTGTTTCTTCTACCGTCTTAGGGGAGTGTCTATCTGCATAGAGATATCGGCGCGGGAAGGAGTGTGGTTTACATAACAAAAAGTCAATGCAGTAGCAAGGTTCACGATGGACCTTGCTGCCTCCCAGGTGTGTTACGTAATTGCGTGGTGTTGTGTGAATGAATGACATTCATCTTGCGGATGTGATATGACAAATTGACGATAATGTATGATGATGGCAGTTATAATATGAATGAGGTTCAGGGAAACGAAGCATGATTGATGAAGGACAGGTTGATACTTGCTTATGATAATGATGAATGCATAGGAGGGGTTTTGGTAGCAAGTGAGGATAGGGTCTCTTTTTAGTATCTAATATTAGCAAGTCAACCTCTATTAGCTTTGCTATATTTCCATTTAGGGCTATCTCTATAATGAGTGCTGAAAATAGTGACTAGAGAATACTCTAATAAGTTCTAAGCAATATGATTCTCTAGATGATATTTCTTGCGAATCGTAAATCTTTCCTCACTAATTGTGGTTACACTTTAGAGGCTTCCCCCTCTCATCCCCCACATGAGAAAGAACACTTGACCTGCCTCACTGAGCCAGGAGAATTACTACGTCTTCTTGGCATCGCCATGATAAGTCAATTAATACTACCTTATCGGATTTATTTTCACTTGCGCTATGCTAAATTGTAACTATATCTGCTTGGTACCTGACGCCATTGCAGGCGTAAATTGGTGAGATGGGCGCTACCCTATGAGTGGTCATGCACTTGTGTATGAAGTATCATTTGCTTTTTGAAATGATATAGCTGATATGAGAATTTTTAAGGTATGAACTTGCTAATTACTCTTAATTACCTATTGGTATAAATGAGACGCTCGTACGTTATGTTAGCCAGGCGATTTCACGCGGTGTCATTCAAAGCGCTACTTTCCTAAGTACTGTAAACGCCCTTTTAAGATGAGTTCCTTGGCGCTCAAGCGTTGGACACTGTTCCAAACACTCTTGCTTTTATGCAGTCCTTTTGCTACCGCAGTCAACTATGGCGAGAACCACGCCCCGGTCGAGAAAGATGAGGAGCTTGTGGCAGCAAATTTCCCCAACACTAATGAGACGCTGTTCTCGCCGGCGTTTGCGGACCTAGGGAGCGTCTTACCGGGGTTTGCTAATGGTACGGATGGCCCGACTGATGATGCGACACTTGGTATGTACCTAAGGACAGAGGCCTTTATAGGTGTCTAAATATTTCACATGTAACTATTATACTAATAAAAGATAGACTTATTTCTACGCTCAATAGCAGAGCGTAATGACTGGGTGAAATATAAGGTTGCGGATTTCACCTCCGAGGAAGGGCGCGCGTTCCCCTACGTGGTTCTCTCAAGTCCGTCCTCGCAAGGTGTCAAAGAACCAAAACTCCGCGTCTGGATTCAGGGTGGTGTACATGGGAACGAGCCGGCGGGAGACCAAGCAGTCCTCGCACTACTAGGCAAGCTGGACGCAGATCACAGCTGGAGGGAACGTCTACTCGAGCGTCTGGATATCACGCTACTGCCCCGGTATAATCCTGATGGAGTCGCATACTTCCAGCGTGCTCTGGCAAGCAACTTAGATCCCAATCGCGAGCATACGAAACTTTTCCGGGAGATATCTAGGGGGCATAAGCGTCTCCTTAGTTCCTTTGCGCCGCACATCACAGTCGACATGCACGAGTTCACAGGGACCCGACCCTCCGGCAGCGGCGGGATATACAAGCACGGTATGGACGCGCTGATCGCCGCGGGCAAGAATCTCAACACGCACCCCGACATTCGGAATATCTCGGAGGTGCTCTTCTCCGCAGGTATCGGAAAGCGTCTGGTGCAGAAGGGGTTCCGATGGGAACCGTATTTTACAGGAGCGTCTACGGGAGCAGATATCGTGCTAGATGAGGCGGGGAGCGATGCGAAGAGCGGAAGGAATAATTATGCGCTGGCACAGAGTGTGACGATTCTATGTGAAGTGAGGGGGATTAGGCTTGCGGATCAGCATTTTCAGAGGAGGGTTGCTACGGCGCTGAGTATGGTTGGGGGGATATTGGATATTGCGGTGGAGAACTTTGAGGAGGTGTATCAGACGGTGAGTCTCTTTTATTTTGATCGTTACAGTTGTATGTTCCGGGGTAATTTGAGGTAGGCTCGATACTAACTAATGGCAACAGGTCGAGGGTGCCATAGACAAGTTCATCAACAGCAATGATCCTATTGTACTAACAGACTACCCCAACCCGACCAACCGCAACATTACCTTCATCAACCGCACCGACGGGCAGCTTACTCAAGTCCCTGTCACCTTTCTCAGCACAACACCCACCACCGCCAACCAAACACGCGCCCGCCCCGAAGCATACCTCATCCCACGCACATGGTCCGAACTAGCATCCCCCTTCGCGACTCCGGAGTCGTCGTCGAGACCCTGAAAGATGGGTACCGCGGCCCAGCCGAAGCACTCACGATTACATCAGCATCAGTCGCGAGGGGGTACTACGAGGGCGCGGGTGCAAGTCACAGTGACGACGGAGTCGTCGCAGAAAGAGGAGCTTGTGCTCCCGCCGGGAAGCTTCCGGGTTAGTACCAGGCAGAAGAATGCCGCGCTGGCGTTTGTCGCGCTCGAGCTGGAGAATGTCGATTCGTATGTGCGGTTTAACCTTGTGCCGGTGCAGGCGGGGGATGAGTATCCGATTTTTAGGATTCCAAGGGTGGGAAAGCTGATGCGGGTGAGATGGATGAGTTGAACTAAGAGTGAGGCATTTATTAACTTCCTGTTAAGTAGGGATTAATGGGATAAGCACCGAAGCCACGAGTATGTTAGTAATAGACTACACTCTATGTCTGTGATAGTTCGAGGCAACGATGAGGGGTTGTTATGATTGATAATTCCGATATACATAAGTGAGAGAGCTAATCCCGTCGTAGAATACCGAAGGGGCGGATATCTAAGACAGGGGTTACGAATCGACCCAGTAGTCTTAACTAACAAGCCTTTACTAGAGAAGTGTATACGTAGGCATCTAACCTGTTTATTCTAAGAAAGCAACATTTCACTTAGGTAAGTGAAAATAACTAGTCCTTTCTTAAACGTTTTTTTCTTTAAACCTGGTTGCTATATTACTGTTTTTATTATTATTTTATAATCCCCTCTTTTGGCCCCTTCTTCATCAACCTCGGATTACGTAGGTAGAACATAGGTAGGTAGGTAGGTAGCTATTTCGAACTAGATTATTAAGACATTATCGAAGATTGTAGAATATTGAAACAGCGTCATGTTTAATAGCCTTTTTCACTTTGTTTTTTATATCTCCAAAGTCGATATGTTCCAAATATTTCATCGGGATTATTATTTCTATTATAGAGTGTCAACTTATAAAGTGAATGTTGTCTCGCGTCAAGATAGAATACGGCTAAGAAGCTCGCAAAGGCAATTCGCTACCACAAAAGAAGATCAGGCCATTAAACACACGCTTTTACCAACTCAACACCACCTCAAGAAAGAAAATCAGTTCCTAACCCGACTCCGCATTAGATATCCGGCATAGCTGCATGATGTGGGCCCCCGTATCCAATTAGTACTGCCCGACGTAGTAATGACTCCGGACTAAATCTTCTTCCAGTACCACATCACTTGGGTATGTCCCTTGGGAACCTCCGTCTGCTGAGATCCCCATACATACTCCCAGACGGGTGCGATGGTCGTGTCTCTAGGGATAGTCTTAACATCGTAGTAGCAGTTGGTATCCCCGTGGCACAGGAATGCGTAGTTGAATCCCTAGTAAAGTCAGTATGTAATATAAACGTATAGTATAGTATAGTAGGAGCATGACGAACATTGATGGTATATAGAGAATCCGCAACTGAGGCTACGTAGTCTTCCCGACAGAAGTAGGAGTACGACCTAGAGCCATACGCACTGTCCGTGTTGGCCGGTTGCGTAGAGTCTCTGAACGTGCAGTTACCGGCGCTGGTGGAAAGCGTGTTGGGATAAGTGTTGAGCCTGGTGAAGGTGGCACAGTCCGACTCGGAAAAGCCGCCCTTCGCGTTTAGACACCCGATGCTATCGGCGGGAGAGGCATTCTGAAAGCTGGTACTGTTAAGGACGTAAATCTGCCCCGAGCCAGAGATGTCTTGCGGAGCAGCTGCACTAGTAGCGACTAGGGCGCTGAAGGCTGTATAAACTGCGAACTTCATGGTTACTGGTCGATGGTATAGATATTGTGCTAGAATGTGAGGAGAGGAGGCTCGTCAATGAATAATCAAGTTACCTATGCACTCATATATACTTGGATGAGGTTCGTTCTAGATCATGATAGCTATCAAAGGCTTACTCGAAAGAGCAAAGCCGCCCCATTATGTTGCCACAAGCCATACATTCACTTCCAAAGCTGATATTAATACTCTAACATTATAACTGCATAAGCAATTGCTAATCAGGTGGACCTACCGTATATATCACTTGATGGCAGGGCAGTATGTCGGTCATTCGCTTAAGACTCGCGCCATTTCACATGTGTCAAAACCCACGAACATGGTAACATCTTCCTTGATTTTGTACCGCTGATAGCCTCCCGTGCCCTCGGGGGCGGTGAGATCCAGTCAACTTAATCTTGCGTTATTACCCCTCTCAGCGCATGGCGCATATATCTGTGCGCTTACAAACAGATCCATAATGAACTTATAATAACTGGCTTGTATTTAAGATAATGTTAGAATAAGTGATGGCTTGTCGGGCGATTGCCCCTAATTGGCTACCAAATTAGAGTGATGTGCGGCAGGGGTAATTTAGAAGCTTCCTCACATAGGTTACCTACCGAGTGCGTCGCGGGCAAAGGTTGCGTACCGCCCGCGATGGAACGGAAGAGGTTCCATAATTAACCAAATCCGGACAACTGTCAAGTTGGGGGGTCTGGAACTGGACCGTGCCATGGCTTGTAACATTGTGGTTTACCAATTAGGAATGTGTAGAAATAGGTAAGTATGACGATGTCGTAGTGGGTTAACCTAGGGCGACTGAAGTTGAATTAATCGTAGTCATTATGAAAGCTGTTTATATTCAGAAGCTTGATTATTCAAGGAATGAGGGGTATATCTCTTCAAGTAAGACTATAAAGTGGGCGGAGAGTTGTTATGCGGAAATGTATGATAATAATGCGGATTAGGATAGGTTTTCGTACAGTCGAGAGGCGCATAAATGAAGCACGAATATATAAGCTGGCTTAGACCTTTGGGTTGTACTGATAGAACATAATTATCACAAGTCCACCAAGCCCGTATCTATTCCGGATGAATGAAGAATAAATATTTTCATTGGCCAGCGATCGAGTTTCATGTTCTCTCCGGTTTACTTACCCAACATCGAGTCTTAATATCGCATACGAGTTCCCTAGTAATCATCTCCCAGTTAGAATCGTCGAATTTCCGTTTACACTGAAACATGGCTGTCTCTTCATAGCCGTCAGGTAATTGTACTTCAATATCGTGTAGTCGATGCGACTCGGGAAGTACTGCTTTGTCCGTATTAGAATGAGCGTAGAAGTCACCCTCTTCAATATTTATCAGTTCTTCAATCATTCGTGCTGCTAGGTGCGAACACCAGATCCCTTCTTTATGAGTTACTGTAAGTAAGAAAACTAGGGCTTCGTGTCTAATACTGTGTACCCGGCATTTGAGAGCTACATAATAAAGGGCGGGGATAGCGCCTAGATCTGTTATAGAGCTAGACGCATCCGAGAAATGAAATACTGGGGCGAGCTGTGGGGAAAGCGAAAGACTCCGTATGTAGTCCAGCTGATCCATAACGGTCTTGAATGATTTCGTATGCGTATCGTATCTCATCTGGTCTTCTGGACGGAGACAAGTATCGACCATGATCTCGGCGATCATATAATATATTCGTAATATTATATAGGCTATGGTGCTGTGTGTGATTTTACTGGTTACGAGGCTTGCCCTAGATGCCTTAAATGCGTTGTACCACGAATCAAGTTTGGTTTTGAGGCGTCGCTGCCTAGAAGGGAGACTCCGAGGGTCTAATTTATCCAAAGGTTGCACCTGGCGACGGCATTCATGGCTTAGATAGAATATCTGACTGAGTATTCGGTCAAGATGTTGTCTTGCTTGATTGGCAGATTGGAATATTAGCGGGGTGACCGGCATATCTGAAGAACAATCCTCTTTGGTAATATTCAAGAATTGTGACCCTTGACACTGAAACTTTGCCTGCACATCAAGCCTAATGAAGGCTTGGATGATCCAGGCATCCACCGAATCGCAACACGGTTCCTGGAATAGACTGTAACTATCTATTGCACTTGAGCGGGCTTGGAACTCGTTCAGAAGTTTCAACCCGTTTTGGAGATGATCGTAGCCAGTCTTGAAATGACCCCGGAGATATTCCATTGTGACAAACATTAGACATGTGATAAGTGCAACACGGACTGACTGATTACTTCTAGAAGTGAAATGCGGCTGGAGGTGGGCTATTGCTTTGGTGTAGTGTTCCAATGTAAAATGTTCCTGCTTATCCGGAGCGACATCTGGTGAGGTATCCAAAAGAAGTCCTTCTTTCCTATGGGCTGAGCTCAAGGCGAGAATAGCATGTAAAACGGCTGGCTCGCTTGAGGCGGCTTGGAATACGAGCCTGTCCCAAAATTGAAAACTAAAAACCCCAGGAAGCTTCAAGACACTTCGGTATGTAAACCACTCGAGATATCGGGTCTCCTCTTTGTTCACCGTGTTTACTAGCGTTGGTGTGTAGAAAGATGTTAGGCTTTTGCGATTAGAGCTGATGGGACGGCAGCCGTAATCGTTACCACCTCCGCCCCATATTCCGTAACCTTCGCAGACGCGACCCGTGGAATAACATCGGAAACATACGGGCTTGCCTTCGTCGCATTTGACCTTTCGGGCTCTTTGGTAGTTAGAGTTAACAAAGCGGCTAAGGAATACGCGGCTATAACCGAAACTAACTCACTTGCAGGTTTGGCAACCCGATTTTACTTTGGACTTAATTGCGCGGGGTGCCATATGGGGGTTTGATATCTTAGGTATCTCAAGTATCTCAGGTAGGGTTTAGATCTTTGGATAGCAGCCAATGGTAGCCTTGGATTGTCATTGTAGTTGTAACTTGAACATCTAAGAAAGCTGAAAGAAGGCTGAAACATGGGGGGAATAAAATTGATGTGGAGAATTTATTCAAGACTTTATTATTCTTATTCGTTCTCTTACCGCACAGTCCCCTGTACCCTGTAAGATTTTATTAGTTAATCAACTCTCATTCTGACTTCTTTGATTGGCTATCTTTACTCAGTCCTCCTCAAAGCATCTATATGCATTTATCAAGCTAGTATATTTCCATAGACACTTAGACTGGTTATTTGCATGCAAGTTCTATCCGGTGGTTGTCTTGTATCACATTCTTGGATTTCGTTCGAGAGGCAACTACTTTAGTCTTCTCTAAAATTTCTTACCTTTGCTAATATTAGTTTTGGTATATCTTAGACTTAAGTATATATGGTAACTACCTACTCATTTAATGACTTATCTCCGTCTTAAACACTTCACCCGTACGAGTTCCAGAACTAATTCTAAAGACAACCTAGTATAAATGAATTATCTTGCTTTTCGAGCTCAGTCTCACGTAGTTTTAACTATATATGATTTCTATATTATTAGTATAAAATGGTTTGCCTTTTAATTTTTTAACACTAGGAAATTCATAATATTCATCGTCATCATATTTGTCAAACTCATATACTTCCATTGGAATACCATAAAAGAAATCGGTAATCATGTCCGTGAGATTCGCCGATGTCTCCCATTCCGGGAAAACAGATACTACTTCAACTCGTACATCTGGTTCCATCGTGTGGGGAACCACTAAAGCCAAAGAATTAGTTTCTGGTGTACGGTTCTCTCATGGGATAGTTACCAGAATGCAATTTTTGCAGACTTCTTGAAGGCTGTCGGACCCAATTACAAGGACGCCGATATAGAGCCATTACTTTACGAGCTTGATCTTGACGGGTATGATAATATAAGAAATAAGTTTGGACAGAGTGTTTACCGCTTAATCAAGGAAAAAGTTATGAGAAAATTGAAGAGAACCGCCGATAAAATGGAAATCTCCACGAATTTTAAATCTGATATAGAGTTAGTTGATTATATTTTTTCTATTTCTACTCGCGTTACTGAAATATCTAATCCTCCTAGGTCAAGTTCAATCGACCCCAAACACAATGCATTTGATCGCAAGCGGGATTCGATTGATCCAAGTGTAACATCGGAGTATACCAAATTTACACAGCCATGCCACCCCTTCCTAAAGATGCCCCAACAGAAGGTCCATGATGGAAATCTAAAAAATGCAACTTATGAGAATTCAACGTACATGAATCAGACTTCATATCCTGGTTCGCGAAACCTACGAACTTCGCATGTTTCTCATCCACCTCCGCAAAAGAACGGATGCGGAATGGCTTTTGAAGAGGCTAAGTACAAACGCGCTCGAGATTCTATGCTGAATCTTGTACTTGAGTTATCTCGTATTGAAAATGTACTCTTTGAAGCAGCATCTGCATTCAATGACCTACAACCAATCAAGGACGGTAAAAAATGGATTGATGTACTCAACAACCTAGTACAAACGTATCACGATATACTACTAGACGGGAAAGAGCTGTTCAAATTCACCAGAAGCATACGAATGGAATCATAGTGTTTTTGATATTAGCTACATGAATCTAGGATGGTAGCTTGGGGTGATCGGCCTACACTGTTGGATTAGGCTTTAGCTGATAAAGTATTGCGAGAGTTGATAGCGTTTACAGAGACACCACTAGAAGAGGTATCCTCTTTAATGTAAATCATTTGATATCTGAATGAAAAACATCTACACCTGGATGTTGCATTTGTGAGCTATCGTGATGATTGTTGGCCTTATAGGAGAATTATATGACATGTGGTCCCTGCAGAAAGGGCACTGTCAACCACAATACGACGAGAAGGCTAAAAATTCTCCGCGTATACCTCAGTATGGCTACAGAAATAGCATAGATATTGCTAGCGTTAGATATAGTAAATATTTCGACCTCTCTAGAACGTGTCCTAGGACGAATAATAGTTAGCGTAGACATGATTAGCATCCCCATGGGGACTCAACAAGTTCAGCTCCCTAGCTCGTTATATTGCCAAGCATGGGGAACTCGGGAACTAGTCCCTATTGGCATCGCTTGGATAATTTAACGTTGGGGGAGCGCCTTGGCTTGCTTGCGGGGTCGGGATCGTGAGAAAGCAGGTTTGATGCTTCATGAATAAAGGACGACGCCGTATTGCTACCCCTCGGATAAATAATATGGCCTATTTATGCAAACTACCTAGGTAATAGGATAGTATCATTTTGACTTGGAAGGACTTTGACAAGACTAGAGTACATCAATACGTCTTATTATATACACTTGGGTTTTCCAGAAGGTTAAATTGTCGCCCTCAGCGAATTCCAGGGGTGTAGGCACTGAGTGGTACATACAACCTTGGCGCGCCGCAAATGTTGGATTGGGGAAATGCCGACAGACTGTGGAATAAAATTTACTGCCGACCAGTCTAGATGGGACGTCGGGGTAGCTTGAATCCTTTTACGCATGGTATATAGCGAAGTATTCCCTTTCTGTCGAAGCTTAGCTCCGTAGATAGTTCTCCGTGAAGTCCATGCATCAAAATTGAACACCATGAGTGTCCATCGCGAGTCCGAGGATCTTCCCGCGAAGCCGGAACTTGATTCGCAGGCTCAACAGGTCGAAACCGCGACGCTTGCTGAGGATGCCGAGTTCAAGAAGCGCGAAGCCCGTGTCGTCGCGAAGCTCGACCTTTACGTCTGCCCGATCCTCGTCATACTGCAACTTATATCTTTCTTGGATAGAGGTAACATTGGATTTGCAGCGACGCAGGGCATGACTACCGACTTGAATCTCGTCGGCACGCAGCTTAACACCGCCGTATCGCTTTTTTACCCACTATACATTTTGTCGGAGTTCCCAGCCGCGCTGATCGTGAAACGCGTGGGCTTCAATCGCGTAATTCCTGCGGCTGCGGCATGCTGGGGACTGTGTTGCTTGGGAAATGGGTTTGCTAGGAATTTTGGGGATCTCATTACATGTCGCTTGTTGATGGGGATGTTTGAAGGATTCTTGATGCCTAGCTTGACCCTTATGTTGGCAAATTGGTACAAGAGAGACGAGATTGGGTTGAGGATCAGCTATCTTTTCAGTATGTTCTGACCAGAGTAAATATAACCTTTAGTTCGAGGTGTGAGCTAATATGCATTTTCAGTCGCTTCGGCTATTTCAAGTGCGTTCAGTGGTTTGATCGCCTACGGCATTCTATTCATGAATGGAGCAGCTGGATATCCGGGATGGAGATGGTACGCCATGATTCAATGAATTGCGTGAGCTTATACTAAAGACGAGTTGCTAGGTTATATAAATTGAAGGTTCAGTAACTGTCGCCGTTGCCGCCATTTGCTACTTCGTCATTCCATCATCTTATACCACAGCCTACTTTCTTAACGAGGACGACCGAGCTGTCATGAGAAAGCGAGCAGAAATCACCGAAGCATATAACGGAGGACAAGGGCACTACACTCGTACCGAGTTTATGATGGCTATAAAAGATGTGAAGACCTGGGTACATGCCACCATCCAGGTCATGTGCCTCACCATCTTATACGGTTTCAGTGTCTTCCTACCAATTATCCTACGATTCGGCTTCAACTTCAGTGTCGAACAATCTCAGTACCTCAGCATCCCTGTCTTCGCTTGGGGCTCCGTCGTTTATGGTGTGTGCGGGTACTTATCCGATCGTTTCTCACGACGGTTCCTAGCGTGTATCATCTGCGCACCGCTTGGAGCGGTAGGATATTCTATGCTTCTTGGCGGCAACCACCTTTCTGTCGGAGTAAAGTATTTCGCATGCTTCCTTATCGCAACTTGCGCGTGGACTATGGGCGGTGCAAATGTAGCTTGGCTCTCTACCAATACTGCACCTGATGGTAAGCGAGCTGCCTCAGTTGGACTTGCTTTGGCTTTAGGAAATATAGGCGGAATCATCTCGGGTCAGATATATCCACAGACTATGGCGCCTGCATTTACTCTAGGTCACGCATGGAGTCTTGGTGCGATCTGTATTTCATTCTGTTTGTGGTGGGTCCTTAGGCATATCTATTATAATCGTGAGTCACTCAAGGGGCAGATCCGTGAGGGCACAGTTTCGGAATCAGTCGACTTCTCAGATAGGGTGCCGGAATACAAGTATCAGCATTGATCTTGTAGGTTGGCATTATAGGCAGAGTATTATTTATGAAATAGAGATATAAACTGCGATAGATATACTATAATAGAAATTAACTTTATATTATGAAACAAAATTGCGATCCAAACAGCCCCCGGATTACTCTCCTACTATAAATACCTACTATAAGTCTTTAGTGGAATACGCATAGTAAACAGTATTCGCCAAGTAGTTCGACAACTGCCTTCTTACTTACCAGCAGATATAACAATGGTTTTAATCAATCGCAATTAAACATAACAAGGTTGAGTCTACTTCCACCTTATCATGGAGCTAGCCTATAAAAACTTAACTTATTATATCATATAAATAATTAGCTGAGTTAAAATATACGGTGATTTTTTAACCATACGTAGATTCAGATATTGGTTCCTTAATAAACACTGTTGTTCATTTAGATCTCCAGCACCTCATATGACTGACCGTATATATACGTCGTTCACATAAACAAAGCGAATATACCATAAGATCGTATAGTAATTATTCAAATTGTACATGAGACCATAGCTTAATATGTGTCTTACTACTATTCCTCTTCACTACAAGCTCGAGAAGATGTTACAGAAATACACTTGTTTTCCAAAGGTGACTCCAAATATGAAGTTATAATCAAAAGACCGCCATTAGATATAGTCGGTGACTCAACAGAAGCATTAATACAATTTGGACATTTCCTTTCACTCATGAAGACATTCAATTAACTATGCTGTTTATACAGCTGTTATCCGTATAAAATGTAGCAATTTAAGGCCCAACTTTCTTGTATAGCATGTAGTAAAAATTGCGGTTTTCTTAGTTTCATCAATCGTTATACTACATATCTCTAAATTTGTTTATCTACCTATTTATTATCATGTCATTATTGACAATAGCAGTACTGTTTGTATGAGTCAAATGTAGCTAATACAACCTCCTATTCATACGAGTAGGAACTGGATGAGCTGATAGCGAACGTGAGAGGTCAGATGACATATGAGCTTTTTCACGAGGTGGAACTGAACAGTATGGAAACAGCTTCCTTATTCCGCAAGGAACTCTAAACTGCCCACGAAGTTATATGTCTATACATACTAAACGTATCCTTTGTTCTGGATGAAATATTTAGAATCCTGACACTTTTGGTTTTATAAATGATGGATGTCTGAATAAAATGGGGCAATGAGATTTAGACCCGGGTAAGCGTAGCAACCTTTCTCGAGGCGGTAAGTAGAATAGGATACTCGGCTTGGGATCCACAAGCTCAATGCAAAGTTCGGTGGAAAGCATTTTATAGCTCTTTGATATTATATATCACCATTCTTAACCCATTATCCCTCGGTCCCGTACTGACTGCTTGAGAAGGACTCAACGTATCATGCCTCTACAACTGCTTACAAAGATTATCGATCGTCACGGCGAGTGATGTAAGCAGTAATATGCTCCGGCGCAACAATTCATACTGTATAATCTAATACCACCACGAATTGTTGAATAAGTCGTTGAATAAGACGATCATATATTCTTTCAGTAATTCAGAACCAGTTAGACATGTAGTGAGATATAAACTCCCATGGATACTCTTTGATGATTAGTGATGCCAAGTTAAAATGATTGTATCAGCGAGGGTTTCTTTTTTCTATGTAACATTGGCAACGGCCTCTTATATACGTGGTGCAATATATCATGATCAAATAGGAGCGGGTAATAGGCTTTTGCTATATATAAGTAATTCATTGATATGTATCAATGATATTAAGGTGCTTTAGATTTTAATCATATCACTTAGAACTTAATAAGTCAGAAGATACCAGTACCTATGTCTGGGGCATAGTTTACCCGCGGAAGTGATTCCGTCCCGTCTTGCAGGTTGACCGCATTGTTCATGATTCCGTTAACTATACGAAAACAACCAGTAATTAAGGATTGATCCAAGGTACTTCTGAACGGGTAAGTTTATTATATATTTTGAAGTATCTTCAAACAGCACTAGAATCTGTACCTTTTCCAATAATTTTCAGGTGTTGGAATAACCTTTTTTATTGGTTCGGATATATTTTTCTAGTCTAGTCTGATTTCTTCAACGGCGCAGTAGATAAAGAATCAGGAATTAATGATGGTACCTGGGTTAGGTACCTAATGAGGCACCTAATGCATAACCCCACGACAGACAACTATTCGTTAAATTTAACGTACCACCAGGTTAGAGATGCTCTTGGCGCATATGCGTTGCATTCTCGCTTCGATCTTGAAAAGGATTCAAGCACATTTAATATGGTCGTCCAATATCAGCGTTAGCTTATAGTCCTATCTGTTGTCATCCTTCTGCAAAATCTCTGATAATGCAACTTTTCGGGACCGAACTCTCATACCGGGATTTCACCGAAACAGCTTACCAACTATAGTTGACCTGATTCGTTTGGAAGAAAGCGAACCGCAAACTGCAGATGCGAGTTGATCATGCACACAGTATTTACCAAACGAGAAGTCCGGGTTTTCAGAAAAAATCTACATTCCGCAATTGGCAATCAAGTACATAAGGTTACTGCAGTCTTTACATTTACATACTGTCATTCAAAACTACAAAACTAAAATTGAAAGTTCCCTAAGGTGGCTGGCTACCTGAATATGGAAGGAAATTTTTTTAACATAGCTGATAACATACAGATGCAGTTTCAGATCCTTATCATTGGGTCGATGCATCTATTCGTCTTTGATTAATGACATCTACATCGAAGAAAAAAAAAGCTCACTAGAAATGAAAAAGGGGCGAAAGCCTCCTCATATAAGGTATAGGGGGGAGCGTCTCAAGTACGAGAAAGTCATAGTGCATGAGGGTAGGTGCATACCAAAATGGCTAAGTCGATTATAAAAAGAACAGCCTACATCAATTTGGGAAATGTATATTTTAGCTATCGTGGTATAGTGGTATAAGTAATAATCTCGAAGTATTTCACACATGAACCTATATACACAATCAGCTTGTATTGAAGACCATCTACCTTGTTAAGAGATACAGATTGAAATCAAGGTAAGATAATTAAGTAAAAACTACTGAGAACAAAAGCAATAGATAGACTTGTATTATATATCAGTATTAAGATATATCATTATTTATGAGATTTCAGATTTATATATGATTTATCTCAGAATGAATTTGGTATCTAAACTATCTAGTACTTAACTTAGGTACCTAACCTAAGGTACCTATCTATCACCTGGGTACATCTTACATAGTATAATTTAATTGATGATCTGCATGATCGTAACCCAAGCGAACTCGCCAACTGAATCTGGTGTATCCTTAGCTGCAATATCGACGCAGTTGGCATTGTTTAGCTACCATCTGAGTAAGCTAATTTGTCACAGCTCCATGCAGTGAGAATGTAACGATGATCTAACCATACGTAACCATATTCGCTAGGGTTGTCACATGTGCTTTGAATACCGTGAGATGCATAGCAACATAAGCGGCTACAGCGAGTAATGAGGCTCCGCTATACACGCTATGCATACCTATATGTTCTGTCTACCTACCTAAGCTTAGATAGTCGCGCCTCGTCACTATCACTCTACCGATCCTACTAACCCCACTAACCCGCTAGGAACTTATCCAAGAAATATCCAACCATGGAACGCTTACTGATTACCCCAGCGTTGACTAGGGCCAAGTACATTTTGGAATAGTCTCGGTGCCGACAGCTTCTATTAAAGTATCGGTACGATATGCGCGAGCTTCCGGTCGGCACGTATACTCGTCAGCGGCGCCGAGTAATTGGAGGGTGTAGTAACCAGATTCATGATTTATATATCTTTCCTTGTCTTATAAGAACCTCCTTAGATCTCAAATGTCGTTCACAATTTTTGAGGAACTATTCAGGAAAGTATCAAGAAGTGGAGATAGCCTTGTTTCTCCTTTAACTTACCACGGATTACGAAATCTTCACCAATAACAACTTGAGTCTGAAGGACTATCTACATTCAATATGACGGCTTCATTAGAGTCAACTGTGGTATTCCTTGAGAAGTTGGCCTCTAACCCCTCTAGTATAACCTCAGATGTCCTATCGGAGGATCATCTTCGGAAAAGACTCCTCCTAGTGATTCAGAAACTCGTCCCCGAATTAGAAACACCTGAGGAAGCTTGCCAACGGATTCTGTACAATGTGAGCTCACTTATTCCTTGTGAACTGTAAAACTACCCCCTTTTTCTACTAGCGACTAATAAATTTGACTAAAGGCGCTTGAAACCCCTACAGCTCGGATCGCTGTAGACCTTAAGATTTTTAATACCCTGAAGGAATCACCCAAGCCCTTGACAACAGAGGAGCTTGCAGAGAAGTCGGGTAAAAATCCCGATAGGAAATTATTAGCTCGCATCTTGAGATATCTAGCTTCTGTAAGCATGATCCGTGAAGTGAATACTGGACTTTGGACTGCAAGCCACTTTGGAAACAACCTATCAGGAAACGGACAGAGCGCAGGGGTCGCATCTATGTAAGCTATTCGAGATCTTATTTGTGCAACCCAAACGCCACAATAAGCAGCTAATCTTGACCTCTTTCTTAATTAGGGTTGATAACTGCTTTGTTTCCATGGTAAATCTTCCCGCTTTTCTCCGGCTTCATGCATACAACCCGCCCGACGCAAAAAGTGAGACAGCTTTCGCACTCGGGAATAGGGTGAGCCCTGAAGAAGCTACCTTCTTCGACTGGTTGAAAACCCGCCCGGAAAATGCTAAGCATTTCAATGTCTTTATGGGCTCCCACCGGACGGGCGTGAGGACATGGCTCGATCGCCCAGAGATTATAAACGAAATCACCGATGCGTTCAAGAAAGTGACCGCTCGGGGGGAGGTGGCGAAGAGAAAGGGGTATCTTTCGTTGATATCGGTGGCGGTATTGGCCATCAGTGTAAAGTGAGTTTAATCCCTATCGGGAAACTAGAATTAAACTAATACGAGTACTAGGCTTTCAAGAAGCGAGTACCAAACCTCAAAGGAACAATCATCCTAGAGGATCTAGAAGAGGTGGTAGCTAATGCGGAACTCGAACCTGGCATTGAAAAGCTGGGTGTTAACTTCCTCGAAGGCCAGCCCGTTAAGGGTAGGTTATCATTCACAGAAATTTCTCCTAGGAGATAGGATAGCTTAGCTAATTATCCCGATATAGGTGCGGCATCGTATTATTTCAGAAGCGTCCTACGAAGTAAGTCCCCAGCCCCTTATGAAATAGCCCTCCCTTGTATAATATACCGTTGGCTAACAAATCTGGTCCCCTCACGTTAAGACTGGCCGGACAGATACTCCCGGTCGATCCTTGGCTACGCTCGAGATGCTATGGATAAAGACTCTCTACTACTCATTGACGAAATTGTGTTACCAGATCGTGGTGCTCACAGATATGAGACACAACTGGACTTGACAATGCTCGCAATGCTCAACGCCGAAGCGAGAACTGAGACACATTGGAAGCAACTACTAGCTGAAGTAGGCATGGAAGTCAAAGATATCGTGTTCTACGAAGAAGAAACTAGAGAAGGTATCATAATTGCTAAGAAAGTGGCAACTTGAATCATGTATTTACGGAGTTAATTGTTATTGGATTAGGGCACATACATGAAAGCGTTTTCAACAAACTTAGGTATATATCGATCAATACCTAGTTGGATATAACTCAACTTAGTTTTGAACTAAATGTTTAAGCCATTCGTCGGCTGTTCAAAGGATTCGAGGCGTCATAAAGGTGAAGCGGAATATAGTGGCTTGGGATATTGCTGATTGGAAAGTTCTGACACGCATAACAACGCCTTATGCAGTTTTAGCAAGAATCGCCGTCAGCCACGACATCACTACATTCCTTTCGATGACGCGTGAAATTCAACATTAATTCCAGGATCGCTACCCCTCCCGCTGAGGGGGATTCGAGGCGTCTCTCGCCATGCATACCTAAATTATAAGGGAAGACTATCGGCTTTTTGGGGCCAATCAAACTCCTCCTGTTAACTGACCTCCAAGCCCCCTTTCCATCCTTTCCACTATGTAACAAATCATCGGACTTAGTAGATGTTGAGAGTTATCCGATTCTTGTAACATACCAAGCCAAAATAAATCCAAATTTTATACCCAAATAATATTTAAAATATTAACATTGAATTTAAAGATGTATAACTAGAGGTTTGTCTTGTGGCAAGTTTGATTAAATGCAGTACCAAACTCCACATTTCCAACTTGGTTTAACTCACTTACATAGCAGCGTTTATTTGCCCCTTTCCAAGTTGTTTGTTAAGACTTCCATTCTAAAAATCCCTAGCTAGATTAGGTATGATACATAAACTAAATCTTGCCAGTTTCATATTCTAAAACGCCTCTGAAATTATCGGGCTTTATGGTGATAAATACAATATCGCCGGGTGATGAGATTTGTAACATAAAATGTCACTTTGATCGGCCAAAGTCGCCATGGCGCTAGTTAATGACATATCCATACGTATCGATCCGCCGGCCACGGACGTACGAGTCGACTAATTTGGCCGGTAAGTAAGGTATATAACTTTCGCGATGAATTCTTTTCACGAATCTCACTTCACCACAACCTCATATTCATACAACTCCATAATTACTATACATTTTCCCACATTCACCATGCCAACTGTTCTAATTATCGGGGCCGGTCTCAACACCGGTAAGGCCACAGCCGAAACCTTTTCAGCCGCGGGGTACAAAGTTGCTGTGGCATCTAGGACTCAAAAGCTCGATTCCAAGTATCCGTACTATGCATTTGATGCTTCGAAGCCAGAGACAGTGCCGACTCTGTTTGAGAAGGTAACCGCTGATCTCGGTTCGCCCAGTGTTGTTATTTATATTTGTCCGTCGCCCCTTTCCCTACAGTAGCTCGCCCCCTATGTTGACATATTCTTAGCTGCCGCTGGTCACACCAGCCGTCCGGAAAATCCATTTGATATGGAACTAGAAGAGTTTCGAAGGGGCCAAAATATAAATACCACTTCACCTTATTATGCGGCACGAGAAGCGGTCAGGGGCTTCGAAAAACTTGGCCCTTCTGGTTTAGGCCCTGACGGGGGCTCTTTTCTGTTTGTGGGTAATGGTTTAAACACTATTGCTCTCCCGGGCTTCATGACTTTTGCCGGTAAGCCCTATGAATCTATTTATTTAGAATACTCACATGAAAGCCGCTATTAACTCTATTATAGTTCAAAAAGGTGCTACCGCACATCTGATCCATAACCTAGCGCTGGCCGAGTATGATGGAAAACCCTACAAGTAAGTGAATCCACAAGAATAAAATAGAATACGATTAGATACCTCTCGACCAATAACTTACAAGATATTGTATAGATTCTACTATCTCGACGAGAGACACGCGGATGGTTCATACGTAACCAATGACTTAAGTGGTATTGGCCACGCCAAAGAGTTCCTCAAGCTAGCAAAAGATAGCAAGCAAGGACCTTGGAATTATACCTTCGTGAGCGGAAAGGGGTACGAGAAGTTCCCACCCGTGGAGGTCATGGCCTGGAATCCATAGTGGCTTTAAAGGTGTAACTGTGATGCGGTTTGATTACCTATATCATTTAATCACTCATTACTATATATTAGATGGTTCCGTAGGGGTATGTCTAGGGTTTATGTTGTAGCCTGCGATATGGACATTCGCTATAATAACGTAAATTGACAATGACCAAGTCAGAAACAAATAGCTTGTTCAAGCAAAGTAATACAATGAAAATATGCGATTTTCAGCATAGAAATTTCCCATTAGAAACAAGTAGTTCTTTGAACAATTCATTGTACCTGTGAAGTATTTCGTATAAACACCGACTCGCATCTTCTGTATTGAACTCATAGCCATGACTAGGGCATCGCTTGAAGATATCGTGACTATTCCGGAGCCTCTATAGGAGTGCTAGATTATTTAAACCGGCGTCGTAGAGTAAGCTGTAGACAGTAGTTTTTTATCAACCAAACACTTCCACCACCACCACCATCACCATCACCATATCCATCATTGCCTTGCCATAATTTGATATTTGCCCCAAAATATCCGCAATGGCAAACAATTCTGATAAATCAAAGGTAGTAGGGGGTTATCCGAAGCCCCCGAAGCCTACAACCTACCCATCGACCGTAGTTGGAGACAATTTAGGGTCATTCTCAAAGTCGTCTGACGCTACTAAACGAACAGCGCAATCTGCACTTGAGCTGCTTAACCAATCAGGAAAGAACAAGAGCAGTGGAAAATAAGCACTGCCATCTAAGGCTATACACATCTATTGGATAGACTCCGTTTGGCCAATATGTCGAGTCAGTTAGATCTCGACTAGACTCGAAAGAGTCACAGCCCTCTTATTAGGGATTTTTTTTTAAATATGTATTATGCGATGTTTTTCGATCATTAGATCAATTCGAGATATCAACTATGTACTGGCAAGTACATAGGTAGATGAATTTAATCCACAAATCCCATGCTTTCGTAAATTCATTTTCTTGGGCCATCGTGGCTAATCCGTGTATATGAAAAGTGTAAAAGCAACTTGACATCTTAGTTTATGGAGGCCAATGACTATACCTATGAAGAGCACCATGTATTAATGTAGTATCATGTTAAAGTCTAACAAACATACTTTTTTAACTATCATAAAACTTCACCTTTACTATTACATACATGCTCTCTCCTTAATCCACACACATGTACCCGAAGATTTACTTGAAGCAAATTTCTTAAACCGCAACTCAAACATTTATTCAAGCTAATGAACACAAAGAGCCTGACATGTAACCAGGTGGAGGTAGTTTATTAATGAATGGGTTGAGAATATTTGTTATATATAGGGAACCTTTGTAGTTGAACCTTTATTATAAAGGCTAATTGTATTATTCTATAATTTCTTTTATACTTGGGGACATACATTCCCAGTCTATCCAACCCCTTGATTACCCTTCCATTGCCGTACCCAACCGATCTCCGTATCACAAAAACGATATAGTGATACAGCAGCGTGCCACAAAAGACCCAAATGGTAACACTATCCACAGCACACGTTCGGCTCCTCACTCGAACTCGTTACACCGCATCTTCGAAAAGAAGCAATTAGCAATATTATTCGGAGAGAAACATCAAATAGCATACCCTTCGCCCAAAGGTTCACAGTGGAAGATGAATGCGCCAATGTAAGCACCGACAAAGATGGATATGATGATGTAGCCGTTAAAGTACATTGCGAGTTTATCATATAAGTTAGCTAGGTGAGCATGAAGTGTCATTAGATTCACTAGATTCACTAGTTTTAGGTCCGTTAAAGTGCAACGTAGAACAAGAACGTACAACATAACGAAATACGCAACCGCAAATTGGACCATGTGTAGCAACGCTCTAATCGCCTGCTCCCAAGCCGTTGGCCTGGACCCGTTTGCTTGTAGTGCGTTTTGGTGAGTAGATGTCAAGCTTGCCATCATAGTCTCATTATTGTTATCTTTAGAAGGGGTTATAGACGCAGCCGTAGCAGTCGAAGCGTGCTTTCGAACGAGATATCTATCGTACTCCTTCGCAGTGCGGCGTAGGAGCTCCAAGGCCACGGTAAGCAGAATAACGCCGATTCAAGACCCGGCGAACATGCCGGGAGTGGTGTTGTGCCATGAGCGAGCAAGGAGACAGGAATGAATAGTGTACCAATTCCAAAGCATCTGTTCTTATTAGGTCTTAGATTCTTTACTACTAGAACAGGGTGAGTATACCGATATCTTGCAGGCATTGCCTTCTACCATCAAAGTGCCACTCATATCTATGCTTAAGTCCGTGAATATTGTCGCTACGATAATTGCTGTTTATATGGGGATCGCCTGACCACGGCCGTCGACAATATATCTATATTCATTAATAACATAGTATCTAGCCTTTACAATTAGTATATACCGCGAGCCAATGCGAAAGTTCTAGTTCCGACATTACCAAGCGTTAGCCGGAAATCTTAACGTGTCGCCTGTTGCGTCGCATACAGGACGGGACAAGAATCCCAGGCATCTGGATCTCCAATATATCCCGACAGTGAATTGTGGAATTGGGGGTAGCTGTCCATTAAAAAAAAGCTTCGCCAACTTAATTATATCTCAAGTACCTAGTATAAAGTCAAGGGCCATATGAATTTTAGGCATAATGAGATAGTGACAGGTAAGTTTATTCTTCAGCTGCCGCCTCGGGCGTCCGTGCCATGCGGAACCGGCAGAATGACAGGGACAGGGATTTAAATAGGAGTGAGCACGTTTGAGCTGATTTAGTATATGGCTCGTCACGGCTCGTGTGCCTTTGGGCATTTAAGAGATCTGGTTTCGACTATCATGATACTTTTAACGGTAATAGACTGCTTTTACTGCTCAATGTATAAAGTGTGCAGTGTACCTTGATGGTCTTGATGCTCACCATTCTAACGGTATTATATCCAACTCGTGTCCTGTAAAGAGTCGATAGGAGTATGTCACTTGCTACTATGTTTTGTATAAGACTCTAAACGCCATCCCGCATATTCGTATGCGTAACGGTAAGCGCCATACCGTCACCAGTGTAAGTCAAGTCCGAGTTTAACAAGACACTACTCTCCACATTTTGACATATGGTAACTCGAGTTTAACGTCGTTAAAAATCCTGTGCTGTTTTCTTCCATCTCTCCTAATTTAGTATAGCGTCGTAGTGTGTTACGAATAGTTTGGCCGTACGGTAATTGGGTTCCCAATACTTGCTCACAGACATTTTGCCTTAATTAACCGGCACCATACCAGCTCAAATGATTCCGCATGTATTAGCAACCAAAACCAAATACAAAATGAACTAGTCGTCACAGAAGGCGCAGCGTATTATCGCAGCGAACTTTTATTTTATCCTCCATCATCACTATTGTAGGCTCATTTGCCTCCGGAAGGTTTACCAAGATGACGGCAAGGTCGATGTCTATGCCTATGGGCGATAGCTCTACCTCGGAGAATATCACTAGCCTTCCTCTTTCGGACCCGCGGTGTAATAGCGATGCTTGCGATGCTTTCGCGACTGCCCACAAAGCTTCGCAGGCAGCGGTGTCGTACGATCACCAGTATGAGTATGGACACTATACGACTTGGTATTACCTAGCGGCGATTGGCGTTGCTATGTTCGTCTATGCCTATCGTCTGAACCGGAACCGTAGGGCTCGGCAAGGGGTTCCCGGGTTTGAAAGGTTAACGCCAACTCATAAAGTACTTGCTCTCTTCCGCGCGGTCAACTATCGACACCTCAAAGGCCGTGTGGCAGATTATTTCGGATTCCCTTCCCTCGGAGCGTTTGTATTCATTGCCGTGACATCGCTGTTCTCCTCCTAATGACTTTCTTGGTTCACCCTTACTATCGAGGCCGACGAGGCTATGGCTCTCCTCCTTTAGCTGTCCGAACTGGGTTAATGGCGCAGGCTTTGACACCCATCATTGTTGCCCTTGCTGGCAAGGTCAACTTTATCACGATACTTACCGGCATTAGCCATGAGAAGCTGAATATTTTCCACCGTTGGGTATCGTATATGTGCTTGTTCCTGAGCATTGTTCATACAGTGCCCTTCATTGTCCAACCCCTGAGAGAGGGTGGGCCTGCGGCCCTCCAGAAACAGTATTACAAACCTGGTGGCATGGAGGTATGTGATTTCCCGCCCCTTCGGATTCTTTGCCGTATGCATGCTGTGAAGACTGACACAAAATCCCGAACAGTATACAGGAACTCCACCACTGGGTATACTTGTAGGCATTGTCGTGTTATCCATTCCGTGGATTCGCCATCGGTTCTACAACTTATTCTACCGACTGCACATACCCATGTACATAGTGTATCTCGGTCTGCTCTTCTGGCATTCGAAGCAGGAGAAGGACTCGTGGGTGTATTTGTACTCGACGCTTGCAATCTGGCTCGCTTCATGTTTAGTGCGCCTCTTCTACAAGTGGCAGACATTCAGCATTTTCCGAAACTGGTTCCAAGGGTTCTCGGCGAAGCTGGAAGAATTACCAGGCGGCATGACGAAGGTGACTGTCCTTGCGCCCCTGGACTTCCAATGGCGGCCTGGTCAACACTGCTGGCTGCGAGTGCCTCACATATCGTTGCTACAGAACCACCCTTTCACAATTGCAAACTTACCTAAAGTTCGTACTTCAGGAGTGAGAGTAGATTCAGAAACCCAAGACATGATCTTTTACGTCCGTGCGCATCATGGACTGACTCTTGATTTACTTAAATCCGCCACAAACCATGATGACGCGGAAAACCGCAGTCCTTCTATTTCTATCCATATTGATGGTCCGTATGGCGGACTTATTGAGGATGTGCCCGCGTTGTACGAATCGCTAATTTTCGTTGCTGGAGGAAGTGGGATTTCCGCATGCCTTCCATGGATTCAATATGCGGCTAGGCGCATCACTGAAGGTACTTCAGTGACCAAGAATATCCACCTTGCGTGGATGGTTCGATACGCCAGCCAAATACAGTGGATAACGGAAGAATTAGAGCCACTCATCGCTGCTCATCCGGATCTGATCCAAGTGGACTTTTTCGTGACAGATTCGAGTACAGCGGCGGTGTCAAGCATAGAATCCGATAAAAACTCCGATAATGGAGTAATCAGTAGCAAGCCGAACGAGAAGAGTACAACGACGATAGTCCCGAAGCTAGGACAAGTGCATAACCAACGTCCCTACCTACCTACTCTGCTTCCGACTTTAATCACGGCGCAGCGGTCGTTTATTCTTGGTAAGTCTCACTCTCAATGATGATTTGTTAAGATATACACTGATGCGGACAACTCTAGGTTGCGGACCAGAGAGTTTAAGGACGGATTTAGCAAATGCGGCGTCAGCTGCTCAGAAGAAGGTCCTTGCTGGAGATGCCAAGATCATCACGTTGCACACTGAGTCTTTCGGTTGGTAAGTTGAGAAGTAGATGCAGGTCGGTTTTAGAGTTCCTTGTTTTTAACCCCTTGGCATTGGGTTACTGTTATATAATTTAGTCATGCTTCGTATGCGACACGAGATAGTTATTCAAAACCATGCGTTGGATAAAAATGGGAATAAATGGAAGTGAATGAACGATCTAAAGTATAAATCTATACCTGTAAGAGGTAAGAGGTAAGAGGTAGTGTAGTACATAAATAGGGGGTACATACCTGGTTAAGGTACCTAAGGTACCATCATTGTTCAAATATCGGCCAATCACAACCTTCAAGCCGCCTCATTTAGGGCAGCTACCCCGCGATAGTATGATGGGTAGGTAGATCCATCGCGGAATTGCACCTTTACATAGAAATCGCCCTGCCCTGTGTCAGCCGGACCACTTCCGGGTTACGCTACCACAAGCTCCGTCATCGGGGCTGATCTTTAGCACAAAGTTGAAAATTTCCAACTCGGTCAGCAATAAGATTTCGAGACCAGACTCATTGAGTTTAGTTTCTTATGGGATAATAGATTAGTTATATGAAATAACATTGAATATTTCCAGATAGCTTACCTGCTTCCTACTTACCTAATTGACTTTTATAATCTTTTATTTTTCAAAGTCCCCTTTCACTTAATCGGACGACTCTAATTTTAGGTCACGGACATTTTGTGTCAAAGGTCCGCCGAATAAATCGTCGTCTCGGCACCCCGAATTCATACCCCTACGTAGATCCTCTTTTTTTAAACGGAACGAGTATGGAATCTTTCACAATTCGGACGCCGTGCTCGTCGGCCAACATTGGACCCGGTTTCGATGTCATCGGCCTGGCCCTGTCTATCTATCTTGAGCTGCGCGTCACCATCGATCGCACCAAATCTTCGTCTCAAGAGCCTCTTAACTGTCGTATCACGTATGAAGGTCAAGGCGAAGATTCAGATGATGTACCACTAGATCCGTCTGCAAACCTAATCACTCGGGTTGCGCTGTATGTTCTGCGGTGCCATGACCAACGAGCATTCCCTGTTGAGACTCACGTGCACATCGTTAACCCCATCCCATTGGGCCGTGGTCTTGGCTCCTCTGGTGCCGCCGTTGTTGCCGGCGTAATGCTGGGCAAGGAAGTTGGAGGCCTGCATCATCTAACCAATGATCGGCTTTTTGACTTCTGTCTCATGATTGGTATAATTCGCCTTTCTTTTAACGCCTGACGTTCTCAGGTGTCAATCTTCTGTCTGAATTTTCTTCTTTTTCAAGTTGCTGTTGAATGTTATAGTATGCAGGAAGCTAACCTCCTTTGTCTCTCTAGAGCGTCATCCTGACAACGTGGGCGCTGCTTTGTTTGGCGGATTTGTGGGGACGTACCTAAAACCGTTGACGCCCGAGGATGTTGCGCGTGTCGAGATCCCACTTAGTGAAGTACTTCCTGCACCAGCGGGTGGTCTTGACACGGGTGAGCGACCGCCTGAACCACCGCACGGTATTGGCCATCATATCAAGTTCCCCTGGTCCAAAGAGATCAAGGCTGTCGCCATTGTGCCCAATTTCCAGGTCCCTACAGCCAAGGCACGAGAGGTACTTCCGAAAGAGTACCCACGACAGGATGTTGTAAGTCATAAGTCTTTGTCTAAGACACTCACCCCATAAACATACTGATCACGCTTTAGACCTTCAACCTGCAGCGAATAGCGTTGCTACCTGTTGCGTTAGGACAATCGCCTCCGGACCCGGATCTCATCTATCTTGCCATGCAAGACAAGTTGCACCAGCAGTACAGACAGACATTGATCCCCGGCTTAGGTGAGATCGTCGAGTCCATGTCACCAAGCACTCAGGAGGGGTTGTTAGGAGTTTGCTTATCGGGCGCCGGACCTACAATCCTAGCGTTAGCTACTAGCAACTTCGAGCAGATCGCCGAGAAGATTATAAGCAGGTTTGCGAAGGAAAACATTGACTGCCAATGGCTAATCCTGGAGCCAGCCGAGGGTACTAAGGTTATCCGCGCATGAGGGTCAAGCTGATGAGCACGTGAGCTTTAAATTAATACCCGTGTGACTACATGTCATAGTTCCGTATAGACCAACGAACGGCTGAGGTCGACTTCGGATCTTGGGAAACTTCCCCGGATTAAGCTTATTTTAGCCAAAAGACTAGCGGCGGGTTAGGAGATCTTGGGCCTCTGGATAGAGAGTGCGGCTAAAAATAGACAACTTAGTTTCGCCGATGAGTACGGTTGTTGCTGTTGTATAAATTGTATAAGTGCTGGTCTTTTTTATTAGCTTCCGAGGGCTTTCATTGTGAGGTGGGATATGGAATCTTGAAATGCCTACATCACGTCCGTTAGAATAGTAAGCGAATATCTTGTAGCGCTCCAATGATATGAGCATCCAATAGCACGCTACGGATTGGTACTCCAATCTGTACATACCTACCGAGATAGGTACCATTATGCAATCTCATCGTGCTGCAGAGCTCAGGGAACCAGGTCAAACAAATTCTTAGTTGATTCTAGTATCCATTTCCAAGCTTCTGGTGACGGCAGGCTTGCTCGATGTAACATGCGGTTATGCCGCCTTTCCCGTATCTGCCTCGATCACGAGAAGTGGTTCTGCTGCAAAGGAGGTAGATTCCTTATTTTGTAGTAGTTTGGCCGCGCACAGCAGTCAAAATCCATCATGTGAAAATAGCATCTTTTTATTAAACATGACGGTAACTTCCGATTGGACTTTTATTCTGCGCCCAAGTTAAAAAATGTGGTGCAATTTCCATCAGGCTGACGGGGTGTAGCAACAGCTGACGTACGGCGACTGGGGGAATGAAGGATTTTAAATGCAGCCCTGAATTCACGCATCTGCAGAAAATAGTGATCAGCCCCCCTGTCCTGACTATTCTGGAAGTCAGCTCGTTAGCTGGAAATATCCTAGCGACCCGAGCGGATACCTATTACATATAGGAATAACCCCGACGTCTCCGAGCGAAAACGAGATCCATCAACGCCGGGACTACAACGGGGTTGTTCCCGAATCTTGGTCTGTCATCACTTCACATGCATACATCCCTCCCCCCACACGATGTATCCACCCAGTGCCGAGGGAAGCCCCTCAAATGTCATAGTTGCCCCTATCTAGGGTGTGCGGGACCATATTCAAAACATAGTTATCGTATTCGGATGTTATTTCGAAATAGCGTAGCAGAGGCCAGCTGAGCATAGGCGCAGATAGCGAGATTGGCTGTTGTCCTGCAACTATGCGTTGCTTGTAATTTTGTGACTGTCATACGCAAACATACTATACCCTTCAGAATGTAATATAGTCTAATATAGTCTGTAGAATTTATAGGGGTAAGGATGCCGGCAGGAACTGTAGATAAATGTCGCGTAGTTCCTGCATGTAGCGATAAGTCTTAGCTGTTGCGAGGAGTCTCGTTCGTATCCACGTATCGCACTTGCACGCCTCCGGCAAATCTTGACACTTTCAAATAACTACGCGGTGGAAACAGGGTCCAACATGGCATACATGACTCTAAATAGATTCATGATATGGGCTGTTGCCCTTGCAACGTCCGTTGCTGCCCAAGACACTTGCCAGACGGTCGAAGCCCAAACCTCCATCACAATGCTCAAGTCGTTAACGCTGGACTACAACAAGGAGCAGAGTCATTACTGGTCCACGTTTTCCGGCGACCTTAAACCAACATGCATCCTCGAGCCGGAAACATCGGAGGAAGTCGCTGCTATTGTGTCAATTCTTCAGAAAAACAACGAGACCTTCGCCGTCAAATCGGGAGGACACAATCCGAATAATTACTTTGCCAGTGTTGACGGAGGACCACTCATTTCGACTAAGAGGCTTAACGAGGTCATCTTCAACGCTGACTCCGAGACCGTCAGAGTTGGCCCTGGTAACCGATGGGATGAAGTTGGCAAACAACTGGACGCCACAGGCTATACTGTAGTCGGTGGCCGTATCGGAAATGTTGGGGTTGGAGGTTATCTGCTAGGGAGTAAGAGTGGCTGAAGCCCCTTTTTCTGCAACTAGAATACTAACCGAGTCTAGACGGATTGAGCTTCATGAGTACAGAATATGGTTGGGCTGCTAACTCGGTCCTCGAATATACTGTGGTACTAGCAAATTCGTCAATCGTCACTGTTAGCGAGACTAATCATCCCGACCTCTGGATGGCTCTCAAAGGCGGCGGGAATAACTTCGGTATTGTGACGTCGTATCTACTTCAAGCATATCCTCAGGGCGATATATGGGGTGGTAACCTTGAATTCGATGCCACGCCCGAGAATACCGCCGCTATCCTAGCGGCGGTTCGTAATTTTACCGAAAACTATCCCGATAAGAAGGCTGGCATAATCGTAACGGCTGAAAGAACGTTGACCACATTACTCGATATCTGGATCTTGTTCCTTTACTACAACGGACCTGAGCCGCCGCAAGGCGTATTCGATAGCTTCCTCGCTATCGGGCCTAACATCAACACCTGCAAAACACAAAGGTATGCTGATCTCCTCAGCGGAAACAACTGGTCCGTCCTAAAGGGCAGTGTCTATACCATCGGAACAGAAACTATTCCATTGCCTAGCAAGGAAGACGGTCCCGAGGTCATGCAAGCCATCTATGACCATTGGGTGAAGGTCAGCGACACGACCAAATTTATTCCAGGACTCATTGCCAGTATCGCCCTCCAACCCATGCCAAGAGGAGTAGCAACGATAGCCAAGTCCAAGGGTGGAGATATGTTAGATTTAGATGATGACCACGACCGTCTCATTGTCGAGCTTGACTATAGCTTCTACTCCAAGTCGGATTATGATCAGGTTGACATAGCGATGCGCGCTACATATGGTGGTTTCCAGAGTATTGTTACGGGATACCAGAAAGGTGGCCTGCTTCCATCTGATGTGTATCTCCCGCTCTTTATGAACGACTGTTTCTATCCACAGGATTACTTTGGCAGGTTGAGACCTGAAAAGTTGCAGCTAGCTCAGACTGTCCAATCTCAAGTTGACCCAGACGGTTTCTGGAATGAGAGGACAGGAGGATTCAAGATAACCTCGAAGCAATAAGGATAATAATTAATTGATAAACAATTCTTATGAATTAGAAATATAATAATTAAATCAAATCAAGTCAAATCAAATCAATCACAAATATCTGTTCTTGTACCAGTATGAATTGCTGCATAGTGATGTTCCTTTAGTGATGATAAGTGGAGTTCTTTTTTCGTCTTACGATTTCACGTAAAGTCAAGTTGAACAAACCCCTGACGCGATAGCGGCTGTTAAGCTAGACTAGGTCAGGATTAGTGCGGGGCCACCTACAGACCCACTAAGCGCGCCATCCATCATCGAGATAGGGGACACTTTACAAAAATAACTTTACCAAAGTAACTTTACCTGGAAAATATCCATTGTTAACATGCATTTCCATGTATTTACAAACTACCTGGGTATTTGCACATTTATTTGCACATTCTAGATTCACGACCCATGTAAACTGTGATATACAGCCGCGTTACCTTTTTCCTTAGCTGTCTTATTGGCCTACTACTTTCCCCGTCTTTGCATGAAATAAATCAAATAGTACTATGGATTTCCTCAAATCCGCGGTCGCGTCCGCCATCTCTCAGGGGCCGCCCTTCCCCTACTCCTTTGGCGACAAAGTTGATATAGACGCTTCTATCTGGACACTTTATAATGGTACGAGACGAGCCGATGGATCCAATTGTAGCATATTTGCTTTCGATATACCCTCGAACAAAGCGCGACTCCCCCTTGCGAAGAATGCCGTCAAGAAACTGCGCACGATGCGACATCCAGGTGTTATTAAGGTCCTAGACACCGTTGAGACAGATTCATACATATATATCGCAACCGAGAGGGTAGTACCTCTAAGGTGGCATGTCAAGAGAAAGAGCTTGAGTCCCGAGACTATTAAATGGGGGTTGTACAGCATTGCGCGCACCATTAAGTTCATTAACGACGAGGGCTCCTCCGTCCACGGCAGCCTCCGGGTCGCGTCGATATACACATCGGAGAGCGGCGAATGGAAATTAGGCGGGTTTGAAGTATTAAGTAATGTAAAGGATGACGATGCGGTAGTATACACATACGGAAGTCTGGTACCGGATGCTGCAAGATACACGCCACCAGAGCTCGCGCGCTCGGGTTGGGATGCGCTCAAGAAAAGTCCACATTCAGCTGTCGATGCTTACAACTTTGGGACTACTATATTTGAGGTGTTCAATGGGGATTTCATGGGTGCTGATCAAGCAGGACAGACTAAGAGTATTCCGCCCAGTATGCATACAGGCTACAAGAGACTTGTCAATGCGAACCCCAAGGCCAGAATTACAGTAGGAGCATTCTTAGAGCAAGGACGTCGATCTGGCGGTTTCTTTGACTCGCCTTTAATAAAGTTGACCGATGGAATAGATAATCTCGGAGTCAAATCTGAAACCGAGAAGGAACAATTCTTAGATGATCTCGACCAACTTACAGACGATTTTCCTGAGGAGTTCTTTAAGATGAAGGTATTACCTGAACTACTGAAGTCAGTTGAATTCGGCGGAGGCGGACCAAAAGCATTCGGTGTTGTTATGAAAATATCTACAAAGCTATCAAATGAGGATTTTGAGTCTCGAGTTCAACCAGTTGTTGTCAGACTATTTGGCAATCCCGATAGGGCCATACGAGTTTGTCTCTTGGATAATCTACCGGTTATGATTGACAGACTATCTCAAAAGGTGGTCAATGATAAGATTTTCCCAAACATGGTATCTGGCTTCGCGGATGTAGCACCCGTGGTTCGAGAGCAAACACTAAAATCCGTTCTCGTCGTCATCTCCAAGCTATCAGACCGGACGATCAACGGCGAATTGCTAAAACAACTCGCCAAGACGGCTAACGATGAGCAGCCTGGTATTCGAACAAACACCACAATCTGCTTAGGAAAGATTGCTAAGAATCTTGGGGCTTCATCACGAACTAAGGTTCTACTCGCTGCGTTTACTCGATCACTTCGAGACCCCTTTGTACATGCTCGAAATGCCGCACTCCTAGCACTTGCAGCCACAGGCGAATATTTCACCGAAGAGGACTGCGCAGTACGACTTTTACCTGCCATATGCCCATCCTTACTCGATAAGGAAAAGCTTGTCCGAGATCAAGCCAACAAGACATTGGACATTTACTTACAGAGGGTTCGCAAGGCTGCAGACGGTATGCCTGATACAGTCCAACCGCCGCCTCAGTCAACCGAAGGTGCCGGTCCGCGAATGAGTACACCGCAGCCGAACGAGGCATCTTCTTGGGCCGGATGGGCCATTTCTTCCTTTACTAATAAGTTATCAGCCGCCTCAGGTGAAATAAATCCAACAACCTCGCGTCGTCCGGTTGTATCCCCCGACCTCGACCCCAATAGACATGTCCCGCCAACGACATCCTCAGCTTCTGCGCTCCACCGCCAGGCTGTTAAGTCCCCATCGCCCCGCCCCCCTCTGTCACGAAACTCATCTACTTCTGCGGCCGAGGCTTATTTCAAAGATCCCGATCCAGTAGAAGATGACGCAGGCGACGCTTGGGGTGACATGGGCGACATGGATGATGACGGCAATGCGTTCTACGATGCGTCCAGCGAGCCGACGAAGGCCGCGGAAGAAAGAGCCGACGGCATCACCTAAGCCATTTGATGATGGCCCAGAGCCCGACTTTGCAGGATGGTTAGCAGCACAAGCCAAGAAGAGTGGTCCTAGTGGCGGGAGCAAGCCCCTTCCAAAAGGTCTCACTAAGACAAACGGCAAAGCATCTACCACCACCCCCGCCGCTAAGAAGCCGCTCACATCCAAGCCAGCGGCGAAGGTGGTGGCAAAGAAGATTGACACGAAACCAAAGGAAACAGGTGACGATGACGGATGGGGAGATGGGTGGTAGCGTTTGGTTGGGATGTAGATAAGGAAAAGCAATGTTTGGTTGAGATGGAAGAGCGAGGACATCGCAAGGCGTTTTGGTGTACGGGTTATAGGCTCGGACTTAGATATCCGAGGGTTGATTGCTTTCTAGCATACTGGGCATCGAGGTGTTGTTGCTGAATCTAAGCTCTAATACCAAAGAGTGGCGATATAAACATAATAAATATCTTTAAAGTGAACCATGCAGAACATTTCGCTGATATCTAGAACAAGTCACAGAACAGGGTTTTACCGTACGAAATAGACACGAATAAAAGTCAAAATAAAGCTGCATAACAAAACCAACCGTAGGAGCCCCGTGTAAAACTCCAACGCCAGAGGATAGGTACCTACCTAGGTATATAGAAAAGCAGGCTCATGCCAAGAACCACCTCCACCTCGTCTTCATGTATCTATCTATCTATTCGGCATTTGTACGCCTATGAAGCACGTCCTCCCCTTCGTCAGACTTATCAATCACCGCGCCTCGGAGTAATCGTTAAGAGCAACGCAGACCGCGCCGCGGTGGTGGCCGTTGTACTGGCGAATAACCTGTTGACTATGCAGCTCCCACAGCCGCGCATAGTGGTCCGAGCACGCCGTAACTAGGTATGCCGAATCAGCGCTGAACGCGCAGTCCCAGACCCAGCGCTGGTGGCCTGTCAGCGTCGCCTCTAGGGGATAAGGTCTAGGCTCTCCGCTCGCGACGTCTCCGCCGGCTTTAGGCTTGTCGTGGCCGTTGATGCCGTTAGCGGGGGCGTTAGATAGGGATGACGAAGAGGACTCGTCGGATGGGGTTCCTGTCACGTTGGTGACTTCCCAGATCTTGGCCGTGTGGTCCGCCGAGCAGGTCGCGAGCTTCTTGACATCGGGGGAGAGCAGGATTCGCGTGATGTACTCTTTGTGCGCGGAGAAGTGCGTTACGGGGAGGAGATTTGTACGTTCGTAGGTTTGGATTAGTTGCCAGACGAAGACATTGCCCTAAGTGATGGTGTTTGTTAGTATGAGAGGGTATGAGGTAGGAGTACATGGGGTAAAGAAGCAGAGTAACATACAGCATTGTTAGCAGCGCAGAGGAGAGAACCGTCACTCGCGACAGTAACACTAGAGACGGAGACATCTTCCTCGGGAATGAGCTGATGAGAGCAGTTATTCTCAGCAAGATCCCAGACCCTGACGCTTCCGCTCCGATCGCAGCTTATGATCTCGCCCTGATTAGGGTGTATAACGACATCGTTTACTGCAGAACCATGGTTATAGCTACGCTGGATAGTGCCGGAGCGCGTCTCCCATATCTTGACGCTGCCATCTTCAGAACTCGTCACCATCCATTTCCCCTCGCAGTGGAACGCGACTCCCGTCACGTTTCCCGTGTGGCCTTCGAAGGTAAGTAAGGGGTTCGGATTCGTCGACTTGATATCGTAGAGCTTAACCGTATGGTGACCGGCCGCTGCCAGGAACCGCTTGTCCGGCGAGATGCATAGTCGATTTACCTGCGAGTCCGGATGTTGAATTGTTCGCGAGCAGATTCCTGATAACGCCTCCCAGAACCTTTATGTTTTTTGAAAACAGCTAGTTAGTTATCAATGCAATTATAGGATTAGGATTAGGATCTCGATCTCGATCTTGATAACCGGGCCGAGCCGTAAGCGCATACCTAATTGTGTGATCGTACCCAGCTATATTAATCGACAGGTGAGTTGCAGAACAGTGGCGGTGGGGTGGGAATTGGGCCTACCGGTACAAAGAATAACAGACATTACGGCGTCAGCAGTGGCCCATCAAAGCGATAGGCCAGCTGAGGGTGAGGGATTAACAAGATTGGAGAATAAAATATGTTATTCCAAGTTGCTATCGAATCAGGTGTAAAAGGTTACGATAAGTTCGCGGAAAGAAGCTGATGTCAATGCTGAAGGCATTATTAGCTTTATCGATAAGATATGTAGCTTCGGGACATAAAATAATTAACGCGAACTGAATTATGCAATAACAGAGGTAGTCACAAAGTACCACTAATGGAATAGGGGTCATGAAGGGTCATGAATTCCTTGAGAATCTACCCGACAGTAATGTTGCCTACCTAATTCATTAGATTCATGGGCCTATTGACTTCTTCAAAAGCCGACCGTCGATCAATCCATGATGTCAATTCACAGACAGTGAATCAAAATAACCACGTTAATTCAATGTCAGTCTCAAAATTCATAGTGATACCCATTGGATGGTCAAAGAATTTTGACCATATTCATTAGCATACCCAAAGAAAGTATTGGATAAAGTTGGCTTTCTCTTAGGAACCAGTTCTACAGTATAATAAGCTTAAAATAAGAAAGAAAATAGCATAGATTTTTGAGATAGTATGAAAGTATTCTCAGTCTTGGATATGGAAACCTATTCCATCCTTATATCTCCTTGATTAGACCTCAAATAGCATCTTGAAAACAGACAGAACTATTCCTCTCTAAACCATATACTAGCTAAAGCAGGGAGGACTCCAGGTGCCTCTCCAGCTTATAGAAACAGATACAGCCGATTTTCCAGCGATGGAGATAACGGTAGGGCAGTGTGACATTGAGTCCTTCTATAGTTCTCGCGCTGGTACGTCTATCTCTTAGAGTCCCGGCATATAGAAGATCCTCCTCTAGAGCTCCCGCGTCCTGAACTAGACCCTCCAGATGAGGTCGTGTGGTTTCTGTCTCGCTGGCCGCCAGCTGCGCTGATGCCTGGAACACCTAGCATCCCAGTGGCGCCGCAGTGAGCACAATTGATTCGACTATATCAATAAGTTAAACCTTCTTTCAATTTCCTTCTATAGTAGTAAGCTTTACGTACTCTCTTGGGTTGCCTTTGCAGTTAGGACAGAGGGAAGGCATGTCACGGTTCGGCCCGAGGCCGTATATAGCTCGGTCCTCGTCGAAAGAGTATGCGCCAGTATAGTATCCGTATGTGGTATCCGCTTTCTGTGCCATTGTCTAATTATTTTGACTTATGAGTTATGTGTAAGCTATGGTATTCTTGTGTGTATGCTTTTGAGTGGATTATCGTTGACCCCTTTTCCTCGAGGACGTGGAGGGTGTCTCTGGCAAGATTTATGAACATCTTAAAAGCCACCATTACGCCATTATAAGATCCGAAAGCTTGGCTATGGGTACAGAACTTCCAAGCCTCGAGGCTCACCGCCTCATTGAATGTCACTGGTCCTACCGGATGGCGCCTTGAAACTTGCCCTAAGAGCATCGGGTAGGAAAAAATCCGATAATAGGACATAGCCATGGCTCTACCCGGCTGTCCTTGAGAAACAATAAATGAAAGAAGTCCTAGTATTAGATCCTCTTATCTATTAAATCTCCAATCATATGACAGTTTCTCTCTTGGAGCACTCAACTGTTTAGGCTTGTAATACTCTCTGTGTTATAACTTTAAGGCCCGATAGTGACACAAGATTTCTAATATCAGCGAATCGAGAGTCTCTTTTCTTAACCATACGTGGAATATTCTTTGCCTACTGCCTGGCTCTTACTAGTGAATTAATAGAAGCTTCCGCTGTCATACCTCAACCCCCTTCCCGCTTGTTACTGTTAAGAATCCAGACCATCGGAATTCATCGAACTCTACCAAACGTTGTTTCAGATTAGGTAAATACCTCGTAATTTACCCTGACATACAAGCCGACAGTCCACTGATCCGATGTAGCATTCTATACCTGCGGGTATCCGGGCCACAGCTGACAACTTGTTCTCCCCGCAAACCTGGGATAGCCACGTATTTTACTGATGAGGCTTGTACTTCCGAGACCCCGGAAATTGTAGTTTATGAGTATTGCCGATTCTCCGAAGACGACTACATTTTGACGTGATATCTACGTAGATATGTCGTGCCGGGTTTCCTCGGGTGTGCAGGTTATAGCGAGGTAGATCTCGGCCCGCGCTCTTATGGGACTTATCTTGCATACAGTATATTTCAAAATGACGTGTCGGATATCCCGATCCGCTAATGTAGCTGTGACGTCGATCAACTAGGTTATGCCAAAAATAGTAGTATTCGTCCGATGATTTGATCGAACCCTAGACGCGATCTTATCGCATTCATATAACACTGCAGCGTGCATCCGGTGGCCCTACAATATACCCTAGTCTTCTATTGACACTTCTAGATGCTTTTAATCGTCAAGTTGTTAGATATATTACCAAAATCTACAGAAAGTCTCCTATTGTGTTTCTTCAAGTCTGTGAGCTTGTCCTTCTCATATATAATGCCATCATATACCTGTCATATGCTCGTACTTCGCTAGATATTATCCCGAGCCCTATCTCTTATTAGCTTATCCAGCATAGTACATCTGCAGTTACCCGTCACAGATTAATTTCTTCTAAGGCTAGAAATTCCCCGAGTCAGAATTCGTTGCAACTCTTACCGCTGATCTATCTCAAGCCCATTCAATATCACTCGTTCGTGACTTCGGAACTAGTAGTGACTAACGCAGAAGCATATATACTCGGAACGTACCGTATCTCTCGTGATTCGAGACTTGGAGCATCCCCGGCTATCCGCACAGGTGTCGGAGGTCTTATCATGATGAATGTAGTCCCCAGATCAGGATTGTTTACACCCGCTTCCGTATATCGGATCCTATCCTGGCTCTTGGCCCTTTCTTCCTTGCTAGAATCCTACATCAACACACGATCCCACAACGTGTACTACCCTTAGTATTACAATACAAAAATTAAATGAAAGAGGTATTGTTTTTGGTTAATAGATTTTACATCAAATGCTACGAAGGTGGTTATGTGCTACGAGATAAGTTGTAGAGATTGCTTAAAGTGTTTACCGGCACTGAGTTCAACGTGGAGTAACCATATATAGAAGCTTATAATGAGAAAGTTTCAATTGAAATATTAATATACAGATGAGTTATAATAAAAATATATGTAACACAATACACATTGATGATCTGACAATGGTTTCACCCCCCCGGCTAACCTCTCGGCCTCAATCCATCATCAATATTCTCCCCATAGGTTGTTGTTGCTTAGCTCGTGTTACCTTGTACACACATGATCTTTCGTTTAAATTCACGATCCGTAGCACGAGGTACCCATAAATATGTTAATACAAAACTCGTATACTTACCTATCACTAAGACTAACTACAAGCATCGTATTAAGAAATAATGAACTAGAGACATATTCTATAGAAATATACATGTAGTGCTATCTATCTCCACGAGCCGATTCGACAATGAGACAATATCAGTAAGCGGCGCCTACTTAATGCATCATGCGACTTGTGTTTCCACTACACCGACCTCCTTTAAGAAAGAGACAGGTGGGGTCTAGCAACCCTCTAAGGTTTGAGGACCATTCCTCAGTTACATAAGCTATAATATAAAGTTAACTCTATAGATCTAGGATATGCCAAATATTGGGTCATGTACATCCGGAGACAAGCTAAGCGGCTCTCCGCGGCTAGTCTACCCAGTGTTTCTCACCGGCGCCGGCGTAGCCCCACTACCCGGCCGGTTTGATATGGGCGGCATGTCAACGAGATTATTCAACTATGGTATATGTGAATATAAGTTTAAAGAATTCTAGCACGTGTAAAGACTTATTGAGGTAACAATTAAATATTAATTTCGCATGTGATCAACGTAACGGTGACTTCATGCTCACTAATTCTCATTTACATAGTGAGGGATAATTTGGTCCCACTTTTCTCTAAGTGGTACCCTATCTCAGGGGCTCAATCAACACATTGCTTATGGGTGATATGAAGTGATAACTATGAGAAGATCATACTGATGGTATTATGTTTTAATAGGCTTCTGAGCTTGTTGGTAACCTTTGCAGCACTCTTTACATGCAAGGAATAAACAAGCAAAGGGATATATTCCTAGTTTGAATCCTTGTTCGTGATTGATAATAGTGTTATTAGCCCACATATATTTTATAATTGTTAGTGCCAACAGTCTGGCCTTATCGCAATGCTGGACCCTTGTTGAACCGACTGTTGTTCCTCGATCAGCTACCTCCTCGGTTTCCGATATTGTTAGCTCATATTTCAACCAAGAAGATATGCGGGTTCCTACGCCAATATGACAGCAGAAGCTATGAAGAGTTAATCAAATCACTATGCGCAAGCGACCCGCGGATAAGAAGGTCCATCATAAACAAACCACCGCCGCCAGCAAAAGTTTGGAAGCCGTGGTGTCGGGCCAAGGTCCGGGTGCTTGCACTTCAGTTCGGCCCGGATGGGTCCGTTAGTCTTCCCACCGAGTATACCAACGCGTCTACCCTTGCTACTAGCCTCAAGCAGGATGCAGCATTAGCCAGTCATTCGTCGCGATCCGTATACCTACTCGAAGGGCTCTCCAGGGATTTTGTCCACGTTCTCGGTGACCACTTTCAGCTCCATCCTTCTCTATTCGCAGACCACGAGAGGTTAGCACCTCTTGGCGACCGGCAAACTGGGGAAAATGGAGGTCTTCCATTCTTACCATCCGCAATCTGCGGGAGAGATCATGTCTCGCTCAAATATCATGAGCCGCTAGTCCTATCGCAGCGGCCAGTCGGTTTCCGCTGCCTCTGCGACACATCCGGGAGACATATCGCTATGACAAGGCTTATGGGCGAGATGTCGAAAGTCGGCGTTAGTAGGCGTAAGTGTACATTTTGGAGTAGAACGACAGACTCCGGTGGCTGGAAATGTACGTGTTTTCCCATCACTCAAGTCTTTCTATGTGAATGAAGGGCCTTGATAGAATTTATGTTACTGATGATGCCAGGTCTTATTATATGTGATCCCCCTATCCGCCGGATCCTCACAGATCATACCGGGCGATCGGGATTTGATGTTATGACGAGTGATTTTAACTCTGGATATATGGATTTCGTGCCACTATCAAATCAAATGAAGGCACGGTCCGGTCCTCCTAGATCCTCATTAGTAGAAGATTTATTATTCTATTTACAAAAGCACTCCGATACATTAGACCTCAGTCATCCTAAATCTCTACGTATCTTCGTCGAGAAGATTATCGCCAGCCACTTTCTCAAGTTGGCCGAGTTCCTACAGTCTAACACTGAAGTCGTATTATGGCATCTGTCAAGGAGACGTGATTTAACACCTTTCGGTGTCGCTACAGCCGAAGAACTCTGGAGCGATGTCCAGTCATGGAAGCGTCGGGTTGCCGAGTACCAAGATGATCTAGAAGGAACTATGTTACAGCTTGGTGTTCAACTTACGCGGTCCCCCGATACCAGCCGCACTGAGAGCTGGACTGACAGCACCGCAGATTTCCAGCACCTATTACATCGCTACCGTCAAATCGAGAAGCGTGTAAACGAGTTAGGCAGTGCTATTAATACCTTAGCTAGTCTTGCAGGCAACCGCGTTTCTGTTAGGACAGGAAACTATCGCTTCAGGAGGCAGAGCGAGCAGGTCGTGAAAGTAGAAGTGTTAAGGCTTACGGTCCTGGGTATCATATTCCTCCCCTTATCATTCTCAGCTTCTATATTCAGCATGGCAGATTCGGTATGTATAAAGTTTCCCGGTTTGATTCGCTAGCTCTTTACTCTTAGTACATATTTTACAGCCGTCACTAACATTTAACAGTAAGTAATATCATCCTATCATCCACTTCGGACACATCACCACTCCTATAGAGAAACCGTGGAACTTTAAAAAGTAAGTTTTAGTAGCTAACTTGAAAACAACCCCATATATTAGTTACCTTCCAGGGAGCTCACAGTTTTGGGTATACTTTGCGCTGTCAATTCCGCTACTCGGATTTGTCATACTTGTATTTTCCGTCATAGAACTAGGGTATATGGACGGTGGAACTCGGTGGTCTCCTGGGTTGGGGATAGAGAATATAAGACAGAACCTAATACGAGGAAAGATTAGAAATAGGGCACTATAACTCACGTACGTAGTACAGGTAGCTGCAAGGTAGCAGCAATTGCATCTCACACACATCAAGCCAGTACTACTAGCATTCATTATCCTTAATATAAATCTAACAGAAAATCCTGGAAAAGCCAGCATGGAGCTTAAATTAGCAGCCACGTTAAACATATTAAAATGAAAGTAGTCATTAATAAATTCATACGAATGCCCAAGACGGATTATTGAAATCAAGACGTATTGCTGCTAGTTTACACATGCCGACGTTCAGTGAAACTGAGCGAGAGTCCACCGTAATAGCTAAACAAAGAAATGACGCCAAGCCAAACCGTAGCCTATCCTTAACCTCGGGCAGCCAATGTGCTATTCGAATCACCTTCCCTTGGCATCTCCCGACTCGCCCTTTGCGAACAACCATATAAATGCAACGAGATGTGCTAAGCTTAATCCACCTAAACAAAGAACCGCAACGCCGCTTCCGGTCTCATCTACACCTTTCACAACATATTTAGGACTGAGAATACTTGTAACTCTCAGCCGCAACTTAAACTTCGTAAGGTGTCGCCCATGGGAATTCCTAGAGTGAAAAATATGCACGGACATAGACGATAAATTACCATTGCCTAATATGTTTAGAGGACGGGCGCGGTAGAGACCATGTAAGTGAATGCAGCTGCACCGCCAAGAGCAACATAGGCCGCTGCCTGGGCAAAGCGGCGTCGTTTCGACGGCTGGACGTTGTCTCGGCGCGCGGGAATAATAGCGGGTTGAGCTTCGATGCTGTCTTGTTCAGGGGTCTCGGGGGCAGTAGCCTCATTTGACTCAACGTTGGTCACTTCGTCATTCCGAGTTCGCCTGTTTGACGACATGGACTTAGATTTGTCGTCCTCCCGAGAGATACATTCTTCATTCAATCCAATTACATCTTCATCATTGCTAAAGGCATCATCAAAGGAACGCTTCAGGTTAGGTTCCGGTACGCATTCACTAGTTGGCAGTGGGGCAGAGGATGCTGTGCTGAAAATGTGCGGAGTAATGGGGTCATCATTTGTATTGTTATCCCCGTTTGGTTCCTGCGTAAGTAGATCTTGAATCTCGACGCGCCTGGGCTTACTTGCAAGACTAGCAGCGCTGGTCTCACTGGCAATCTTGCTTAGTTGAAAAGTATATGCGCTGGTCATATCGAAATCAGGACTCTGAGGCCGTTCGGGATTTGAAGGGAGCTCCTCAATTCGAGGATGGTTGAGGAATCGCTCCCCAGATACTGACCATGGCTGCCATGTGGGATCCGGAATCGGCTCTTCACTGAGGATGGTCGTGGGGCCGTTGGGGTTGGGTTCGGGGCATTGTTGACGTCGGCAGCCCCCCCAGTTGAACTCTTTTGTCCATCATCAACTCGAACCACTGGTAAAGCTGTGTGAGAGGCATGATCGGATTCCACATCGGTAATATGCTGATCAGTATCAGCATCGGCGGCCAAGGTTTCTCGGATAGCAGACACAGGCGGCGGAGAATTCCAGTCCAAATTCATTCGGTTACTCTCCCTAGCCGCGAAAAATGCGTGCTTGCCCGATTTCTCTCCCAAAGCTTGTGCCCTAGAAATGCTTGCAGTTCTGTCAAGCACGGGATGGCTCTTGAACATAGCAGCATCAGATGGACTTGGTTCTCTCGGTTGGACAACCGATGCCCCTTGTTGCGTAGAGGTGGTAAATAAGAACGGAGCCACAAAGACGTCCTCTGTATTGGTCGACTCGGCAAAGGTATCTGAGTTTTAACCCGTTCGGAAGAGGTGGGTTAGGTGATGAGAAGGGAGACGAACTAGGCGCTCGTGAGCTCGAGTTGGATAATGGATCCATCATCTCATCGTCTGATGAGGAACTATCATCATCAGACTCTGAGTATGGCAAGATACCTGAGCAGGAAACGTCAGTGAATTTATTCGGAAATATATAACGAAAGAATATTGACTTACTTTCGTTATCACTCCCCCAGCTATCAGATCGGACCACGTCATCGTTAAACATAGAAGCAGGCGAGTCGTCATCGTCGGAATCTTCGTCCATGCTACTCATGTCGTCCCCTCTGATAAGAATTGAGCCATCTTCGGAATCAGTCAAATGGATATCCTCGCTACCCATGTCCTCGTCGTGTGGGAAGCTATAATCATGTTCGGAGGATGCATCGGGTTCAACATCAAGAGCCGTATGTTTCTCAGACTGCTCCATACCTGCTAGCAACTCATGGTTATAAGAAGCAAACGCAGTTACTAGTGCCGGGATCGATGGTACATCTATTGTGGCAGATGCGGAAGAGTGGCTAGGACATCTATCATGGATTTCATGGTCCGAATGTTCATCAGGCTCCGATGTTAGATCGATAACATCCGAGTTAAAGTGATTCGGGGCCGTGGCGTTGGAAGCAACGTGCTGGTCCTCATCCGAGTCGTCTTCATCTTGGGTAAGATCAATAGATAGGCCACGTTGAATGTTGGTATTCCGCGAGGGCGGCATACATGTCTCGACTACGCTTTCATCGTCATCGTCTTCATCATCGAGATCGTCATCTGGAATAGTAAAGGTTCGGTTGGGAGATTGATTGGTAGTCGGTACATCCTGACTACACCTATACGAGGGAGTTAGTATTAAGCAAGAGCCAATGCAATGGTCAACTTACGGCTCATGTTCTTGTCCTACCATATAAAACTCGACAGAATACGGCGGGAATGTTTCCTTGGCTCTGAAGATGTCGGTTCCAAAACGGAGGGAGTCGCCGTTTGACAGCCTAACAGGCCGCTGTTGTTCGAGCCTCATCTCCTTCCCAACTCCGTCGTGGGGTATATGGAAAGTGCCGTGAAGTGATCCGATATCTTTGATGACCACAGACTTGATAATACAATTAGCGCGGGCAACGCAAAGGGCAAGTTTGCTGGAGAGGCTGCTCGAGTAAGCTTACCTTAGGGATGCTGTCAAGGTCGAGGACGAGTTCTGCGTGATTCCGCGACATGACAGGACTATCAAACCATGCGTTATCTATAGAGGCAACAAAACCCTTTGTAGGAACCTTAGATGCTCGGCCGATTCGGATAGACGGGTTCTCGTTGCTGAGGATAAATTGACGTTTGGGGAAGGCGGATATTTGAGAGTCATGAGGTCGACAGACCAGTGTGACAATAATGACTATTTAGACAAATATGTCAATCAAGAATACGCTCGGTGATTTTGGAGTTTGGGCTGCGGGTTCCCGTCTTACCTTCATCGTCGTTTCGACTGAAATGGCCCGTAGCCGCCATTTTGCTCAGACTTACTATTCAGCAGCAGAATATTTATCCTCAAACCTTGAGTATCAAAATGATACCCGAGGCTTTCAGGAATGCGATGGGAATTGTTACAACCCTAACGAAGATAAATGATAAGTTCGTTAATAAAAGAGCTTATTAGAAGAGACTATTTTACTAATAAGTAGACGAACCGAAATGGCGGAATCTGATGTCGGGTAGTTGCTTTGAGAGCTGCAGCGAGAGTAGTAGTGGATGGAATGGGAGATGATAAGAAGAGCGAGTAGGAGGGGGAAGTGTGTCAGAATGGTGTGTCGGTGCGATGTGTTGAACAGCGAACGAACCTTGGCCTACTTGGTGCCTATTTGGTACATATACAAGGTGGAAAGTGCAAAAGGTAACACTTGGTTGGTAGTTTCTATATTAAATACTCAGGAGTGACTTTGGGAAATGACTATGGGTAGGTAGGTGCGGTTAGGCGGGGCAAGTAATAAGCAAGCACTATAAACTTTAAAACGGAAGTCGAAAAATCCTATAAAATACCTGAACTCACTATATAGAATATAAATAGTTACCTCTAATGTAATTAGGTAATATATTGGAATATTAGGTTACTGTTTCAGTTCCTCTTGCGATTATTATATTCTTGACCAAGTAAATATAGCTTATCTGGAGAGATACCTATGGTCGACATTGATATACCTACGGAGGAGGAGCTAGGTCTGATGTACCTAAGTTAATACATGTAGCCTACATGGGCTTCACGGACAAGTTGGAGCGGGGCTCTGGCTGCCTAATAGCACGGTAAGCCTGATAAGTCTTATCAGCTATGTATGTCTCCCCCACCCTCGATCTAACACTGTAATACACGAATTAAGGCTGAGGTTCTTCACATTGCCTTCAACTTCATAAAAGCACGATATAGTTAACTATTACTATTTTTTTACTCCTTTACATATTATATTCGCTTCCCTAACAACTACGCACAATGCCTAACTCAAACAACATATAATGCGAAAGGTACCCCTCGATTGTGTATGAAAGCCCTTGTCTGACGTATAATTGAGATTGCAAGGATTATGAGCTGAGCTAGTGGGGCCGATGGACTAACATTAGTGGGATGGCGGGGTTGAGCTAAGATACCTAAGGTATTAGAAAGTGCATGCATATCGTCACATACTGACAGATCGTATGCTATCTCAGGTAGGCTGAGTTTGGTGCGCGGCTTGAACAGGTACCTCATACAATAGAATTACAACAGAGCAAACATCCGACTTCTACTATGTACATACCTTAATTAAGGCACCAAGTACCTAAGGGTTTGAAACTATCTACAATTAGTTCAACCCTTCCCTTTTATTAGACTTAGACTTAGACTTAGCCATTATCGCCCGGCTAAGATGTCGATGAATGTCTAGCGCTACTACCCATGAATTTATTATACATATTTGACGCTTCCGTGGATGCTTTCTAATAGAAACAGGTTCAAGCTGCCCGGTTCTAACACTGTCCGAAGTATCCCGAAATACCCTTGCTCTAGGTTAATTGAATAGACACGTGCCAACGCGAGTAGCGCAGAAGTATACATGCTTTATTTTATAGAAGAAGTCCCACTAAATGTCAAAAGAGTACCTATCGTTACTTCATAATAGGTATGTCCTTAGTGGCGGTAGATTAATTAGGCTGGGGAACATTAAGATCCCGCGACTGTCGACTGTTCATATGACGAGTTGTATCTTGGGGTTTTAGAGCCATTGCTTTCCTGATGACGCGCGCTTTCTACTGTGTAGAACTCTTGTGTCTGCTTAAATAAGAATTTCGATTTTTCTTTTCCTTTTCCATCCACTTCGCCACTGATTCGTTTAAACACCTACACATATTTTTGTCATTTTGTTCAAAACCCTGGTGCGCCGGTGAAATCCTTTAATTCACCGCCCCATTTCCGTAACGTTATTTATTATATCGTCCTTTATTGTTTCTCGGTTGCACCAAGCTACCAGAACATAATCTTACAAACCTTTTCGCGACTATCTACACAAAGGCCTTCCGGAAAGCCTACACGTCACACACAGTAGCGGGTCTTAAACCATCCTCATGGAATTCAAGTCGAAAACAAACCCATCGTTTCATCGTTCGCATACAAGAGGATTTAAGACTTGATACGAGCGAGCTCTATTGCTCTATATTTATAAGCAACCTACCCACCCGCAACGGCATTACCATATTAGCACAACATATTCGCCGAGCACACCACCGAAATGCATGATTTGCGCAAGAAGATTTTTGAGAGCGGCAAGACTGTCTCTAGAAAGGCGCGCTCGCGACAACAATCAGCACAGGCTTCGCCAGCTAGTTCGCGCGCTGCCTCACGAGCTGCGAGTCGTCATGCGTCAGAGGAGGAAGATTCAAGCGATAATGAATATAATGAGAGCCTAGCTAGTTCTATTATAAACTCGGAGGATGGCGAGGAATTGGGCTCGACGCCGCCGGGGGAAATCTTACACAATCGCATCGTGGATTTGCTAGATCAGAAGCGTGACGGTGGCCAAGATCGAGAGGAAAAGTTAACTGCATATACCGAACTAATTCGACATCATCCCAGTACCGAGGAAATCGATGCGCAGATGAATGAGCTTATTCCTATGTTATTAAAGACTATACGTGGCCGCAGAACTCCCCATGGAGTGTTGTGGGCACTAAGAGCTCTTATGATAACCATCCTTACGACTGGGGACGAAAGCATTCATGATCGTGTCTTCCCAACGTTGAAGAGTGTCTCTCAGGATACAAATTATGACGACGATGATGAGTTGATTAAAGTAGCTGCTATTAAGGCAATGGGCATCTCTACAATGTGCGGCGGAGGATCAGTAACTGCTGCCGAAGAACTTTTAGAGTTTCTTATTGAGATTATTGAAAGTGATGGTCACATTGTGGAAGCTGGTGATAATGGACCAGTTGTTGCCGCAGCACTGAATACGTGGGGATTTGTTGCCAGCGGCCTTGACGATCTCGAAGAGCAAAGTATGCAGGCTCTAGAAGCCTTTACAGAACAGCTCGAGAGCAGCGACGTAGATGTTCAAGTCGCTGCTGGGTCGAATATTGCTTTTCTTATGGAGGCTGCGCGTGAATATGAGGAAGAGAGCGGCGAGACCTGGAACTTGCGCTTTGATCAGGATGGACTCCTTCGGCGATTGAATGCTCTCACTCGAGAGTCCTCCAAGGCTATATCTAAGAGGGATAGAAGACAGCTTCACAACAGTTTTAACAGTATCGTGACCTCCCTTGAGCACGGCAAGGGCCCGGGATACTCGACTGCGCGTCGCTTTGCAAGCAACCCTCACACGGGAGGTAACCGGGCAGACTTCAATGACGACTATCGGGAGTACGGTTATCGGCAAAAATTCCGAATCCAGAACATCACCATCACCATCGATAGTTGGTCTTTGTCGGCTCGGTTAGAAATGCTCAAGTCAGTTCTTGGGGGTGGTCTCGCCAGCCATTACCTGAATAACTCGGTGGTAAGAGATTTGCTGAGCGGCGCTAAGACTGAGTACCTGTCATCACCACCAAAGGACAGGATATCTCCGTCAAAATCAGCATTGAAGTTAGGCCACGGGAAGAAAGCCGCGAAGAATGTTTCTGATTAAGCATTATAAGACATCCGGCGGAAGGATCATTTCTCTTCGCGGGAAGACTTAGACTTTTCACCAACGTAATACTCTCACACCATTCGTTTTCTTTCTGTTCGACCATTCAAATTTTATGGATATTCTTCTACTTGTGTTGGTTATTAGATACTAGTTCTATGCTCTCTAGTAATATCGTTACTATCGCATTTATAGGTATTTATCTAGACTTTCGTTCTACATTCCCTATATTGTTCATGTTGTTCACAATCATGTACATACGTAGACCTGCCCAACTTCCGGAATACCTAAACAGGAGACCTCGGTGACACGCACGCGGTTACCCGCATTTTCCGTATTACCATACGTATGAGATGAGCCAGCCAAAGTTCAGCCTCGATAATGTCTCGAAATGTAGCCCTCAAATTGATTGTTCTATTACATGCACAATCCGGGCGAGAAACCGGGATGACGCAGGGGCGCGGGAATATTTGAACGAGACGGGCTTACCCCTATAAAAATTATTTTATTTTCACTTTATATATCTTGATCAATATAATATCATCTTCTACCTGAATCTTCTACCTGAACGTCGTTCCTTGCATAGCGAAGTGAAAGGCTACGTGCATATCGTAAGACGCTTCGGTAAGATGGTTGGGTGGGTGGTACAAATGGTTCAAGAGTCATCATACCTAACTCGTTCTAGTTGTACGTACGTGTATGCCTACTTCTTAAAGTACTATGTATAACATGTTTGCTTAATGCAACCACTTAAAGTAATACGGCGAGAAAATGTGGCTTTGGATTGCGCATTTGAACCCTGGAGGCGTAAGCCAGTAACGGTGTAGTCCGAGAGGTTGCCAATCATCTATTATCCTATATACGGCAATAGTAAGAACCCAGGCTTAGAGAGAGAAGATACGCACTTATTCGCCACAACTATCGGTTTATACCGTATAGACGTATGTATATCAGAGTGGTAGAATGGGTGTGGCGATGTTGAATCCCGCTGTTCAAGGTTTAGATTACCGTAATTATATTGAACTTGAATGAAATAGCTGCCTCATTTCTTCATTCCTCATTGCCTTATTCCGAACCACTGGGGTTTATACATGAATTATTCCGCACGGCGGAGACGGAACAGATGCAAGGCAGTCCCGTAGACCCCCAGGATATGCACGATTATAGGTACCGAAAACTCAAGTAGTATTACATGCCTCTGGACGCAGATCGGATGGCAACGTGATTATGCATCTTATTGTGATTAGGTAGCTTCAAGTCTAGGTCTACACATTATCTATCCTAATAGGTAGAGCGGCTCCTAGTACAGCTCTGTAAGGTCCTTTTTCGGCTTAGTAGTGGTGAGCTAAACGTGGGATTGAGATATAAAATCAGAAAATAAGTCGGTGAGTATTCAACATATGTAGGGCTCTCTGTATGTAGGAGCACTGCGAAGCACGATGTGATCATCATCCCATACCGGGAAAAAAAAACAAGGATGAACCATGGAGCGCCAGTTTTTAGCAGCTTGATGAACCGAATTTGCATACTTTTTAGTAACTCGATTTACCACTAATCAGGCATAGTGGATATGATTAAGACCCAATGTGCCGAGGGTGTTGACCAAGTTGTGGTCCAGGCGGAACCGGATCCAAGGTGGAGTGCACATCATCGTGCCGCAGTAAAACCAGATCGTCACCCGGCCAAAGGGGCGCAAGAGCCACTTTGCGGGACCATTTCCGTTCCATTGGACTTCACTAAACTGCTTGAGTCGACGGATGTAAATAATAATGTAGAAGAAGGAAATAATAAATTGGGCTACAAACGGAACCGTGTCGCTGGTAGATGGTTAGTTAAATATACCAACCTCTTATTATTGATAAGTGGATATTCCGATGAAGATACTAAGAAAATCAAGCGCCATCGGTTGAGCTGTTTCATCAATATGAAATTATATACCTACCTAGATAAGATAAAGAGATATGATACTATTTCTTTAACTAATATTGGTTGAATTGGATCTTGGTGAACAAAAAGTAGAAGGTCGTATTAAACCTTGATGTGATTAATTACAACGGACGAATAATGTTAATATGTTAATATCATTTGACGGAAGATTGCAGGTGTAAATCGGTGTTTAGAAGGAGGAGGTACATACCTACCTCACATGTCGCCTTCCTCTATGTTAGAGGGGCTGAGGGGAAGGAGACCTAAGCAGTAAAGGCTTTTAAAATCTGTTAGGGCAGTTCCGCCCCCGACCTCCCTTGTCATCCCATGTCATTTGTACTATGTAGCCGGACCGTGCCTGTCAGCTTCTATCATGACCCCGTCTCTTACCCGTCTTCTATAATTTTATTGGTCAGTCTCTTCAAGCAAAGCCAACGCATCAAACTCCCACCCCAGCAAGTTTCCCTAGCAGAGCCCCCCTCCTCAAGCTCTAGTCCACTATTATTCAACCACTCCTACTTGCCAGGTCTTTTTTTTTTTCTTGAATAATAACAAAGCCTCATAAGCCTATTATCACCCATTTCTCCCTCCACCTTACGACTCGTAACCCTCTACCGCTAAATCGAGGAGGGAGCCTCAGGCCTGCACCTGTCTGACGATAGTCCTGGTGGCATCGGAAAAACACGTCCAGTATATAATCGATTGTATTGGACGAGAGAAGGGTCGCACGCATCGTCCTGCAAGAAAGAGAGGCATATTCTTTTCGGCCAACCAGCATATTCATTTTTGCTGCACCGGACGAGAATCCATAAAAGGGGATGTAAGATAATACCTACATTTGGGTACTCAACTTCCAGAACATAGAACAACATTTACATCGCATGTTCTGACGTCCCTCGAAAGTATGTATCAAGTTGTCTCATAAAATCTATCAATTCTTCGTTTTGGTTGTATTTCGACATGGATTATTGTTCCTCTGCGCGCGTATTCGCATAGTTGCAGGGTTTCGATTGTGCCGCCAATTCAAGCGCAATTGAGGGGGCTGGGATTCGACAGAAGAAACTGAAGCTTTTATTTTTCCATCCATCTCATTCCATCTCCATCCCATCTCTTACTATCAACAACCAAAACAACAAAATTTATTTTCGGTCTTCTTGCAATTTCATTTTATTTTCCTTTTCATGTTACTATCTTTTCCTTGGAATCGAATATTTATCTATTCGTAAAATTTATTCTCTGCGACGCTATTAGCCAATTGTTATCATTATTCCTATCATCATACTCAATTTTTGTATGATCTTGTTGTATAGACCACTCACCACTGGTTAGCCCTATATTAACCTTCACATTACACATAGATCCCACGGTGTCTTTTCGCCTCCTATACTTGGGCCAATGTTTGCGCAAAACGTCGGCTCTTCCTAGTCGCGGACCCCTGTCCGCATTCAGCTCTCTCTCTCGACCGCAATTGTTTACCGTTCACCGCTTGACCAGTAGCTGGGGTGAACACAACGCAGCAAGGAGAGGATTGGTTAAAGGAGGAAGCGGCCAATCAACCAGAGGCGTGGCCGCATACTTTGACAACTGGTCGCTTTCTCGGGCAGCAAAATGGGAGTGAGTGTAGACACCAGCAGTGTTCCCCCGTTACCCGCCCCGACCGAGACCGAGTCCCTTACCACACCTACCGAACTTGCACCCTCCGATGTTTCTAGACCTGCCGACGACGATAGATCACATTATTCACTCCCTGACGACGGAACACCTGTGACAATCAAAACCCGCAGCCATAAACCGAATCGCTCACAGACTTCACTGCTCATTGAATATTTCGAAGGCGGAAAGACTAGTAGTACCGTCGGTTCGGGTACCTCTGAGCGCAAGCCGAGCGTCCGTGTCCGTCTGACTCCCTCCAAGACTCGAGGCAGAAACGACCATATTCAGATCACCGAGACTAAGAGTACGAGAAAGAGGTCAGTTTCGAGGAAACCAACCGCAAGCTCGAATATTACTCGGAGCGAACTGGATATGACGGACCCAGAAGAAGTAAGGAGTTTACACTCCTATGCATCAGCGACTGAGGAGTCCAATGTCTCCCGGAACCCGATTGAGGTTGAGATAGAACCAAGAAGCCATCATCGGCGACGAAAAGTATCAAGCCCGCTCATTCCCGCTGCTGATAGCAAGGTTTCTTATCCACCGCCCAACATGTCCGATATCTCGGCCATTCCCTCTGACAGTTTTTTGGACGGCAATTCGGGTGGTAACTCACTCACACAAAATGAGAAACGTGCAAAAAGCCCAGTGAGGAATGAATCCACCCTTTCGGAAAAGACACATCGTAAGGTCAGGAGCGCCAGTCATGACCGGAGTGTCATGCAAAAAGCTGTTGAGAAAGCAAGCAAACCTGAACGAAGACATAAGTCGAAGAGTAGAATAGGCAGCTCTGGGGACAAGGAAAATGAAAGACGTAGGTCCAAAGGGAGTAATAAGGAATCCGTTGTCTCAGTTGCCGATTCGAGCATGCTCTCATCGCAAATAACCTCCAGCCATCGTTCTTACGATACACATTCCTCCTCTAAGGTATCAATTAATAATCCGAAACTCCTTGAAACTGTAGAGGACGCCATCCGACGGCTCATTTTACCGGAGTTGGATGCTATCAAGAGAGAAAGGAGTCAACGCGCTCTCGGAGACCTAAAGATCGGGAGTCGCTCTCAAGTCTTACCTCGGTGTCTCGCGAAGAGATCTCTGTTCCGAACAAAAGGAAGTCAGCCGACACAGCCCAATCGACGAAGTCAAAGGAACGGCGCGATAGAGAAGCAAGAAACGATTTATCACCTCAGAGTAGCATTGAGCAAGTCTCTGTTCTAGATGATATACCAGATGAGGAGCTTACCCCACGTCGTGATCATGATAAGATTACCGATGCCGCCTTGGGCGCTGCAGTTACTGGTGCTGCACTCCGGTCCAGAGGTGATGAAAAGAGACAGCGGCGGAGGAGACGCGCAGAAACTCCCAAGCACGATGTCGATGAGAGGTACGGGGATGCATATGAAGAAGCAGAGCACAAGGTA